ATAACCTGTGTGTGTGAAAGGAGCAAATATCCAAACTATGTGAATAAATTCAAGCATTGTCTGTAACGCTTGAACTGGAAGAATACCAATGTTCATTCCTTTCAACAAACTGCAGGAAAAAAAACTAAATTTTGTATCGCCTTACTAATAACAAAATACACGCATTTGTAACTTTGTGCTAAGTCCACAAAGTCAAAATAGTGAGGGCTGGCGTAACAGAAACATTGCCGAGGCCCTGCCCCTGACTTGAATCGTTTCTATCAAGAAAGTTACTATTATGGGACAGAAGGCTACAAAAAAGAAACAAAATAATCGTAAAAAGTGATACTCATTTTTAGTTTATCAGTGAAGTGGTCAAATATTTGAGAAATTTTTTTTGAAAAAATATATCTCCATGGTGACTTTGTTATTCTCAAAAGTATATATGTCATTTCAATGTGAACAAAGTTATTTTGCTGTTTGGGGGTTTTTGTTTTTGTTTTTTTGTCATAAAGGCATGAGCTTCTTCGCATGGCATGTGTCAGTAAGACCTTATTCCAAGCATGGCATCTTTTACTACTTTTGCTGGAAGCTTTTTTACTCTCTGCTTTCTGGTGCTCCATTGCTTTTTCCATCCCTTGTTTGGTTTTATGATTGCCTCTCAAACATGTTTGTGTTTAGGATTGAATTTGAAAGTCATCCCCCTCTTTATCTTCTTTATCCTGTGCTGGAACGAGAAATTTAGTGACTTCAGAAAATGTAGAGCTTGTACTGTAATAAAAACGCGGCAGAAGTCAAAACATCTTAAGTAATCACAAAGGGTATTTAACCTTCCAGTGCACTGCAGTAACATCTCCTATTTAAAGTGAGCCTTTAGGAGCACCTGGGAGGCCCAGTGGGTTGAGCCTCTGCCTTCGGCTCGGCTTTTGATCTCAGGGTCCTGGGATCAAGCCTGGCATCAGGCTCTCTGCTCATCCCCTTCTCTCTCTCTCTCTCTCTGCCTGCCTCTCTACCTACTTGTGATGTCTCTCTGTCAAATAAATAAAATCTTTAAAAATAATAATAATAAAGTGAGCCTTCAGAAATTAAGATTTTATGGTACACTTAAGAAATAAATACTTAGAGAGCACACTAGCCTGAGGAGGGGGAGAACAGAGGGAGAGGGCAAGAAGAAGACTGCTGGGCCCTACACGGCTTGATCTCTAGCCAAAATCAAGAGTGAGACATTTAACAGACTGAGTCATCCAGGCACCCCTTAAAGTACACTTTTTAGAAACCATCCAAACTTAAGCCAGCCATGCTTTGGGATTAATATGGGATTTATACTGCCTTACTTCAGTTCATGGGAACAATATTTGTTTTCTTAAATGTGAAAGTGTAGTGCTATTAATTGTAAGCTGCTGTTTGTTCTTTTTACCTTTTTGGTAAGATGTATTCTATTTTAAAACCATTTAAATCACTGTTCTCTAACGAGATAATGTGCCTAAGTCTTCAGATTTAATGTTCTCTAGCTATCACAATAAGGATCTGGCTTTCCATTTTCTTGGAATTACATGAGAGAAATCAGTCATGAGGAGTGAAACTAAGCCTTCATAGAGTCATGAACAGTATCAGAACTGGTGGTATTTATCCCAAATAAATGTTTGATTTCTGGTTTTCTTTAGAATACATGCAGCCTAAAATAAAATTGGTAAACAGTCCTATGGTATTAAAAATATGACTAGTTCATGGTATGTTTTCAAGTTAACAGTCAAAGTTTTCATAAGCAGAGAGATTGTTTCATTTTAAAAAACACACAGGGAAGAAAGCTTTCTAGTTTGAGCTAAATCGAGAACAAGGACTATTTTCATATATATGTGTGATGTATCAGTTTGCCAGTGGCAAAGGAGTGGTATATGTGCTATTAGCATATACATATATAGTACTCACGCTGGTTTAGCATAAATGGTGAATGCTGAGAGTATTGCTTAAACAGTAGGGAATTCTGAATAATAGCATGTGTAAATACATCAGCTTATCATCATAGAATTCCCTTGAAAACCTTGCCAAAGCAATAATGCACGTTCTCAAAAGATAAAATATGGGAATATTGACAACTTTTCTGGGCACTGGCTAAGTGGGCCCGCTGTCATTATGAGATGGTCTCGGAGAAAAAGCTTGTGGTTGCTTCCTGTTACAGGGAACCTAGGCAGGCACCACCAGAAGACCTTGAAGAACGAAGACAACACTGAGAGCGCCAGAGGGCTTTAGATTCAGAGCACCTGTGCTTTCCAGGAGGCAGCAATCCAGGCATCGCCCACTTTTCCTTTGTCCCTATGCCAAGGCTTGTGCTCGGTAAGTAAAACTGTCAGAGAAGCTGCAAACAGAGATTGAATTCCCTAGAACATTGGTTCTCAACTAGGCTGATTTTGCCTTGTGGCACTTGGTAACGTATGGAGGCATTCTTGATTGTTGCGACTAAGGGATGCTACTGGCAGCTATCGGATAGAGGCCAGAGATGCTGCTAAGTATCCTACCCTGTACAAAACAGTCCCTACGAAGAATTATCCAGTCCTGTTACAAAGGAAGGAGAAAAAGATCCTTGACACTTGTGCATTTGCCCAGGATAAAGAGAATAATTCATTCCCAGAAGGGGCTTAGCACTCTTAGTGTCTTGTAACTTTAAAGGCATTGTTGTATTGTGTGGCTGGTAGTAGAGCTTGGGGCAGAGCTGAGTCTGGACATCAGGAGCCCGGCACTGAGTCTCCTAGCACCAGTGTCCCAGTAAGTTTGGCAGACTGGTAGAGTATTTCCTGGGGCACTAGCGACTGCCCTGATACACCCTCAGTCATAGCCACAGGAGCCCCTCTGTTTATTCCCCACCTTGCTTCTCAGTAGCCCCTAAACTGCAGCACCAAGGTTGCACCTGACCCAAACCCAGACACCCCAAAAATCCCTAGATGTGAGACCTTCTCCAGTCATGCATCTTGGCCTTGGCCAGCTGGGGATTCCCAGAGAGATGGGCTGGGCTTCTGTGATCTCTCCGGGTCCTAAAGCTCTTAAACTTGGAGGCAGGAAGAGAAAGCCCATTTGATTCTGGGTTCCAATCATTTTATAGCGCGGTCCTTCAAGTACAGGTAAATTTCATGAAAGGGGACCACGTCCAGAATAAAAAGAGTACAACTAAAAATTAGGGAAGGTCTCCCTGAGTAGCCAGAGTTCTACGTACTTGTCCAAACATAGCCTGACCTTATTTCTGATTTAAAGTCTTCCTCTTGCCCTTCGGAAGTGCCACCCCCGCATCTCTGTCAGGAAACATTCTGTCTATCCAGGTTTCCTGCCCCTTCAGGTCCTCCCTGCCATCACCCAAACCCCCAGCAGCAACCCCAGGCCTCAACCCAACCTCACCCAGAAGGTGACCTCAGGCCCTGCAGGAGCCTGTGTCAGGTGCTGCCACAGTTCCACTTGGTGATTTTTAAAGTTTTGAGAAAAATAGGGGTTTGGAAAATTTGATTAATGAGACATCCAAAACGAATAGAATGAGAGATGAAAGATAGCTCTCTATGCTTGGTTTAGAGGGGACTAAAGGATCCAAAAACCTAACTAAGACCATCACCCTGAGGTAGGAAGAGGGCTGTTGCCATTGTCACATGCTTACTGCCCTTCAGTGGCAGAATTTCGCCCGCAAGTTTTGTTGGTGATCTAGAATCCTAACGAGGACTTAATCCATTCAGATTTAATCTGAATGGAAATGGGCAAAACCTACAGTGATTTTATCCACAGAAAACAAGCTAAACCCAGGCTGATGGAAATACGATCCCAGTGGGGCTTAATCAGGTTAACTGAAAAACTAACTAAAGAGATGCCCAAGGCAAAACCCTCATATCTATCTATTCATAGAGGATGCTTAGTCAATATTTTGCTAGCCAAACTAATTATTTGCTCAAAAAAAAAGGATACTGCACATCTTGAAATTTGGGCGGTTCCTTTGTTCAGACCAGCCCTCCTCTTAATTCTAAATCATTATGTTTACCCCCAAATCTATAGAATTTATAACCCTTATCTCAACAAAAAGGTTTTTCTTAAGAAATATTTTGGGGGTGTCTGGGTGGTTCAGTTGGTTAATTATCTACCTTTGGCTCAAGTCATGATCCCAGGGTCCTGGGATTAAGTCCCTCACAGGGGTCCTTGCTCAGTGGAGGGTCTGCTTCTCCCCTTCCCTCTCCCTTTGGCTCCCTCTCCTTACTTGTGCTATCTCTCTCTCTCTCATTCTCTGTGAAATAAATAAATCTTAAAAAAAATACAAAAATGGGGCGCCTGGGTGGCTCAGTGGGTTAAAGCCTCTGCCTTCAGCTCAGGTCATGATCCCAGAGTCGTGGGATCGAGCCCCGCATAGGGCTCTCTGCTCAGCAGGGAGCCTGCTTCCTCCTCTCTCCCTCTCTGCCTGCCTCTCTGCCTACTTGTGGTCTCTGCCTGTTAGATAAATAAAATCTTAAAAAAAAAAAAAAAAATTTTGTTTTAACTTAGCGTTTTCAGACTGCCTTAAGATCTCAAAATGTAGGCACCTCTGGGCTGAGTTGATGGGCTCTGTCCCTCGCTCATGCTGGTCGACACGCTTCCCCCAGTCGACACTCTTGCTTGTTTTACATGTTGAGCTTAGTCATGATCTTGCTATTCATAAGAGGGGGCGTGAAGAACCACTGACTTAGGTGGGCAGGCTGCCAGAAATGGAGGGTCCTCACACAGCACGGGATCCAGCACCTAATGGTCCAGATACAGTGGGAAATCAGAGCTGCTTTTTTTTTTTTAAGATTTTATTTATTTATTTGACAGAGATCACAAGTAGGCAGAGAGGCAGGCGGGGGGGTGGGGGGAAGCAGGCTCCCTGCTGAGCAGAGAGCCCAAGGTGGGACTTGATCCCAGGACCCTGAGATCATGACCTGAGCCGAAGACAGAGGCTTTAACCCACTGAGTCTCCCAGGCACCTTGAAGTCAGAGTTTCTTGTAGGCAGAATCCAGATGGTTTCTTCACTCAGAGAAGAAGAGGTGGGTAGAGGCTAAAAATTGCTTCTAGACTATAAAAAGGTATCCAACCTCAGCAGGCAAAACACACCTTTTAATGACCATTGTACTATAATCATTTCTGCATTTCTGGTGTTTTGTAAATAAATCACAAAACAATAAAGAAATCTAAAACTAAGAGAAAAGGCATTATAAAGACCAATTGTGGAAAGCAGGCGTTTAGAAATACAGTCATATATTCTGTCTACCCATCATTTAGGGGACAGGAAGTCCAGAGTTCAAGTACAACCTACTTAAGCAAATGCAAACTATGTAATTACAGAGCGGCTAAATGGTTATTCATGTTACAAAATGGTTTTGCAGAGCATTTCTCTACATAGCATTTTTACTTGGCACTTAAAACATAACTCATTTACAAATGTTTATATACAACTTCAGGAAATAGGCATTGAATAGGTAAAACGAGAGAAGAAGAAGGGAAGAAGGAGAAAATAACACCCCTATTCCACAAGTGTCTGTGTGGGGTTGTAAGTTCCCAGAAATTAGATGCAAAGTAAGGCTGGAGGAAGCTTGTGGGGTGACAGTTATAATTACACTGACTTTTCTGTTCAAATAATTATTCTTAACCTGCTTCCCAGGATGGACCTTATAGAGCTGTAGCTAAAACTTTTGCAGACCTGGAGACTAGCACGAGGCTATCACATAAGCATATGAAACCCTGGGATGGGTAGCAAGTAGTGGATATGATATATCCGTGGATACCAGCATATGACACCTCGGACACAGGATATTTATTTGGGCACAGGCTGGAGTTTTCTATTAAAGCAATGTTTCAGATCTTTGCTGCAAGAGAAAAGAAATCAACAGACAGATATTTGCTTGGTTCAAAAGATCAGGAAACAATTTGGTTGAAAATAAGCGCTTACACTTAGCTTAAGGCACCAGGGTGGGGCAGAGCGAGCCCCTGCCAGTTGGCATGGGGCTGCCAAGGGAATCACTGAGGGAGGCCCTTCAGAGTCCCAACCATGCACTTGGCTTCTAGGGGGAGTAGAGAGATAAGGCAGGCAGAGGCTGACATTGGCTTTACAGTTTGCATTTTGTAAATGGCTCAGCAACGGAAGCAGGGCACATAAATATGAGGGTTTTGAGAATAAATCAAAACCCATACCATGAAGTTCCATTTCCCCTGGTTCTACTGGAAAAAAAAAAAAAAAAGGCAAGGGGAGGGTAGGTGGGTGGTAAGAGTATGGAAGAAGAGAAGAAAAGAAGGAAGGATGGGACGGGGCAGGAGAGAGACAGGGAGAGGATAAATGAATTCAAACAGTGCTTATTCCCAGGGAATTCTATTGTGGAAACTCAGAGCAGTCTGTGAGCGGAGACAGGAATGACAACTCTGCTCACGGTGAGGGACGGCAAGAGAGTTCTCGGGAACACTTTGGTCTCCAACGTTTGGGGCCTGTGTTCCTGCTTGGCCTCCGTGAGAATGCACTTTTGGGTGTTGACGGGAGGTCTTGGCTCCCTGGCTTTGAATTTGGCTTTGTAGTTCTGTACTCCGTGTTTCTGCAAAAGCCGCACAGTGGCGAGATAGCGCACGTTGCTGGGGTCGGGAGGGCACACCAGGTTTTTCTCAGGCAGGAGGGACCATTGCAGGCAGCACCGCTCCTGATTGGCCAGCAGGGATGTCGGGGCCCCCCGGGGAGGAAAAGGCAGTGTGTCATTGACCTTGGGGTGACTGGCCAGCTCAATGGGTCTCTTTTCACCTTTCCCATCAACTGTTTTCAATCCATATGCACAAGCCACACACTCATCCTTTTCCACACTCAGCACCTTCTCCTCCGGCTGCAAGAAGTTCTTACTCTTCTTACCCAGAACATCCAAGCCATTTGGGAGTGAAGCCTTCAGGGGAGGCAGAACTAAAAGGGCCCTGGAAGTCAAGGAGTCTGAGATGGAGGGACCTCTGCTGGGGCTTCTGGGGTCCTTGCCCCTAAGAGCCTCAGGGGTGGCCCAGTCTTCCTTGCACCACATAAACTCCTTTATTTGCAGACTCTTTTTCTCTCCCTGACCGCAGCGGGGAAAGCAGATCTTGCTAACCTCCCTGGAGGTGGTGGTGGCGGCGGCGGAGCCCAGAGAGGTTCCCCGAATCTGGGAGGGGCTGCCTTGATCCTTCTCCAGACCCACCTCAGCAGGAGCCCCTGACCCCAACTTCTCCGCCTCCGCCTGAGGCCTGGCCTCAGCACTCCCTTGGGAGAGACTGCCACAGAGTAAGCAGCTACTGGCACCTTCTCCCACCCTCGCCTTTTTAAGCTTCTTCCTGGGCCAGATGCAGGCAGTTGGAGAAGTCCTTCCCCAGCCTTGGACCTGCAAATAAAGCAGCATGTTACTCCCGGCAGAGCTGCCCAAACTCAAGCTGTCCAGCTGTGGCCACAGCCCCATTTTGGCCATTCTAACTGAACTGGTATTTCTCTTAAAATTGACTCACCTTTTTTTTTTTAAATTTTAATACTATTTTAGCCTCATAGTAATAGCATTTTAACAGTATCTGTTAATCTAAAATACTAGCAATTGGATTTAATACTAAAATACTAAGCAAAAATATCTATAAATGGCCATCTCGATGTGCTGACTCTAGATGTTTTCAGATGCACATTAAAATAAAGTCAGGAGGAGTGCCTGGGTAACCCAGTGGATTAAAGCCTCTGCCTTCGACTCAGGTCATGATCCCAGGATCCTGGGATCGAGCCCCGAATCGGGCTCTTTTCTCAGCGGGGAGCCTGCTTCCTCCTCTCTCTCTGCCTGCCTCCCTGCCTACTTGTGATCTCTATCTGTCAAATAAGTAAATGAAATCTTTTTTAAAAATAAAAATATAAATAAAGTCAGGACTCTTCAAATAAAATCAGAGCTGTTTGTACTTATCTCCCTACCAAGCTCTCTCAGACCGCCGGGCTCTGTTACCACACCTTAGGAGACTGCTGTGTGGAGGGGTTGGAGGGAGAGACAAGGAGCAGAGGCAGGCCCTGCAGCCAGGGTACCCCCAGCACCCCTGTGCAACCTGCCCCCCAATCCGTCCACACCTAGAGTCCCCTGGCTGAGCTTGCCACAAATGTCACAGTTAAACAGAGCTGCCAGGTAAAAATCAGGATCACATTTGAGGCTCACTTAATAGTAAACATATTAGGTACTGTTTACCGAAATTCAAATTTAACCAGGCATCCCGTGTCTTCATTTGCTAAATCTGGCAACCTTATATGTAAACAAAACAAAACAAAACAAAAACAAACAAAAAACCATATTTCCCATGCTTCTACCATGTTTCAGGCACCAAGCTAAGGATCCACTGGTATTGGCATTGGTTCATTTAACCCACGCCACAGCACTGTAATTTAGGTATTCTGATGTCCAGGATACAGAGTTGGACACTGCCCTTCAAAATGTTACTATAGCCAATGGTAAGTTCTGGCACATTCAGAAGGTCTGTGCTTTCCCATGCAGGGGACAGTGAGAAGCTGTGAGGAGCACAATGTCTCCTGGGCCCAACCACGGGGCCAGCCTCTCCAGTCATCTTGCACAAAAACATCCTTCCACCATCACTCACTCTGGACCTCTGCACCCTCTTGCTGCACGTGCTCAGCCCCCCAAACTCCGAAATGGGAAGCATTGCTTTTTCAAAAAGGCTAGTAAGTGCCTGACACGGAATCGGGCATTCCTGTCCTCCTCGTACACCCCTCTGGCCAGAATTTACAGATGAGGAAGTTGGGCGCTAGGGGACAGGAGCCCTGCCCGAGGTTAGCTGTCAAAGTGGTGAATCTGAAACTGATCTTTCTTATTCCAAAGTTCTGGGCCTTATCAAAGCCACAGGGATACCTCAAATATATGACAACCAAAAACAAACAAACAAATAAAAAACCCGCCTATTTTCTTTTGCATAGTTAAGTCCTAATTCTTAGATGGCAATTATATTTGGGGGCTGTAAGGTCGCTGCCCTGTGCTGCACTCTTGAGACGCCTAAGGACACCTCTCCCAGCCTCCTCTTCCGGCTTCTGTTCTGGAACTCTGTCCCTTCGTGTGCTGTTGAGTTGGTGCTGGGTCTTCAAGAGGACCATGTTGCTTGCTTCAGGCCTCACTGCTCTTGACCCTGACTTCCCAGGCGATTTTCCAGCTTTTGCAGAGAAGAGTCCCAGCACATTAACTGACAGATCCTCAGGCTAACCGGCCTCTCTACGGTAGGTGGCTTCAAATGAGACAAGTCCCATGCTCCTGAGCGCCCCTCCTGTACCCTCCCACCACCTTCCTCTGACCAGACAAGGGGGGGATGTGTCTCCTGGCTCTGCTTTGTAGCAGGCCAGCTTTTACTCAGGTGGATACTTATTGAGGGAAATCTAAATTCTGGAACTTTAATCTTTCTACGATGTTTACAGATGTTCTATTCAATCTGTTAAGGTGGACCAGGAGCCAGCAAATGTTCTCTACTTGTTTGACGTTGAGCTGTTGCCTAAAAATCCAGACTCCTGAGCCCCACCATGGCCTACTAAGCCCATACTCACAAGATGGACCTGGGCACGTGGATTTAAAAACACCCCAGGTGAGCCTCTACAGAGGATCTATGTCTCCAGGGTGTTCTGGCAGTCTGGCAGGGGATCTGAGTCCAGAGATGGGGGTCAATGACCCCTGACTCTTTTGATTCTCACAGCTAGGCTGTCATAGGTAAGCTAAATGTTGGTTGGGTTGCTCTGGGTCAAAAACGTACAGTCCTGGGGCACCCCATCCTGAGAGGCCCCTGGGCTCTGCAAACATAGGAAACTCTCACTAACTGCTCCCAGCAAAGTGTTCTCTGTCCTCATATAAATGCTGGCCCACAGGTCCCCAACACCAGCTCAGGAAATATCAAAGCACCATAAGCCCGGGCAGGAAGCTGGCTTTGGTGGGACAGGCCCCTGATACCTTGGACAAGGTGGCCCGAGAAGCCAGGGAGGATGGGTGTGCAGAGAGTGAAGAGCAACAGGCAGCAGGCGGGAGCAGATGGCATGGCACGATCGTCCCCAACAGACTGAGCCGCAAACAGATTCTCAGCATGGGGCACATGTGGCCTTTCTTCCAGTTAATAGAAAACTCTTTTCCAACAGCCCTTGGATAGATACATTTATAAGTCATTCCTTTTGATAGTAAACCGAACCTTCTAAACTTGGGAAGTTTTAAATCCTCAAATAGAATTGTCTGTAACCCTGCCTTAGCTGGCATGAGCCTGTGGGGACACCGGCTGCCGGCGGGGCAGTGCCAGAGATAGCACAAGAGGAGGGGCCTGCAGAAGACCCCTCCTTCCACTGTCAAGTGGACTTGGGGGAATTGCTCTGCCATGTCTTGACCTCAGTTTCCGTATTTGTAAAATACACCAATTAGATCAGGGTTCCTCAAACCTCACCACCACTGACATTTAGGGCACATTATGGATTGCATGACTGTCTCCCCCCAAATTCCTATTTTGAAGCCCAAATCCCCTAAGTGATGGTATTTGGAGGTGGGGCCTTTGGAGGTTATTAGGGTTAATGAAGTCAAGAGGGCGGGGCCCTCAAAATGGGGATTAGTGCCCTTATAAGAGGAGGCGGAGATAAAGGGTCTACTTGCACCACCAAGGAGGGCCATGTGAGCAAAAAACAGGAAGAGGATCCCCCACCAGGACTCAACCATGCTGGCACCCTGATCTCAGATGTCCGCCTTCTGGACTGTGAGAAATAAATGTCTGTTGCGTATGTCCCCAGTCTATGGTATTGTTAGAGAAACCCCGAACTAAGACAGAGCTGGGTCGTTCCTTGTGGTGTCCTGGCATCCTGGGCACTGTGGGATGTGGAGCAGCACCCCCGGCCTCTGTCCAGTAGATGCCAGTAGCACCCCTTTCCCTCACCCGCAGTTGTGTGACAACGTGGCTGTTCATAACACGTGCCTCCGGGGGCTGTTGAGAGGCTGAATGAATTGGTGTACGGGAAGCATTTGGTCCTGCACTTGCCAACACTAATTGGCCACAAATACCCAGTCAAAGGTACTGCTATGACCATTCTGTGTATTTTACCTCTATTCCTAGAGTTTCTATGTTTCATTGCTTATACATTTTTGGTAGTAACTAGTTTTGGCAAAAGTAAAAGGAAAGGCTGGCATCGAAACACAGACACCTGAGGCACCCCAGTCAAGGAGATACTCACAGCTTCTTCCCACCCAGTTCCGATGACAAATTCGATAGCTTTTTCATCTTGTTCAAGCGTAATGTCACTGATACTGAGAAGACAACAAACATGATTCTTTTCACTTCTTTCATCCAGGCAAGTATAGGTTAATTCTGTTTCTTCTGGGCTGTGAATTTCATTATTTTCACTATTTTCTAATTCCGTCTCATTTTTCTCACAGAGATCCATTACTGTGATTGGTGCTGAAGGTTTTTAACATCTTCTTCCTGTAGCATGAAATGTGGGCTGAACTTAGTTTGTAATATGCATTTCCTAAAAACTGAAAAAAAACCTGAATCTATAACTCACGCAAAATAACAAGACACATTCCAGAATAGACTGTAAGAAATATTACAAAACCGGCCATTGCCGGATATTGATACTATAAAAGATACAGCTATTTGGAAAGACTAATGGATTTAATTAAATACCAAAGTTGGGATTGAACAAAAGAGGATAGGAAGATGTTAGCGGAGGCTTTATCCCTCGTGATGGGGTAGAGCGAGGCAAGGAATATAGGTTTAAGCACCCCTGTCCTCTATTCCAAAAAAAGTCCAGATGCTTCTGTGCAAACACCATGGGAACTGTGGTGGGCATGTGTGACCTGACCACTTTCTCTTCTTTCCCTTCCTGGCAACTCTGGACACTGGTTGAGGCTGGGGAGCATGTGGTCTAGTCTGGGTCAGTGTGCTCATCCCAATCCAGCCTGGATGACTGGGTCCTTATGAAAATGGAGATCTGGACACAGACACGCAGAGAGGGAGGCCATGTGAAGAGGCTCAGGGAGAAGACTGTAAGCTACAGAGAGGGGCCTAGAGCAGATCCTTCCCTCACAGCCCTTGGAAGAAACCAAGCCTGCTGACACCTTGATTTCAGACTTCCAGCTTCCAGAACTGTGAAACAATCCATTTCTGCTGGTTAAGCCGCCCTATGATCTATGGTCTGTGGTCCTATGTCAAGGCAGCCCCAGCACACTGGTACCGTTCATGGTGGTAATGGTCTCAGCAGGAATGATGATGAGCGCAATACTGTCTATCCTTCACTGATGTTTGTCCAGGTTGAAAAATGCAGCTTGGCATTTATAATCAGTCAAAGAGTTAGGAAAGTTGTCATCCTTTTTATTTTTGTTTTTGATTTTAGTAGGCTCCACACCTAGCATGGAGCCTGACGCAGGGCTTGAACTCACAACCCTGAGATCAAGAGCTGAGCTGAAATAAAGAGTCAGATGCTGGGGCGCCTGGGTGGCTCAGTGGGTTAAAGCCTCTGCCTTCGGCTCAGGTCGTGATCTCAGGGTCCTGGGATCGAGCCCCGCATCGGGCTCTCTGCTCTGCAGGGAGTCTGCTTCCCTCTCTCTCTGCCTGCCTCTCTGCCTACTTGTGATCTCTCTCTGTCAAAAAAATAAATAAAATCTTAAAAAAAAAAAAAAAAGAATCAGATGCTTAAACGACTGAACCACCCATGGAAAGTTATCATCCTGATCAGGAGCGCAGACTTGGATGCCCAAAAGCCAGGGTTCCAATCCTATCAGTAGCTCTACGACCTTGGGCAAGTTACTTTTCCGGGTCTGTTTGCTCATCTCTAAGATGGGCATGATTAAAGTACCTTCCTACAGAGAGAGGCTCCTCCTGAGCACCCCACAAGCCACAGAGATGAATCCCAGGGCCCAGGCAGTGACCTCCAGTGGTCCGGCTGCATGCTGATGGGCAGCCAGGGCCTTCTGGAGGATTTCTTGCCTATAATGACACAGAGGCCACCGGGGACCACACACTTGGCTTTCTCTCACCCTAGTGAGCCCTGCCAGAAACCCACTTATTAAGTTTTCTGTTGAGGTAGAGATCAGTAACTTCTTAAAACATTATCTGTTTAATTACCATTTTGGCTTTTTCACATAGGCTTAAAGTAGCATTTTGAAGCAAATAAAGTTCCATTTACCTATGGAAGGTCAAATATCTTTGGACATCCTAATTTTTTCCAATATGAGATCAGAGGAAATGAAAGAAATCTGAAAGGAAAAAAATGATATCAGAAGTGGCTAAACCCCCAGAAATGCTATTCTGTTTACCAAGAATAGCATGATTAAGGACCAGACTGCAAACCAGCCTGATCCTTTCATCTTGTGAAATTTCACTTCAGTCACTACTCAGGCCCTAAGAAGCTCCTAACTCAGTCGCATTCTCTTTTGGATGACCCATACACTTGTACCACAAAATCCCAAAGCCTTAACAAGTATACAGTTAAAAAGGAAAAAAAAAAAAAGTAGAGAATCAAAAGCAAAGCCATTTATTTAAATAAGAAAATAAATGTGCACTTGAGGTTAATGTAGCAAAGAAACAGATAATATTTAGGAGGGATTAAGTATAGCTAAAATGTTCAAGTCAATAAGAAAAAAGTTCTGTGCTTGAAGCGTCTCTGCTGGCAGGGTGCTCACTACTTAGCCCGTTCTAGTGGCTCTAATTTACTGGGTCTCAAACTTGGCTGCACCTAAGAATGACACCACACAACCTATCCACAGAGATTCTGATTCTTACTGGTCTGGGCCAAGTCTGGCCATCACGACCTTCAAAACCACCCTACGTGGCTGTATAATCCAGCAGCGCTATTAGGAAGATCTCCCTTATACTGACCCTAATACAGGTTTCCCTGCCTCCTCAATATACCCTCATGTCCTCACTTTGCCCCCGAGAGCAAGGCTCTATGATGGGAAGCCTTCCCATCCATGATGGACTTGAGGAGATCTAGGACACTTTGAAAAATGTTCAAGCACTTTTCTCAGGAAAAGGGCTTGCATCAGAGGTACAGAGCTGTCTGTCACTACAAAGGGCTGAAGGGTCATTGATCTGAAGATGGCCTGTTGCCTCGGGTCCCAGCCAGCCCTATGAAAAGGATGAAAAGTTTCCACGTACTCATGTCTGTCAGGTTAACCCTCTCCAGCAACTTCAATTATTTCTCACATGTCATGAGAATATGTGAAATGTGAGAGGAAGACAATATAATGTCTGCTGAGTGAGGCATTTGGTCCTGCACTTGCCAACCATCTGGCTCAGATGGTTAAGACAGACAAGCGGCAGAGGCCAAAGATGTGGTAGTGGGGAAGCCCCTGTTTTGGAGTCAATAGAAAGAAGTTGGACCCTGTGAGGGTACCAGAGGAAGTTCCAGTCACATTTTACTCCAAAATGCCAAAAGAAACCCAGGTAATGATAGTATTAAATAATAAAAGTGAGAGCGCCAGGCATTGTTATAAGCACTTCACATATTTGTTATAAATACTGCATTTTATAAGTACTTTATTCATTTAAGGGAGGATCATGGGAACAGTATTGATGCCTTATGACCAAACACTAAAAATCATCTGGGAAGTCAGTAACAGACTATTCTTAGTCAAATGGCCAGATTACTGCATACCAGATAGCTAGGTGCTCCTCGGTAACACTGGTGTTCAAACTGGATTAAGATGTTCCACTACTAAAATAGAATGTTGGCGGTCTTTTCCTAATCAGAAAAGAAAAGAAAAGAAAAGAAAAGAAAAGAATTGAGTTAGTGGAAAGAACAGTCTTAATTTTAAATTTTTCTCCAATACCATGACTTCAAGCTGTTCTTATCTTCCGGCTCATGTAAGAGGCGACAAACAGAAGTATACACAAGGCAATCAAAGATCAACTAAAAGAGTGGATATATGATTTCTTACAAATTGTATGCATTCTCACTTTTCCGTTGAAAGGCAGAAATCTGTAGGGATGTAATAGTCATATTTTCTGATAGTAAAATTATGCCTAGTTTACAGATTTGGAGTCAATCAATAGGTCATTCTATACCACTTCTCGACTTCTGTGGAGCTTTACAATCATATAACTGAGAGCTTATTACTTTACAAGCATCTTGTTTCATTCCACCAATAGCTCTAAAGATTAGAATGACACGTGCAACCCTGAAACTCATGCTCCTCAGTTCCTGGTGTTCCCCCCAAAAGTGACATGATAATCCTGAAAATAACTGAAGACAGCTATTATTTCTTCAGAAGAGAATCTCAAATTCCCTCATCTTAAGAAAGTATAATTACTGATAATGTATAATTATAAAGATAATTAAAATACAGTACCTGGAAATGAGGGTAATATTTCAAATGCGGTCTGGCTAGAAATGCCTATTTTGAAATCTGACTCCCTTTGATCTGAAATCTACACCTATTAATTGAACAAAGATTGCTACATTTTTTTTGAAGATTTTATTTATTTATTTGAAGGCAGAGATCACAAGTAGGCAGAGAAGCAGGCAGAAAGAGAGGAGGAAGCAGGCTCCCTGCTGAGCAGAGAGCCCTATGTGGGGCTCAATCCCAGGACCCTGCGATTATAACCTCAGCCGAAGGAAGAGGTTTTAACCCACTGAGCCACCCAGGTGCCCCAGATTGCTACATTTTAAAAAAAGCAATATCCCAATCCTGATTAACACTGATCTGGAGGTCATCTATAACTTCTACACTTTTTTTCCCACATGAATTGTTAATAATCTTTGTCTTTTTCACTCCATATCCATGCCGTTAATTTTCTTCAAAAAAATTTTTTTTTCTTTTTGGGGCACCTTAACCACCTGGCTCAGATGGTTAAGCATTTGCCTTCAGCTCAGGTCATGATCCCAGAGTCCTGGAATCAAGCTCCACACTGGGCTCCCTCCTCAGCGGGAAGCCTGTTTCTCCCTCTCCCACTCCCCCTGCTTGTGTTCCCTCTCTCGCTATCTCTGTCAAATAAATAAATAAAATCTTTAAAAAATAGCAACAAATTTATCCCCCCCCTTTTTTTTTCACTAGATATAGACCTCTGGATGGATTGGATCTTTCCAAAATTTCCTCTTGTTGGTTTTGGACATCATTCCAACCTGCTTAGATACTTGTCAGTCTGACTGTGATACCCCACAGCTTGGTCATTCCTTCCCACTTTAAGACTTGCAATTTGATAGGCATACCTCCTGTAACTTCCTCTAAGTCCCTGATAAAATATTGGCAAGGAGAGGGTAAAGGATAATGCCATGTGTTTATCCCTTGTACTGGGGCGTTTACTAATTACCAACTGGCTACAAATTCACCTCAGTATAGAATTATCTAGCCTATGCATATAAATCTCATCTATACGATTCGTGATCCATTGATTTAGGTAAACTTTTTTTTTTTAAAGGACTACTAAGAGTTTAGAAATTCACATTTATGTTGATGTCTATTAATTTTTAAAATATTTACTCTCTATCTTAGGCTTGAAGAAGAGGTTCCAAATTGTTGGTTCCACACAGTCCCAACACAACTACAGCATTGAGTTGAGAAGGATGTTAAGCCTCGGCCACCGCAGGAAAGAGTTCTGTGGTTGATTAATGATGTCTGCTAGAGAATAAAGAGTGGTAACACACATGCTACCTATTTGCCATTGCTTATACAAAAGGTCAGATTCCAAATGCCTTAATCTAGATTCCTACACTGGGTTGACACATTCTCAGGTAATTAAGGGGGAGGGTGTTGATGGGCCAGGAGAGGTGAAAAGCCCAGGACATTTAAGTCAAAAGCAAGCTATGATCCCTTAAAACTCCTTGCCATCTCCTTGGCTCTACACCACGCCCTACACCCTCCCCACTTCTTTCTGGAAGTTTCAGATTTAAAGGAATCGTAAATCTATGTCCGAATTTCAGCCTGGGAAAGATATGCTTCTCATAGTCTCAACTAGAATGCCGAATGGACGGTCCTGTGGATCCTTAACAACATGTGTTGGGTGAGGAAATCAATGAACAGAAACACCGTTAGCTATGGTGGAAGCAGAGTTTCTTAATACAGAGCTAAGCTTCAGGCATATGAAGTGGTTAAATAGGTCCTGAAGAGTGTCTTGGGCCTGCTGATCACTGGCAATATAGTTTCTAAAGGAAAATGATATGAAGACTTCAATCTAATTTACAGTTTTGGAACACAGCTCGGCAGGGAGTTGAATCTTTGCCTCAAAGTTAAGCACATGCACCACTCAATTTGCACAGTTTGTTCACATTTTCAGGAGTATAAATCTTATCTCTCCACGTTAATTATCTTGCACCTCATGCTTCTTACGTGCCCACAGAGCACAGCAGCTTTGATGACCCATAGAAGGAATCCTAAGGGCGTGATTCATACAATTATCCCTCCAGATCAGCCGTTTTGGTTTTTACTGCAGTCCCAGTCTCCAACCCTTCCGCTCTTTCCACTCACACCCGTTCTCTCGCTAAGTGCCTATCAGATGCCTAGCTCTGGTAATAAAATAGTAAAGCAGTGCCTGTCTTCTCAGCTGTCACACAGCTTACAAGTCTACATGAAAGCACAAGTCATCAAACACACACAATCCACCTGTTGCTCCTAAAGCCCAGGCGCTTCACACCTGGCTCTTCCCTTTCTCAAAATAGCCCCTCCCCTTCCCCGAGGCTCCTTCCCTTCTTTCAAGATCCTTCCTCCTCGTCATCCAGCAGCTCCTGCCGTGCCACAAAAGATGCCTACCCTTCTTTTTAAGAGCTGTCCTCTCCCGTGAAACGTAACCCCTTGCCCACGAGACCGTCCCCTTCCTCCCTTGGCTCCTCCCTCACAGGGCTCCGCCCTTTCAACAGCCCCTCCCACTGCCACACCCATTCCTCGCCGCTCCTCCCCGGGGCCCGCCCACTCTTATTCCAGCCCCCGCCGACACTACCTCTAGCTTACGCCTTCCCGCCTCGCAGGGCAGCTTCCTTTCCGACCCGGCGGGGCCTGTCGCTCTGCCGCCTGTGGAGTGGTCTGGGGCCTCGCCCCAGAGGCGGGCAAGCGGCCGCGGCCGCTCACACCCTTCTGTGGGCCCCACGGGATGCAAGGCCCTGCGACAGCTAAGTCTCCGCGGGGAGGCGAGGGCGACAGTTGCCCTGGGTGACGGACGCGCTGGGGGCGGGGCCGGCGGGGGGGTTGTCGCAGAAGTGATGCAGAGCCCGCCTGGCGTAACAAAGCCCGAGCGCGGGAGGCGACGCTGGCTGACGGCTGTGGGCACGTGCTCCCGGCAGGCTTTGCGCAGCTGCGCACCTGCCCGCGGCGCCTGACGAATGGCCGCCTCCTGTGGGCGCCTGAAGACGCGTTTGAGGTAAGTGTAAGACCCAGCTGCGAGGCAGACGCCGCGGCCGGATGCCCCGCGGACCGTGGAGCTAGAGAGGGCCCTCGGACCGGTTTCCCCTCGGAGACCCGGGGCGCCACACCCCGCGCTGTTGCCATCGAGCCGGAGGGTGCTTGGGGGCGGGGGCAGGGGGGCTGCCCTGCGCGTTGTAGGGTGCTCGGCAGCGGCCGTGGCCTCCACCCTCTAGATGCCTGGCAGCCACAAAGGTCTCCAGCTTTGCCAGCTGCTCCCAGACCGCCCCTACTCTGGAGAGGGACTGTGGGCCGAAACCTCCTAGTGGAATCCACTCCCGGCTTGTTCGACGGGGCAGTAGTTTGAATCCGCCGACGGCACCAGGGCACGCTCCTTGAACTTGTCCTGTTGCGGTACAGCCCTGAAGGGAAGTAGCCTCAGGCCCTTAAGCCAGAGGACGAACTGGTCGAAGACAATGCAAAGCTCCCCACTCCTCCCCTCCTCTTGTCCTCACACTTTGGACGGCCTCGGAAGTGCAGCCGGGGGTGGGAACCCATGGCCCAAGCCAGTTACTCAGTGGTGGAGCCTGGACTCAACTCATGTCTGATTCCAAACCCGATCTGCTTTCCAATTGTTGTTCTTCCCTCAGTCCGAGTATTTCTGTTGTATAAAAGCATTTTTTTTTAAAGATTTTATTTATTTATTTATTTATTTGACAGAGATCACAAGTAGGCAGAGAGGCAGGCAGAGAGAGAGGGGGAAGCAGGCTCCCCGCTGAGCAGAGAGCCCGATGCGGGGCTCCATCCCAGGACCCTGAGATCATGACCTGAGCCAAAGGCAGAGGCTTTAACCCACTGAGCCACCCAGGCGCCCCTGTATAAAAGCATTTGAATGTCTTTTTATAGCACTATGATTAAGAGGCATTTGGAAAGATAGCTATGTATTACCTTTTTTTTTTTTTTTTTTTTTTAACAAGCCCTCCCCCTCACCCCCGGTAATTACCCTGGAAAGTCTCCAGAAAAACTACCGTTAACACTCTGGGATGTTAGAACAAAGTACTTTTCTGGATATGACTTTTTTAGGTGTCATTTCTTTACCTAAAAGATGCACATTTGAGTCTTGTATCTCACAACCTGGAAGAAAGGGTATGCCCTGCATACCTCTAAGAACAATTGAACAAAACTGCATTACTTCACTGCATATTTTTAAAACATAAAACGTTCATAAATTTAAATGGTAGCAAAATATCATAGATGTTGGCATTTAGAAGCGTCACATCCCAGGGGGCTTGGGTGGCTTAGGCAGTTAAGCGTCCCAGCCTGGGTTTGGTCCTGATCTCATGGGTTGTGAGAGGGAGCTCCGCACCGGGCTCTGTGTTCAACGGGGAGTCTGCTTGGGTATTCTCTACCTCTGCCCCCTCCGCGGCTCTGCTCGTGCTCTCTCTCTCCAATAAGTAAAATCTTAAAAATAAAATGCTACAACCCTCTTTGAAAAGTACTGAAATCTAAGGACAGTGTGATACTCATCAACCTCTATTTAAAAATATGAACTAATTAAAACAAATTCTTCTTTCTTCTTAAATTCGTAATTGTATTCAGATTCTACTTCCTACACAGAACTTTATTCCAACGTATTTATGATCAAATGGTCAAGACGTACTGAGTAGTCGTGTCAATTTGATGTGCAAAAGAAAACTAACTTGAAAGTAAAACTTCAAGACCCTAAGGCTAAAATATAAAACAGTGTCTTGTTTTTCCAGATGGAGAAATGTCCTTATTCCTACTAAGTTGACAAACAGTAGGAATGTATTACATGTGTTGATAGTTATTAATGTTGCTGGAAGTTACCACAGTGAAATGGGTGGCACTGTTCTCCTCTCCACAATTCTTTTATCTGTGGATACGTATCACATGTTGCTAGAATGAGACAGATTCAGCCCCAATTTTATTTTTTAAACACGTATAATCTGATAACTTGTTCATATGAAGACGCCTATGAAAGAGGTTTTGTTATAGCAGTCTCTCAAGTTTTTAAAAACTTCTTTCCACACAGAAATCTGTTAAAAATTTTTTTACTGACAGTTCAGCTAGGTCGTCCTTCAGTTCTTCTGAAAACAAAACGTGGAATCACCTGACTAGCAGGCGGCTCTGTTACCAACTCACTAAAGCTACTTTCTGTTTCTGGGAAGTATACCAAAAATTTTAACAAACTGTTTTACTAAATGACTCTTAAACTTGACGGTAACCATGTTTTCATTAAGCACATGAGAAAGTTGGAAGATGATAACTGATTTCCTTAACAATAACTGCCTGCACACCTTGCTTTTAAATGGGCTTTTTTTTTTTTTTTGAAAGATTTTATTATCCATTGACAGAGAGAGATCACAAGTAGGGCAGAGAAGCAGGCAGAGAGGAGGGAAGCAGGCTGTCCCCTGAGCAGGGAGACCAATGCGGGGGTCGATCCCAGGACCCTGGGTTCATGACCTGAGCCAAAGGCAGAGGCTTTAACCCACTGAGCCACCCACGCACCCCTAAATGGGCCGTTAAAATGGGCTAGTGGTAATCACTGTTGGAAGTTCAGCAGGTAAAAACCTGATAGCATGACTGAGCAGAAACGTTCAGGGACAACTGTTCAGTTATTATTACAAAAAGCCATTATAGACTGAATCAAGATATGAAAAGCCCTAGTAGAATAAAATCCTAGAGTTGGCCCAGGAATGTTTCAAAAGCAGAAAGATGGAGGCAAGAGATATATGAAAACTGTATTTTCTATTTAATTTTGCTGTGAACCTAAATCTGGCCTAGAAAGGGAAAATACTGATGGCGATAGGTAGTGAGTAATAAAACCATTTGCAGGGAAAAGAATTTAATCACCTTGTAAAGTGAGGGTCATTTCTGAGGAAAGCATGTGTGATTGGGTCTGAAAGAACAGAATGATTATTTTGCTTTTGCTTTTAGTTTTATTTGTCAGAGAGTGAGCGAGCGAGCACCAATGGGGAAGCAGGTTGGAGAAGCAGGCTCCCTGCAGAGCAAAGAGCCCAGTGCGGGGCTCCATCCCAGGACCCTAGGATCATAACCTGAGCCAAAGGCAGATGCTTAAGCGACTGAGCCACCCTGGGATCCTAAATGTCATGATTGTTAAGCAGTAATGAGGACAGTTACAGTTAGCATAATTTAAAAAAAATATTTATTTAGGGGCGCCTGGGTCCTGCTCTGCAGGGAGTCTGCGGCTCGCGGCTCCTTCTCCCTCTGCCTCACTCATGCTCTCTCTCGCTCTCTCAAATAAAATCTTTTTCTTTTTTAAAGATTTATTTATTTATTTGACAGAGATCACAAGTAGGCAGAGAGGCAGGCAGAGAGAGAAGGGGAAGCAGGCTCCCCACTGAGCAAAGAGCCCGATGTGGGGCTCGATCCCAGGACTGAGATCATGACCTGAGCCGAAGGCAGAGGCTTAACCCACTGAGCCACCCAGGTGCCCCTCAAATAAATTAAATCTTAAAAAAATATATTTATTTAGAGAGAACACAGAAGCAGGGGGAAGGGCAGAGTGAGAATCTCAAGCAGACTCTCTGATGAGGGCAGAGCCCCATGCAGGCTGATGCCAGAACCCTGAAATCATGACCCCAGCTGAAACCAAGAATCAGAGGCTCAACCAACTGAGCCACCCAGGTGCCCCAAGTAGTTTCTTTCTTAAAACTTAATGTCATTTACTTCTTTAAACTCTGGGAGGTGATAAAATTTTTAAGGTGATAAAAATTTGCAATACCTCTAGGGTAACCTCTTCCATTTCTTGAATTTTAATTATTAGCAAATGTTATCTAAAACCTTTATTAAACTGTTAAGACCAAAACCATTTAAAAGGAATATGAGGTCAGAAAAGTTAAATTCTCTGCTGATTTACCATTTGGAAGGCCGTTCAATGCCTGTTATTTTTGACAGCACTATAGTAGAAATGAGAGTTGAAATGGTTCTGTATTCTAAATAGCGAAAGACCAACTTGCCATACCAACTGGCTCTTTGAAAAAGCTCAGAGGGATCCTAACAAAGCAAATGTGTGTCTTTGGGAAAGGATGAGAGAATAAAAAACTGCCCATCTCTTTCAGATGATAATCACTGATGTCCTTTCATGCTGGAATTGCCATTTTTGCTTGCATTGATCCTCCCTCCCTACCAACCCTATTGCAACTTCAGTATTTTTATAGTAGTAACATTAGCGAAGGAACTGATAAAGAATGGAAAAGGAAATGTGAAAATCCTAACCATGGATTTTTAAGTGTCCAGCTATTTAAGTCTTATCCTCTCCACTACCTTTCTTTTCTGTGAAATGATGGTAGTTATGGATCTGTCCTACCTAGCTCTGGATATTGCTGTAACCATCAAAGAAGGTAATGTGTGAGAGTACTTCAAAACAAGAGTAAATCTATATAATTGTTACTCATTCTTTTTTATTTCCAAAGCAGAGTAAATTAATTTTAGTAATTAAAAGTTGATGAATAATTATACAAATAAGGAAACAGTCACCCAAAATGTTTTGGATACTTTCTTGATAAGGGTGTAAAGATATAGCTCAGCAGTGACATGGCCATTAAAAGATGGCTTCTTGGGGCGCCTGGGTGGCTCAGTGGGTTAAAGCCTCTGCCTTCGGCTCAGGTCATGATCTCAGGGTCCTGGGATCGAGCCCCACATCAGGCTCTCTGCTCAGCGGGGAGCCTGCTTCCTCCTCTCTCTCTGCCTATCTCTCTGCCTACTTGTGATCTCTGTCTGTCAAATAAATAAATAAAATCTTTAAAAAAAAAAAAAAAGATGGCTTCTTTCTCCTAAGGATCAGGAAAAATTTACCTACCTACCTATTTCCTCTAGGTTTTCACATTTGCAGTTTATTCACGATCAGAAGGTGGTAGTATCTGAACACATCCCTCTTCTTGCACTAACTGGGAAAAACGATAAGAGGTATGTCTGCTTTTACTATGTATATGAGTGTATTTATATGTATTTATAGTTATGTGTGTATATATAATATCCCCTTCAAAATATCAGTGGAGTATACTTGGCTTAGAAAATACGCTATTTAGCTACTTAAAAACACCACTAGGCACTGTGAATTTGCTTAAGCTGTGAAGAATATTCACTAAGTCCATGTGTGAGCTTACAAGTTCCACTATGTCCATTTCTGTTTCCATTACTTAAAACAGAAACCTAAATGTGGTTTATTTTCTTAAGGATGCCATGTTTTGTGCTTAACAAACTTTTACCTTTCCTTGTTTTCCTCTTCTGTCTTCTAACTTAGCAGTATTAAAAAAAAAAAATACAAAATAAAACCAAAACCACCAAAGTCAGTGTCTTTTTTGAGTATATTAAAGACGACCAAAAATGGTACTTAATGCTATCAGGCAATTAGGTCTTTAAGAAAAACCAGATTTGTGACTAAAAGGAAACATTTTCTTGGAAACTTTCATTGTTATGGCTTAAATTTCCTTTAAAAAAAAGTAACTTTCCATAAGTTAAAATCAGCATTTGTTAAAATGAGCATTTTCACAAATACTAGCAGAGTCACTAAATGAAATATTAAGTGCAAAACAAAAAAACGTGATTAATGAAGAAGTTGAATGTTTTATTATTAAACGATTTATCTTCCTGCAAAGCTGTTGCTTCACTGTATAAAAATAGCACCAGCAAGTGCAGTATATTGCAAAATTAAGGTAGTATTGTTTTTATCTGGCACTGAACAACTAACAAACCTTTCTCTACTGCCAGTTATTTCCAATGGAAAGATTATTTAAGTATTTTGACCCCCATCCACGGATAGATTGTAAGGAAGTTAAACAATATTCCCTAAGGCTTAAGGTAACAATGTCATCCTTCAATTACATGGTTTTTATAACTAGTTTTTAACCACAGATAATTTCGGGATTCTGCATATCATAACTGGAGCATAAAAATCATACGGTGTTGCAAAACAGAGGCATACTGTGTTTTTCTGCAGTCATTATAAAGTTAAGGCGTATTTTCTTCCATTAGCATTGTTGCAAGTAGTTTATTTTTCTACTGTTATTGCTAATAGTTGCTATTTTAAAATCCTCTGTGTACCACTAATTTAAGACAACTATGCTAGATTAAGTTGTTTCATACTAGTTTATTTAGTGGTTCCATTTTCACTCCTCAATAGATTTTATGTATTTCTCATATGCTTCTTCACTCATTAATTCATCCAGTTCTGAAGGATTACTGAGTGCTATCTTGATCAGCCAACCTGCAACCGAAAAAAACGTATCATATTCCAAATTACCTTTTTAAAGAGTAAAAGTTCATTCAAAATGTGAAATTTTTGAGCCTCATAATTGATCTAGTATTCTTTATGTAAATCACTCATTACTTGTTTAAGGAGCTTTGTATTTTAGCCTTAAGAATTCAGTTAATATCCTTGCATATCACAACTGAAAAGAATGAAAGTACATAGATTCTACTCTAAAAGTTTAAGAACTCTTAACCTCACACCTGTCAGAATGGCTAAAATAAAACAAAAAACAAGTGTTGACTAGAATGTAGAGAAAAAGGAACCTTTATGCATTGTTGGTGGGAATGCAAACTGATGCAGCCACTGGAAGACAGTATTGGAGGGGCCTCAAAAAGCTCAAAGTAGAGCTACTCTATGATCCAGTAATTGCACTACTGAGTATTTATCCAAAGAATACAAAAGCTAATACAAAATGCCATATGCACCCTTATGTTTACTGCACCATTATTTACAATTAGCCACATTATGGAAGCAGCCCAAGTGTCCATCGACAGATGAATGGATAAAGATGTGGTGTATGTATATGTGTGTTGATGTGTACAGAATGGATTATTACTCAGCCATAAAGAAAAATACGAAATCTTGCCACTTTCAACAACATGGATGGAGCTAAAGAGTATAATGTTAAGCAAAATAAGTCAGAGAAAGACAAATATTATAGGATTTTAATCATATGTGAAATTTTTAAAGTAAGCTCCACAACCAGCATGGAGCCCAACGTGGGGCTTGAACTCATGACCCCGATCAAGACCTGAGGTGAGGTCAAGAGTTGGATGCTTAACGGATTAAGCCACTCAGGCACCCATGATATGTGGGATTTATGAAACAAAACAAACAAAGGAAAAAAAATAAGAGACTCTTCAGTTTAGAGAACAAACTGATGATTATCAGGGTAAGGTGGGTGGAGGGATGGGTAAAATGTGGCATCGGGATTAAAGAGTATATTTATCATGATAAGCTACGAGTAAAGTGTAGAACTGCTGAATCACTGTATTGTGTATCTGAAACTAATATAAACACTATATGTTAACAATACTAGAATTAACTTTTTAAAAATTAAAAACAAACAAAAACCAAAACCTCAAGTTGTCATAACTATCAGCAACACTGAGGGATCCAAATACACAAGACCAGGGATATCTTTCTTTAACAGAAGGAACACAGACACTCTAACTACTGAGGTAAAGAAGAGCTGGCAGCAGAAAGCACCACTAGAGTTAGAAGGGCTAGGTGACAGGCAACAGAGAAATACAAGCTAATCTTAATTTGGCAATTCGTGTACAAAATGGTGAAGTTTTATGCTATTACCACCTACACCACACAATATGATTGGACACCTTTATGTGTGAAGATGTAAATACTTTGCAAGTGTTCATTAAAAAGTCTACACCTGAAACACTAAGAACTCTATAAAATAAGGCAATGCTTTATTTGACAGAGATCTAAACCTAATCTTACATATTCAGCTTGTGTTTCCCTTTTTTAAAGCAGAACATCCCTATTTAGGATTAGAAAGTGAAAAAGATGGAGTTACTATCTGCTAAAGCTCGCTTTAAACTCTAAATGTTAACTGCAGCAGTAATCCTATGAAAGAATTTCTAGCAACAACTTACCATCTTCATAACAAGATTTGTTGACAAGTCCTGGATTTTCTGCAAGAGCTTCATTAATTTCAGTTACTTCTCCTGACAGAGGAGAATAGAGTTCACTAGCAGCTTTCACACTTTCCAAAGCACCAAACTCATCTAAATAGAGAAAATTAAAAAATATCAAAAGTCAATGACCTGAAAATACAAAATACGGAGAAGTGGTCACCCTTAATATAGGCATGATAGAACATTCTAAATATCTTTAAAGATTTTACTTATTTATTTGTGAGAGAGAGGGATAGCGAGAGAGAGCACAAGCAGGTTGCAGAAGCAGAATCCCCACTGAGCAGGGAGCCTGACACAGGGCTTGATCCCAGGACCCTGGGATAATGACCTGAGCCACCCAAGTGCCCCAAAACATTCCAAGTATTTTTAGAAAATCACAGACTTCGTCATGCTCCTGTCACCTGTGATTAGAGTATAAATATCCTCAAGGAAGTGGACCTGTAGACAGAGTCAACAACAAATGGTGACGTATCTGAATACCAGATGTACTGAAACTCAGTAAAGCTCAATTTTCTTTCAATTTACCACTGCTCTGAAAAAGTAAAGGAAAATTTTAGGAGATTCTAGTACTGGTGAAGTACCTCATCGACCACCCTTCTTGCAGATAATAATTATAAACTCTGAATAAAACAAAAAACAAGTATGAAGGTTCTGAAGAGTGACCAAAGGAGTCAGTCCTTAAAAGGAGCCCCAAATGGGTGCCATCTTCATTTATATAATTTATACTGACAACACTGCCCCATTCAAAGCATACAGTGTAACCAGAACACAGAGAAAACCAGTCTCGTTTGCTTGAGAGGTCAGAGGATGGAACATGACCCTGCCAAGGTAGCTGGAAACTGAGGGCTGAAATACTATGAAGAAGGGAGCCATGGTTGAGAAAAAGTAATCAACAGCTCCCAAAATGACCAAAGACCCACATAATGGAGTAAGCAGAGAACCTAAAATAACTTTAAAAAGATCATCACATGTGAACACATGGGGGAATCCCTACAAAGAAATGGAAATTTTAAAAGTGGACATCCTAGAACTGGAAAGTGTAATACCTAAAATGAAATTCACTGGAAGGCAGGAACAACAGAAGGGTCAGTGAATGTCAACAAAGAGCACCTGAAATCAGCCATATTTCAGCCTTTTGATTGAAATGAAAGACTGAGAAATTAAGAGACTTAGTCACCTGTAGGACAATACTGAGTGATCTGAACTGAATGAATGATACTGAGAATACCATATACCCAAATTTGTGGGTTATAGCTAAAATAGTGCTTGGAAGGAAATTATTCTTTAGGCCTCATTTACAAAGAACATCTTAAAAATCAGTGACCTGGGTTCTAAAGACACTAGAAAATGAACAAAAGCAGTCAGTTCATGGGAAGGAGATAATACTTGAAAGGCACAATAGTGACTTTAAAAAAAAAAAAAATGGCCTTTGGCCTGAAGACAGGCACCAATCTGTCATTTGGGGCAGCCAAAATTCTGAGAGAAATCTCAGTCTTAGTTGGCATAAGGAACCAGAAGACAAGCTGAGGCCACTGTAACTACTGGAAAGTGAGGTGGGAAATTCGAAGAAGACTAAATAAGGGAGAGCCACAAATCCTGTGCATAAACTCTATCCAGGTCTCTCTGAATGATAATCTGAGCCATGCATGTACACCTGGTGTCCCACCTAAGGCTAAAAGAATTAAACTTAGATTTTAGTTGCTACCCACCACAAGGGAGACAGCATTTTACAGTATGGGTAAAAAGTACTTACTAAATTTTCTACCTAAAGAAAAATTAGAGCACCTTCAGTCTAAGTTGAAGGAAGAAAAAAGATATGAGCACAAAATAAATGGACTATAAAAAAATTACCAGTAAAAATTTGCTTCTTTAAGATTAGTATGATTGATAAATAGCTAACAAGACTGATTTTTAAAAAGAGAGAGAAAACACACAAATTACCACATCTTTACTACTGAATCTGACAACATACCATGGAAAAATTCCCCCCAAAACGTAACAAAACCAAAGATAGTATAGAAAATATGAATAGCCGAAAAGAAAAAATATGAATAGCCTTATTTGTATCAAAAACCTTCCCAGAAAGAAATCCTCGGACTCAAGATCTAACTGTTAAATCTACGAAACATTTAAAGAAGAAATAATACCAGTCTTGCACATTCTCTCAGAAAGCCTGATGCTCCCCCCTGCTTATGCAAGCATGCTCTCTCTCTCACTCTAACAAATAAATAAAAATCTTAAAAAAAAAAAGCAAGTCAATATTACTAATTCCAAAATTTAACAAAGCCATTATAAAAGACCAGTATCTCTCATGAATATTAATATAAAAATTATTAATTAGCAAATCAAATCCTGCAGTATATTTTTAAAGCTAATTTTTGCATCAAAATACCAGGAAGGCAAGTCTGATTAAACATTTTAAAATAACCTTATTCATCATATTAACAGAATAAAGGAGAAAACCCTTATGAGCATATTAGTAAGAGGGATAAAACAAATGTGACAAAATTCAACAATTTATCATCCATAAATGATTAAAAACAGTCAGCAAACTAGATGGAAAGGAACCTTCTCCTCTGATAATGAGCATCCAGTTGAATTATCATGCCTAAATGATGAAATCTTAATGAATTCTCAAGATCAGGAACAAGGCCAAGGCAATGATGTCTACCTCACTGCTTCTATACAACATCATACTGAGCTCAAGGCTGTGCAATAAGGCTAGAAAAAGAAAATGCATAAAGAATGAAAAGAAATAAAGCTCTTTATTTTTTTTTTAATTTATTTACTTTTAAAAAAAGATTTTATTTATTTATTTGACAGACAGAGATCACAAGTAGGCAGAGAGGCAGGCAGGTAGGAGGAAACAGGCTCCCCGCTGAGCAGGGAGCCCTATGCGGGGCTTGATCCCAGGACCCTGGGATCATGACCCGAGCGGAAGGCAGAGGCTTTAACCCAGTGAGCCACCCAGGCGCCCCTAACGCTCTTTATTTACGGATTACAGTACTGGTGACACAGAAGATGCAGGAATCTAGAAAATGTTAAGAATCATTGAATTTAATAAGGCCCAAAATGAAAGCAAAAACTATGACAAGTTTCAAGAAGAAAACACGGAGAGTACCTTTGCAAACTTGGTATATGCCACAGCTGGTCAAACTTTCTCAGTTCATACTGCCCTAATTATCTTAGTCACATATTTTTCGTTTTAATCTACACCGATTTACTGATAATGTGTGTCTGCTGCATACTATACAACTGCTCCATCAGGGAATCAGACTGAACACCAACCACTGTCTTATGATCCTTGTTTACTTTCATGCAGTATTTGCTTCAAAGACACATTACTCAAGATAACATGTATCTAATATTGGAACTAACTCTACTGAGCTATCAGTGTGTGGTGTCCAAAAGAGGTTGAAAATTTTAAACATCCCATAGCTCTAGGGTATATAGGATGGGAACCATGGAGACAAAGATTTCTTAGAAAAGATGCAATGTTCTATACATAAATAAAAAGACTAATAACTTGGACTTGTTAAAAATTAAAGCTTATCAAAAAAAGTTATGAAAATGATAAGGCAAAATCAAAAACTATGAAAAAATATACAGAATGCTTAAAAATCAATGGTAAGAAGACAACCCAAATAAATTTGGTAAAGGCTTGACTAGAGATTATAAACAAAAAAAGATGAGTAGCAAAGCACATGGATGGGTGCTCAAGAATAATTTGTCATCTCATAGTGGGATATGCAGGGCCTAGAACTCTCATATTGCTGGTGAAATGTAAAATAGTACAGCCACTTTGGAAAACTGTTTGGCAGTTTCTTATGAAGTTAAACATACAACTACTACACTACAAGCCAGAAATTCCACACACATACACATATACATAAACACCCACCCAAGAGAAATGAAGACATCTACAAAAAACACTTCTACAAAAAAGTTTATAGCAGCTTTACTTCTAATAGCTAAAAACTAAAAATAACACAGAAATCCATCAACAGAAGAAAAGATTAAAAGGTTACATAATGGTACAATATTCAGCAATAAAAAAATAAACTACTGATCATTCAACATAAACCTCAATGTCATAATACTGGACCAAAAAAGCCAGACATAATATAAAAACTGTGTGGTGCCTTTAATGAAGAAAAATAATACACAAAACTAACCTATGGTGACAGAAATCAGAGAACAGGTTGTCTCGAGAAGGGTTTTAATTGGCAAGGTTTACAGCGTTTGTCTAATCGCATTGGATTATACACTTCATGGATTCACTGTATGTAAATTTTACATCAATTTTATAAAAGCCTTTGTCAGAAAAGTCCAAAGTACTTCTTAGGGATATTTACATTAATTAAGTTTTTTAACCACAGAAAGCAAGTTCATGCTGCTCACTTGCTGTAAAGAGATGTTCAAAACAGGATCTCTTGCTTGAGAGAAGCAGAGTGGGTACAAAACATTATGAGAAAGGAACAATTGTTCTCCGATGCCCAGAACATAGAAAAATGAACAGATAAAGATTATTAACCACAAGAAGGGTCTTATTATGACACTGGAAAAGGTTCCTAAGACCTTCAAAAAGGAAGATATGACCTAATATTATGAGAGAATCAGAAAAAGTTCAAACAAGATAAATGACTGGGGAAAGTTTAAGCAGAAAAAACATGGCCAATATTGTCCAAGATATTTAGAAAAAGATTCTTTACTGGCTCCAAAGAAAAACAGATTTTACCTTCTCATCCTACTTTTGGATACAGCCATACGACAAAGTCATACTTGAGGATTTTGCTGCCATTTTGTGACCTCTGACACAATGACACAGAAAAAGCATGAAAAAGAGGTCCTGTCCTTGATGACCCTCCACTGTGCCACTGAGCTAATCCCCCGTTTCCACCTATCTCCAGACTTCTTGAAGGAGATAAACCCCAACTATAATCTTTCAGGTGAGTTTTCTGTTACTTGGATAAAAAGCACTCTAACTGGTCCTAGGTGCAAACAAGTTATTATTCAAGATAAAGGAAACGTATGGCATGTATAATATACCAAGATGAGAAAAATACTCACCTTGTTTGTTCAGTTTTGTCCCGACCTCAGGCAGACTACAGTAAACAACATCTCCCAAAGCTTCCTAAAACAAACAAAACACAAATCTTTAAGAAATCAAATTAAACCTTCCAGCGAATAGAAACAAGTCAAACACTAACCTTCTAGAATTCAAACAGTACGTATTTTACACCCCAGGAGCCACATTCTTTAGTTTTTCTTATAACCCTTCAAAAAATGCAGAACAGCTAGCCTGGTCCACAAGCAGGAGTGTCACAAACCATATTCCCCTCACCCCATATACAAACACACCTTGTGCTTTTCCACCTCCACAGTTTTGCTTAGGCCTTTTTGCCTGCAGTATTTGCTGAAATCCTTCCCACTGATCTGTACATCATAGTCCTTGCACTTCCTGAAGACTTTGACTCCAAGTTAAGAAGTGAGCTCTCCATCAGGTGAGTTACAACCCCTGTACTACTCAGGTCATCCATCATGTAATGTTTTGTGTGTTTTATGTTTTATCTATGAGGGGAATCACCTACGTGGAAGATTTTCCACGTAGGTGATTCCCCTCATAGATAAACTCCAGGAGGGGAAGACAACACTTGTACAGTATTGTACACAGTACTGTGTACTAGGCCTCAGTAGGTACACAGGTCAGTGAAGATACAATTGTCAATGATGCTCAATACCTGAGATTCCAACACTTCTGAAGAATACTATATACTCCTTTCAGTTACAGGTTCCCCTTCCTGCCCCAATGGAAAATCATGACTCATACTTGCTATCTGGCTTCTCATTTCCTTCTGTATAATTTCTCAATATGGGATCAGTGGGAATAGCGAAATTAAGAGAAAAATACTGGCTACATAAATGGTTTGCCTTTGTCTAATCTGTGCCAGTCTAGGTTTTCCCTCTTCATCCCCAGGGTCGTGCACATATCACAGTGTCCACAAACGCCATCAACACTCCACGCCCTCTGCCTGCTCTTCTTTCTCCCTTAACTGCCCCAACATGAAAGACATTTCTTTCCTGAATAAGGTATATTTACTTCTAAGTGTTAACCTTTTAATAATCTCTTAAAACACTGTATATTGCCCTAATTTATCTTTTGCTTGTTTACTTGATTGATGTTCTTTAAAGGGCCCAAAATAACAAGGGGCAGAATAAACAATTTTTTTAAAAAGGCAGAGCAATCCAATTTAGACAAGAGGAGACCATTTTAAGTATTTCAAGACAATCCAATACCTGTGCAAAATTGCTGATTCCCACTGTTCCAATACCATTTTCTGTTGTTATCCATTCATGCTTGTCTGTGAATTTACGCACTAAAACAGAAGACCAGTATTTCAGAAAATCAGTGGTATCACTTCTTCAAAAGCACTTTTCATATCAATACTGTCAAAAGGCAAGACCTTCTCAGTATTTGTGTTTGATTTACTGACACTGCCTTTCAGTAACACACTGCCCAGGAAAAACCAGATCACATGAAAAGACGGAACATCTTCTTACAAGTACCATCATTTAGGCGAAGATGGCTTGATGTGAATGAACGCCTTGTGTATCTTTTGGAGATTTGGTTATTCCAACATTAGTCTAAATCACTCATACAAACTATTTTGGAGTGTACTTCAAATGTATACTCATCTATTACTGGTCTGTCTTACAGAAGGTAGTCTATCCCTCTGTAGACTTGGGGTGAGGAGGCATAAATGCTCATAATGCTTGTAAGTGTTCATAAATGAGATAGATTACTTAACCTGAAGGAAAAAAAAATGTGCCTTTTTAGGTAGAGTTAACCTTGAGGGTTTCACTGCAACTTGGTTATAAAGTGGAATCTTACATGAATGAAACTGACCAACAACTCTAATTTGATTAAGTTACTAAAATTCCATTTTCATTGAATTTAAGCCTGCCCTTGAAGAAAGTGGCTACTATCATTTATTTAAAGAAGCAAACTATAAGATCAGAACTCAACAGTCACCTCAGAGCTAAGGCATTAACTGCTGGAAAGTCAAGCTTTGCTCAACCTTCAATGGACAGGTTAGCCCTTAGCTTTATGAGCGTCTTCTCTTCAAAGACATGGCCGAACTATTCAAGGATTCCTGGAAAAAAAACTGATCAAAGTTCAAGACATGTGAAAAAAGCTATTTAGAATTTAATGTTAGTAGTACCTGCTTTAAAGAATATTTTTTTAAAAAGCATATACTATCTTCTTAAACATATGTATTACTTTCTGAGGCCAAATATTTTTCCAAAAACAGTGCCTCAGAAGTTAACAGGACAATGGTTCATCAATTCAAATGCTGTTTTAGAATAAGCCTTTCTGGTTCACTCATATACCTTACCTAAAAGACAGCTGTACTTAAAACAGCATTAAAATGCTTTGATTACACAGCTCTGATCCACAGCAGAATGTAACTTACTGCTTTCTTTTCCCCCTAATCATTAAAAAACTTTAATTTCATATTCTTCACTGGAAGAAGCTGTAAAATCTCTCACAAAGGGAACTTGCTTTGCTTCATTCCACTTCAAATAGCTAAATGCTTCAGGTCAATCTGATCTTTCCATAAAGTTTAACTTTGTGTTCTAACTACAACTCTCTCCCCACACTGCCTTTTCTTGACTACTTCAAGTTTAGAAGCTCTTTCTTGCCAGATGCCTTCTGGAGCCCTCCAAGATTCCCAGGCCATCCAGCTGGCTCCCACAGCACTCTGTACCACTCTCCCCAGATCCTGACCCTACAACACCCAGCACTTAAGGAGCTACTCATATAGTCCTTTTGTCCATTCTCCCCAACAAGGAGATGAAGTACAAGGCAAGCAAAAGCATGGGTTATCTCATTTTTATTTGTATTCCCAGTTCGAACATAGTGCTTACCAAACAGTAAGCACTCAGAGGTTTAAGGAGTGAAGTAATTCTTTGGTTTTAATTAAGTAGATTCTGAGCAAAATATCTGTATAGGTACTTGGCTACAGTCAGTTCTCCCTACCACTCTGTTACAACTCTAGAGCTGGGCGATTACAATACAAATTATGAAAACTTTAAACAAAGTTTTTTTAAATTTTTTTTTAGTTTAGGGGTAGACAACAATAAATATGACTTCTCTGAGACTACTGTCTCAATTTTGGCCTTGGCATCTTGCCTAATTGTAAAGATAATCCTAGGAGTAAAGCTGCTCACACACACTCAGTTTAACCATTCAGCAACCACAAATTTAGAGGAAAGACAGCAACATCATAAGGTAAATCCATGTTAAGTCCAACTAATTTCAAAGTCCGGGAGACTATTTACAAGGTCAAGCTGTTTAGGCTAAAGACAATGATTAATTTAATTCTCCTTTAACCCTCAAGCCCAATAGGAAAAAAGTGGACAGATCAGGTAAATAATTACTTTCTTACTGAGTCTTTAAGAACATCATTTTTGGTTTCAAAATGAAACGTTTTCAGTAATTTATGAAAAGTATGCATTTTCCTCTTTTCAGAGTCATTAGTCAAGGGGCACCTGGCTGGCTCAGTAGGTGGAGCATGTGACTCTTGATCTCAGGGTCGTGAGTTCAAGCCACACTTCAATGTGGTAAGCAAGCATGGAGCTTACTTAAAAAAAAATAATAATAATAATAAAAATAAAAAAACAAAAACAAACAAAACCCCCCAAAAACCACAACTATTCCGAAGTCACTAGTCAGATAACAAATATTGGCCAATTTTTACCTACTTGATTCTATAATATTTAGTAATAAGTATCATTTACCAAGTACTTACTATGTGTCAGGCTATATGTACAGCGGTTACATTATTTCATTTCATCCTCCCAACAACTCTCTGTGGTAGAGGTTATTATCATTTCCATTTTTCTGATGAGGGAAACAGACTCAGAAGTTAAGTGACTCTGCCCAAGATCACATAGCTTATTAGAGGTAGGATCAAAATGGGAACTTGGGTCTCTCTCTGTTCTTAAAAACCTTGGTGTTCAATCAGATCATGGGTATTGATGTTTTGGACAATATTTAACTAGCTCACTGGAAACTGCAAAATGCCAGCAGTAGCGTCACACTGAATAACAAAAACAAAAAAAACCAAAACAACAACAACAAAAAAAACCCCAAAAACAAAACAAAACTTGAAATTCATTTCTTCTCTGAGACATGCTTTCCCCTTTGTATTCAAATAGGTAATTACTGATACGTGTCACCAGCAGAATAAAGGAATACATTAGCAACAGGAGAAAAGCATCTTTATGTTTCAGGCTGTAACAAATCAATGTTATCAAGTCTTCCATTTCCAAACAGGTTTCTAAAAACAGTGAACTTAATGAGACAACAGTCATCACAGGCCTATGCACCACTAAGAAAGAAGCCCGAGTTCTTGGAGGTGCAGTTAGCATCTCAAGCATTTGTGCCCACAGTAAGAAAACTTTTCCTGCTGCGATAATTGTGCTAAAGTATAAAGTAGCACAGATGACCAAGACATTTGTGGGCAGGGCCCCCAATTACTTCAACTGCATGTCTATGTGAGGCCTCATTTCTGTCCCAACACATCCATAACTCAGTATAGACTTTAGCATAACGTAAGGGTCCAAAAGACTTTATCTCACTGTTTTTAGGAAACAGCCGAGTATTCAAAGTTATGCTCACTTTTGCTAGTAAAAATCTAGCTCCAGTGCTTTAATTTTATTAAGTGCTCTTGCTTTTGTTTTACTTCACAGAGTTCTCAGTGACAGTCCATGCAGCAAACTAAAGCCTACCATGTCTCCAGTTTTAGGGCCCACGATACACACGCGCGCGCGAGATAACCTAAGGTTGCGAAGGAGCTTAGCGATGCTTGCACGGATCTCCAGCAGCGAGCGGCCGGAGCTCCCGCTGGAACAAGCCCGCACTTGGGGGCCGCGCGGGTGCTCCAGGCTTCCTCCTCCTGGCTCTCCAACCCGCAGGACAAAGGCTGCAGCGTCGGCCACGCGACTAGGGATCCCAGAGAAGCGAGGGCAGGGGACACCTCGCTTGACCCAGGTGGTCAGCACCGGGGAATCGAGGTAAGCAGCGACCGGGGGAGGGAGGCGCCCGGCTCCGTCGCCCCAAGCAGCCCGGCTCTCCCCACGTGCCAGCCTGCGCTTACCGGAGAGCAGAGCCGAGCCTGTGCGCAGTGTCCGGACGGTACCCGCCCTCAGTTCCCAGGGCTGCAGCAGGCAGGGTGCGGTGGGCGCGGACGTGACGCGCAAGCTGCAGGCCGTAGCCAGCACGCTCCGCACGGCTCGCAGCGCCATGTTCACAGACGCGCGGGGGGTCGCAGTGCAAGGGGTGCGGGACCCCCGCCGGGGGGGGGGGGGGGGGGGGGGGGGCGGCCCCGGACCGGAGCGAGCCGGAGCGAGCTGGCTGGTAGGGGGCTGGTGCTTGGTAGGGGCAGGGGTGGGGATTCCAGACCAGACACGGCCTTGGATAGGGGGACAAGCGCGAGAGGGGCGTGGATATGCGGAAGAATTGCAGCCCGGAAGGGGCGGGGGGAGGGGAGGGGCCTAAGCTCAGTAGCTGGTTGGTGGGGGCGGGGCGGGGTGGGGCGGGGCTGGACCTCGTCCCAGGGAGTCGCTTTCCGGCAAGTGAAAGTGCATAGTCAGCAGTTCCAGCTTTGCCTAAGTGAGAGACACTAGGGGGCATTGAGAAGGGTTCCCGATAGAGATGGCTTCTCTGGGCGCGCATTCATGTGCCATCGCATCCCTGAGGTTCCCAGGAAGGTAGAGTGTCCCCAGTCCTGTTAAAGGATACCCTCCCTTCCTTCTACAGAGAATCAATGTCACCCAGAGCAGGTGGCCAGGTCTAAACTGACTCACTCCAAAAGAAACCAGTCGCTCATTGGCCAAAGGAGCTCTGACACATAGTGTCTTTTTGACACTTAAAAATACTGGAAACAATCCAGGAACCCAACTTTATTACTTTACAGATCCCAAGAGGCCTAGGTACCCCAAATGGGACAGACAGAATCATGAAGCTCATAGAGGTGCAAGGACTTGTCTAAGGGTCGGAAGTGTCTCGCTGGTGGATGCATGGAAGCCAGTCAGCTAATGCAGGAGCAATCAAAAGTTGAAACCCACCATGGTCAGTTCCTTGCTTAAGTAGCCAGCCCCATGACCAAGGCCTTTCCAGAAAAGCAGAAGACATGTTCCCATTCAAGAGACGAAATAATCAAGTTCTGGGGAAAATAATTAAGTTCTGGGAGAGACCTTACCTTCAACACAAATTTTATGGAGTGGGCAGGAATCAGCAAAGAAACACCAGAGTGAAAAACACCTCAAGCTGCACATCTTCATTATTACAGGGTGGGCACCTTAAAGTGATATGTGTGTCTGGTGGGGGAGGGGGGGTTGTTTAGAAGACCCATGCTGTTGCACTGAGCTTCTACCCCACTCATAAAATAGGCACTGGCAGCGCATCTGTCATGCTCCATCTTCCTTTCCCTTGCTATGTGCCACGGACTGTGCAGACATTACTTTTTTAATCCTCTCCAAACCCCTTTCTGATAGGTATTACTTTTGTTTCACAGGTGAAGAACTAGAGGCTCGGAAAGGTTAAATGACTTGCCCAAGACTGGAATGGGGAAAGCATTTATAGTTCAAGCTGCTATTAGATGGCAGTAGCAGAACTTGACCTCTAGTTGGATTCAAGGTCAACTGCTCTTAAACTCTGTTACTATGTGCCTCCCTTTGGGAAGCTGACTGGCTCACAGTGGTCTTCTCTAAAGTCCAGATCTTGGCTAGCTTCTATAATGTCAGTATTCTGTTTTTATTCTTGTTTTCTTATAAGCCATCATAGCATACTGCAAACCATGCCCTAAAATATTTATTCCTTGTTTGACTAATGCATTTGGTGGAAAAAACAAGGTCATATACCAGTCTGTGGACAATATCACATGCCCTTCCACTAAAACAGTAGGAAATGTGTCAATTTTTTAAATAAGCATTAGGATAACCAAAAAAAAATTGTTTTTCATAACTGCTAACCTTTGTAACATTCATGGCTTGAGATTTGAAAGGTCATCTCCTAACATGTTTGGTGCAGACACCTGAAAATTGCAAACACCTCAAAAGGAGCCCGCTCATGTCTTAAAGCTTTTTTTTTTTTCCTCTCATAACAATGCAACTGAAGGAGTTGCCAGTTTGATATTTACAGTCAGTTAAGGACTGGAGAGTAGATGGGAAAGATGAGAGAGATGAAGAACTTAGAAATTCTCCAGATCTTAGAACTTTTCCTATTTAAAACAGACTGTATGGGGGCACCTGGGAGGCTCAGTTGATTAAGTATCTGCCTTCAGCTCAGGTCATGATACTGGGGTCCTGGAATGGAGCCCAAAGTTGGGCTCCCTGCTCAGCAAGGAGTCTGCTTCTCACTCTCTCTCTCCCCTGGCTCATGCTCTCTCTCCTCCACATCCCTCTCCCCTCTCCCTCATAAATAAAATCTTAAAAAAAAAATACAAAAACAGACTGTAACTATCTGGGTAGGTCTCTGTACCAGTCTATTGAGAATGTGAGTACACCTTGCTATGGGTTATTTGATGACCATCTCTGCACATAAAGCTAATGTTCATACCTGACACAATAAAGAATGGATGATGGGCTTTTGGTAGGATAGAAGATGATGAAATCCCCAATGTCCATGTTGTATGGCTCTTTATAAAGGTTCCAGGGTTTTTTGTGTTTTGTTTTGTTTTTATTGTCAGGGTGGGATCCTGATTCACCTGTCATAAAAAGACATTTAAGTTCTCATCCAGAAAGAAGGCAGTAGTTCAACTCCAGGATTGATTAAGTCAGTCATCAAGCATTCATGTTCCTCTCATCTTTCTGCTCTGCTATGTTCGGATTGCTCCCCATGGTTTCAAGGTAGCCTCCAAAGTTCCAGGAGTCTTGATCAGACCAGACAATATCTAGCAGCATAAGACCCCACGGTCTCTGTGTCTCTCTTTAATAGCAAGTAGACCTTTCCAGGCAGTATCCTGGAGACTTCAGTTTTCATTGGATAGACCTGGTCACGTGACTACCCTAACTCCCTCACATCAAGGGAATGGATTATTAAGACAAATCAGGATTTACCTTAGGTCGCTACAGGGTCACCTTCCCATGAGTCATGTGGGAAAAGGGTAGAGGTCTACCAGAACAAAGTTGGGTTCTGACAGCGAGGAGGAAAGCATGAGATGGATTTGGGGCAGGCAGCCTGGAGGATCTGTTATCACAGGTATGTGAAGAGAAGGGCCCAGACCTGTGAGCTGGAGAGGATATGTGAGGTGAGTCCCGTGCATGGGGGAGGGATAATGTGCCCTTAGTCACATAGACCAACCCTTTTATTATCTAGATCTGTGGTTCTCAGAATTTAGAGCCTGGTTATCAAGTCTGACTGCACATTGGAATCACCTGGGGAGTCTTTAAAACTATTGTTGCCTGAGTCCTAGCCCAGAGGTTCTCATGTATTGGAATGAAGTCTGCAGATTCTAGCGTGTGGCCAAGGTTGTGAACCACTGGTGTAGATCAACAATTCCCGTAGTGTCCTCTAAGGAACACTAGCTTTGACTGAGGTGCTGCAGTACTGGATGGCTGGGTCAGAGAGGTTTGGGGGTCGCAATACACTTTCTCTCTTGTGCTCATCTCATCCCAGCAGTGCCCTTTTAGCATATTAAAAAGTCTGACAATTCCCATCCCAGAGAACGTGTATAACCTTTTATACAAGTGTGTTTCTCACATTTCTTTGATTCAGAAACATTTCTGAGGGAATGACACTTGTTATGTTGAATTGTGTTCCCTACAGAGATACATTGGAGTCCTAACGCCCAATACTCAAAATGAGATCAGAATTGGAAATGGGGTTGTTGAGGATATAATTAGTTAAGACGAAGTCATAATGGAGTAGGATGGGCCCTCAATCCAGTATGACTAGAGAACTTATAAGAAGAAAAGAAACAGGGACAGACACAAGGAAGAAGGCCATGTGACGACACAGAGAATAGAATGATTCATCCTCAGGCCAAGGAACACCAAAGAACACCAGAAGCCAGAAGAGAACATGTCCCCTTTGACACCTTGATTTTGGGCTTCTATCCTACAGAACAGAGACCATAAATATCTGTTCTTTTAAGCCACCTAGTTTGTGCTACTTTGTTCTGGCAACTGTAGCCAATTTATATGACGGCTATGAACATCTCTTCCCAAACACGGTTTGGGAAACCCTGAACTAGAATCATTGAGAAGCAATCCCTGACCAACCAAGAAGATGAAATAGTCCACAGACATTATTTTTCCCAAACTCCAGACAATACTCGTTTTATTTCTAGAAGGAAATACATTTGAACAAACAGTCTATCTCAGTAGCGGCAATTGCACATATCTCTCTATATATTTTTCTTATTTTTTCACTTGCCGGATGCGAAGCCTGTTCTATGCACACAGGAAAACCTGGAGAGAGAATGTAGAATCACCAGTAAGCACAGGTCTGAGGCTCTGGCCTTCCCCTTCCATAGTTAGATGAAGAGCTTAACCCTCGGTGCAGCTGGTGCAGGTGGAGGGGCCGGGCCTCTGACTGCTACTTGGGCTGCTCCCTGCTGTTGCCAGGCTCCTCTCTTTTACGTTTAATACCCAGGAAACCGAGTATTTTCATCAGCAAAAAATCAGCAATCTCTTCTTCTTCCGACAGCTGAAGAGGGAAAAAGAACCATGTGACGTACATAGAACCATACTCTTTGGAGGCCTCTCCTTCTTTCTAAGGAGAAACCATGGTATCATTGTCCAGTTCAGTCACTGCCAAAGTCACTTCGGTATTTAGTCAACTTTGTGTTGGGAGTCCCCTTCCTCTGCGAGTCCCAAGGGTGTGTGTTCCCACCTATATCCCGAGGAGGTTCCTTCTTCCCTTATGACGAAAATGATAAAATTCCCTCTATCACCCCCAACAGAGGCTCTTAGGAATGTATGTGCAAAGACCCTTATGCATTGCTGCTCGAACGTGAAACAGTGCAGCCACTTTGGGAAATAGTTTGCTAGTTTCTCAAAATTTAAACCAGTTACCATATGACTGGTTGAGATACATTTCTAGGCCCAAAATGGAGCTGCTTCTGCCTGGCGTGCCATGACAGCACACCGAAGCTTACAGAACTTTTGGTGTCCCTGTAAATGCTCCCCTGCCCAGAATGTCAGGTCAGCCAGTCCCCAAACACAAAGCCACCTCTGGGCTCTATACTTCTTTTCTGTCTCACCCCAAACAAGGTTGACTGTGTGGCCCCAGCCAATCAGATATATTTTTTTTTAGTTTTTCTCTTCCTTGTTCTTTATTATTTCTCCTGTAAAAGCTTCCTGTGTTCCTCCTGATTTGTACTACTCTGAATGGAGACTGTCCACTTCATGAAGTGTTCAAGTTTGTATCGCCTAAGTTTTCTGCTTTAATCATCTTTTAACAGATTCTCAGCCTCGGCTGTATTTTAAAATCACATGGGAAGATTTCAAAAATACCAGTGTTTGACTCATTCATCCAGGGATTCTATGTTTATTGGTCCCAGTGCAGCAGCGGCAGGCGTCCCAAAAGCCCCCATGTGATTCTAACGTACAAGTAGGGCTGGGAATCCCTGGAGTTGTGAACGGAGTGCCGCCCTGGGAATCAGGAGACCCGATTCTAGTCTGCCCTTCATTTGCTTGTAATCTCAATTTCCTCCTTCTGGACCTGTTTCCCCTCCCATGAAACGGGGGCTTTGGGCGACAATGGTCTCTCAAATACCCATAATGTCTAATGCTGCTCGATCTCTTCCTAGTTCAAGGTCAGTGACTGTTGAAGAATAGACCAAAGGGACTCACATGATCATATTTTTGCTCCTCATTGAAGGCCACCAGGATGACAGAGATAAATAGATTCAGCACCACAAATGTCATGAAAATGATGCAAGACCCAATCAGGAAAGAGCCAAGCACTGGGCTATAGTCCAGGACCTGTGGGGAAGAAAGCAAGACTCATCCCCAGGAGTCCTGTGACCTAGCGGCCACTTCCCCCGGGCACCCTCAAAGGAAAAACTGGTTCCCAGATGAGGCAGGGCCTGGAACCAGGAAGGTCTCCTTCTGCCTGGCAGCTGAGAAAATGGGCAGTCTTCTCAAGAGCTGCTAGGAGAAAGGATAGCACCCCTTACTCCCTACTGCCGCCATTTCCAAATATGGCTACCATTTCTGGCTAGGGCCAGGAACATTCTAGGGACCAGCACAGCCCTCTCCTGAGTAGCCAGTGCCTGATATTCTCCTATAAGCAGATATCCCCACGGTGAGCTATGGGCCCTAGTATGAGACTATCTGCCTAGAGGAAAGGGAACAATTTTATTTGTCCAAAGTTGCCCTGTGCTCGCCTGGCCATGGACTTAAGGGGTAACATCCACCCAGGAGGAGGCATTTGAGGGTGCTTTTTCTTTCTCATAAAGGCTTGGTGTAGATGGCAATGTCTGTGTCCCCCACCCCCAACCCACCACACCCCATTACCTCCTCATAGTTAAAGATTCCTAGCTGAAGGCTGATCATCGTTTCTGCTGCATCAAAGAGAGTTTTGTAGGAACGGAGTTTCCAACCAAATATTAAGTTTGACTGTTATGGAAAGAGTCCTCGTGAACACAGAAAGAAACCAAGTGACCTCCCCACTCCACCCCCAACGCCTGTTGTTTGACAGTAAAGTCAATGTTCTGGGTCAGCCATATCCTTGGACTAAGCTGTACCCCTACTGCCAGTTCCTACAAGGGCCTGCAAATGGGTGTGTGTACAAACCCAGTTCTGTAAGGGATGAGTATGCATTTCTGGGGCTCAGGCATCACCCATTAGGCCACTGTTATGTTCACTTAGATGGCTGCTCTAAGACTCCACGATGAAACTAGGCTACTTTAGGCCCGAACATTTTTGCTCTCGGGGAGTTGGGTTGCATAACAAAACCGAACCCAGATTTCTGCCTGGGCCTTACACCCCCACACACCTTATTTCCTCCTCCTTCCCCCCAAAGATTTCCACTACTGTGTCAGAGAGACCCAGCGCTCCCTTGGCTGTGAGTTGGTGACTTCTGGTCCCAGAGGACACTGCAGTATCCTCAGATCCTGCACTGCACATGGAGGACTGAATAAATCCATGTGAACTGAAGGGTCAGGTGGAGTATTTTTGATAAAACTAGACTCCAGCTTTTTAGCGTATACCCTCCATCACTGCATCGACACACCTCACGCATTTCTCAGGGTGAGAGAGGAAGATGGAGTAGGCTCAGAGACTAGGGGGTTAGGGTTGAGGTAATAGGGACAGAAAAAGGATGAGGAATGGGAGAGGGTTAGAGAGGCAGTGGAGAACACCACTGGGTGGTCAGGGATGATGGAATGTGAGACTGGATGGGGCCAAGGCGAGAACTGGGAGAAGAGTTGGGGTAGAGAGTGGGTCAGGATTGGGTGAAGGGTCAGAGAGGAGTGGGGACCCTGGTATTATGGGGAATGTGGACTTGGAGAGGATGGGGGCATATTTAGATGGAGATCAAAATGTGGCAGAGGGTCTTTGTTTCTCACATTAACTGAAAATGAAAAAGTTGATAGTGTAACATTTTTTTCATTCACAAAAGAGATTTGATTGCCAAAAATCTCTCACTGTCAAGGGACTGAATGAAATGATTTTTGGCACCATTAAGTTCATGCCTCATGTGTGAGGCATCAAGCAGTGACATAGTCTGCAGATGTGTCTGTCCTTACTTCCCCATCTCTGTGCAAGTCATCTCCACATCCCCCAACACAGAGGGAATGTTCTGTGCATGTCTGAGCAATTGGGATGTCAGGAGACCTGGCACATCCAGACAGGGTCTAGATACAGAAAGGAATTCTTTGTTGGAGGTAGTTAGCCATGTCAGTCTTAGAGACTATACCTCCTCACTCTTACCCATCTGAGGTCTCTAGCCTTTTTCATTTGGGGTGGCCAGTTTATGAGCTCCCAGATGAAAAGCCCTGGACTCAGAAGCCCCACAATCTCCCTCAGGTATCGAAGTCTTCTCAATCCCAACCCTCAGCCTCCCACCCCTGAGAAGCCTTTGCTTCCAAGGAGACCAGCCCTGAAGGTTTTATCGAAGGAACCACTTACCGCAATGGAGTAAGTCAGAAGCATGATAAGGATGACAACGATGAAGCCTGAAATGTCCCCCCAAGCCCGGCGCAGGGCTGAAGTGATCATGTTCATTTTGGGGTTCAACCTGAGCAGATGCCAAAGCTTCACTGTGGACAGCAGTACCAGGAAGGCAATGATGTAGCCAAGGGCAGCATCAGCCGCTGCTGTCTCACCAAAACTGATCCCCCTGTGGGACCGAAAAGAGGAGACTAGGTCTCAGAGACTATGATAAGCTCAGCCCAGGAGGCAGGATTAGATTTAACATGATCCCAGAGGCCATCACTTCCCATAATAGGTCTGAGAGATAAAGCTGGTCCAATTTCCCCAGCTAGGTAATGATGAGCTGGTGATGATGGTGATGGTGGGATGATGGTTATGATATGAATAAGATAGTGATGGTGGTGATAATGATAGGGATGATGGTGAGGATGATGCCTATGATAGGGATGATGATGTTGATGGTAGTCATGGGACCATTACCTAGCATTTTTGGTTAATGGCTGCAGAGCTATGGAAGAAGAGCAAAGGAGGAATCCTCCCAGTGTCAAGAAGATGGAAGTGAGGGCATTCTGTGAGCCTCCCCTCCTGGTTTGGGGTCCATGGTTTAGATGCCATGTCCTCCCTCACACTTTCTGAGTGTGTGCCTGCCCGGCCCTTGCATTTGAAGGAAGGATGGAAGTACCATTCAGTTTCTTTGCTAAGTTAGGCCTGTTGAACCTCAACTGCATTGTCTCAATTGACCTTCAAGATCACTGGATGAGGTAAGTATTACTGTCTCCGTTCTACAGATAAGGATGAAGGATTGGCTCAAGGTCACAGAGCTAGTGACATAACTAGTGGCGGAAGGATAAGAGTTGGAATCCAGGCATGTCTGATTTCACCCTGCCCTTCATTCCCTTTTCTTCCTGTATTTGCACTTTTAATTCAGTCTTAATGTCAGTGTATCATTAACATGACATAGAACTAAGGGTGCCTGAGCAGCTCAGTGAGCTAAGCATCCCACTCTTGATCTGAGCTCAGCTCTGTTCTCAGGGTTTTGTGTTCAAGCTCTGTGCTGGGCTCCACACTGAGCATGGAACCTACTTAAGGGAAAAAAAAATGTAAAATGGAGTAGACCTATATCTGGTGACATGGTTTTGGAGAACAGGTTGTTGTTAGAGGATTTCCTTTTCCTTTGGTGCCTATGGTTCTGGGTCACACCACTTTGAAGAATGAAGAGGTAGACCAGACAAAGAGTGGTGGGCAGCAAAGCAAAGTTTCCTGAGCAATAGTAAAGTGATAATACAAAGCTCCTGAAGAGGGAGGGGACCTCAGGGCTAGCCACACGGAGTTTCTAAATCTAAGGGTCTTTGTGGGCTTGCTGTGTTGTTTTAATCTGATAAACCCTCCATGCTTTTGTCATTCAAACAGGTTTTTCCTTCGTCATCCATCAGTGGGAAAGGTTGGAGGGCTCATTCCAGGGTGGTGTAAAATGCTTTTAAGGCTGTTTTCCTCTTTGGTTGGGGGATAGGGGACTTTGTTCCTGCCTGCCTTTCTTCCGACTATCCTTCATCATTATGGAACAAAATTATATGATCTCAAGTTTGTAAAAGCATTTAATATAAATTTATCATGACCGAATGAAAGCTACTCTTCTACTTAATCTCCCGCCTTCTAGAATCTTCCTTTCCTTTGAGCAGACTGGGGCTGCTGGTATGGATGGTTGATTCCTCCTCTGGCTCCTGCCGCACCTTTTTCCTGCCTCTTTTAACATGCCTAACCCTCTCTTGTGACATTTAGAGCTCAGTGAAGGTTTGTGAGCTAAATAAGCCAGCCTAGGGTGTAAGTTAGGAATACAGAGTTCAAATGACAGGCCCTGCATTTCCATTTCCAAATTGTGACCTTGGACAGACCTCCTTTCTGAGCCTCAATCTCCTTACCTGAAAAAAGAAAGGGGGGAGATGTTCATAATTCTATCTTTTAGAAGTTTGGGGAAGATTAAAGTATATAAGATGATGCTTTTAAAGTGTTTTTATAACAGAGTACAGCATCCAACAATAAATAAATGTTTTCCATATCAATACAATCAGTGGATGAGTCAAGACGCAAAATGGTTTGAAGTAAGGATTGGGATCCTATAGACACAAGCTAGGTTTTGGGGTTTTTTGTTTGTTTGTTTGTTTGTTTTGTTTTCTTTTAAGATTTTAAGAAATCTCTAACCCAAAGGTGTAGGACTCAAACTCATAATCTTGGGATTAAGAGTCACATGTTCTACTGACTTAGCCAGCCAGGTACTCCTTAAGGATTTTATTTTTAAGTAATCTTAAAATTACTTTGTAAGCATGAGGCTCGAATTTATACCCCCCAAGATCAAGAACTTCATGGTCTACTGACTGAGCCCCTCTCATGAGCTAGGTTTACATTACTTCTCTGCCACCTTTTAACTCTGTGGCTTGGAAGTTAGCTCTCTGAGCTTCAATTTCTTTCTCTTTCTCTCTCTCTCTCTCTCTCTCTCTTTTAAGATTTTATTTATTTATTTATCAGAGAGAAGCAGAGTACAATCCAGGGAGCAGCAGACAGAGGGAGAAGCAGGCTCCCTGCTGAGCAAGGAGCCGGATGCAGGAGTATATCCCAGGACCCTGGGATCATGACCTGAGCTGAAGGCAGGTGCTTAAATGACTGAGCCACCCAGGCATCCCTTCAATTTCTTTATTTGTAAAATGGAGTAGCGTTAATGTAAGCAGAAAGAGTTACGGGTTCCCAGGAACAGAAAGACCTAGCTTTCTTGACAATAGGAAGTCATTTTAGGCCCCCAGCCATCTTGTGAATGAATGTAAGAATAAAACAGCCATTATCAGGCCAGGAGATAGCCTGATCATATCAGGGACAGTCAGCCTGAAACAAAAGCAAGATTGACTTGGTGTGCATTCTTGAGTTCTCTTTGCAAGATCTAAACCTCCTTGAGTACTCAGATACCACACCAACTAAAGCCAAGGAATTGATAATGCTGACCTTTGCCAGCCCGAGTGACTTTGACCTGGACTCAATTACCCTAAGATGACTTCTGCCCCAATGCCGTGGTGTATTTCCCATTGTGCCTGCAAGCCCCTTCTGAATATGCATTTACCCTTACTCAAAACTTCACCAGTTTTGTTGTTTGAGGAGACACTGCTTTGGAAAAGATCCTTGGTGTTCTCCTTCACTTGTTGCAAGCAAAATTCTCCCTTTTCCTACTCTTTTGGCTTGGTGGTGTGTTTTGGCTCGACACCCACCAAGAGGCAAACCCACTTTCAAGTAGTAACAACATGTACCATTGTGGGTTCTCCTCTGAGCATCTCGTGGGCTAGTGCCTCTTGCCTAGCAGAGTGGACACTTTGTAAATGGTAGCAGATGTAGGCAGACTGGTGTGCTGCTACATCTTCTGGGCAGGGACCTTCACAGGGTGTCACATGATTTTATGTTTTGGTAAGATTTTCAAAAGTAAGATACTGTTCTATTTTGTCTTGAAGAGCTTTCTCAACTACAGATGTGTTAGGCCCCAAACCTGAATCAAAGTGGTAGCTATAGTTATGTTTTTCAAGAGTGACCCTGATCCTCTGAGGATCAACAAGATTTCAAAAGCCACACCACCACCCGCAGGCCACCCCCGACCCCCGCAACCCTGGGGCCACAGGTCTGATATGGGAGTTGGGCCCCGAGGCAGAGCCACTTACTCCTCCCCATGGCTCCGGTAGTGCTGGAGGTCTCGTTCTGCCAGGATGGCCCTCTTCACAAACATCGCCAGGGCACTCCAGCTGGCCAGGATGATGGTTAGCTCCAGAAGATTCCACTTGCTATAGAAATAGCACCACCTCTGTTTCCTCATGAGCTTGCCCTGGGAGAGGAGCTAGAGGTTCTACCACATGCTGTAGCCAGAACTGTGCCTCCCCACCCCTTCCACCATGGCTCCCCAAAGCACCCGAGATGACCCTCCAGCAGGGCCTACGGTATCCTGGAGAGGCTTCTCAATAAAGAAGCCCCAGAGTGCCTGGGGCCTCTCCCCAGCCTTGTGCACACACCTCATCTACTTTCAGCACCAGCTTGGGTTGTAGAATTTGGGGGCACATAAGAGTAACAGCATCTAACAAGAAAAATATTTAATTATCTCTGATGGGAAAAAAAAAAAAACTGGGGAATGGGAAAGAGCCACCCACTCTTTCATAGAGCGTTTACTTTAGAAAACGTATAATTGTGAAATCTTTCTCTGTCCCTTTGAGATGTATGCAAAGCTTCTTGAAAGTTAAACTAGCTTCAGGAATGTTTTTCTAAGGGACCTGGGAGCTTTCTTTTTGAAGGGTGAACATGAAGGAAGGTAGTACCCTTCATTTGCAGTTTCTCTGGGAGGGTAGGAACCAAGTGGTAGGCACCTGGTTCCAGGTTGCACAATTACCTCCTAGTGTGAACATGTACATTTATTTTTCCTTTTGATAAAGGCAGTTAGCAAACACAAGTGGCCATCCCAATTACTAGCTGAATTTAGGGTGGACTAGTGGGACAGATGATGCCATGAATCCTCTTGAGGATTCATTACTATTTGTCTTAAGGATGAATATGTAATGGATCCCATTTGCTCTGCAGTATGCAAAGGTGAGACTCCTTTCTGTCTTTGGAATTTCTTAGCGGATTGCCTGGGATGCACATCACAGTTTAGCATCATGCTTATTCAATAAGAAAAGTTGTTTTCTTGGGAGAAGTTAGGAGTTCTTGTTTAACAGATACAATTTCAGTTCTGTAAGAGGAAAAAAATTCTGGAGATGGTTCCATGTAGTGATGGTTCCATGACAATGTGAATGTACGCAACGTCACTGAGCTGTACATTTAAAGATGTTGGGGGTGGTAACTTCTATATTATATATATTTATCTACCACAATTAAAAATGAGTAGTTTTGGGGCACCTGGGTGGCTTAGTGGGTTAAGCCTCTGCCTTCGGCTCAGGTGATGATCTCGGGGTCTGGGGATCGAGCCCCGCATTGGGCTCTCTGCTCAACAGGGAGCCTGCTTCCTCCTCTCTCTCTGCCTGCCTCTCTGCCCACTTGTGATCTCTGTCTGTCAAATAAATAAATAAAAATCTTTTAAAAATTTTTTAAAAATGGGTAATTTTGTTAAAGTAGTTTTGGTTTTTTTTCTACCTTTGTGGAGAGGTTTTCTAGATTGGTAGGAGACTTTGTTTTAATCATCTTTCCGCATCAGGTGTCACACGTCAAAGGTATTATGTTTTGCAAGTTCTAAGTCTCCTGCTTTTCCCTCCCACTAAAGAGAATCTTCCATGGTCTGTTACATTTCCCTCTCCCTCCCTACTCTTCAGGAGAACTGATTTGTGTTTGGCTGCTAAGAGGCTAAAGTTTACCTCCATTAAAAAGGGTTGAAGGAGGGTAAGATTTTAAGAACTGCTTAAGTGGCATTTTTGAGAAAGATTTAAGGGCTTTGGAGATAAGTGTTGTGCTGCCCCTGCAGGCAGAGGGTGAGGGCAACCCAGAGGGGGAAGAGTGACCTGGGGGGTGTGATGGGGTGGGGACTGGATGTGCCTCCTTCGGTGTTCTTAGGTTGTTATTTGATGACTGTTCCCTGTTGGGTTTGCACTGGTGATGCCCAGAGGCCCCGTGGGATCCAGGTTTATATGTCTGAGGTGCGACAGAGGTGTTGAGTGTCAAGTTCAGTGAGCAGGCTCTCTGGATTCAATTTTGGCCTTGAATAAATTCCTTAATGTCTCTGGACTTCAGCTTCCTACTCTGTGAAGTGGAGCCAATAGAACCTTTCTCCTGGTATTTTTTTGTTAAGATTTTATTTATTTATTTGACACAGAGAGAGATCACAAGTAGGCAGAGAGAGGGGGGAAGCAGGTTCCCCGCTGAGCAGAGAGCCCTATGCGGGCCTCCATCTGAGGACCCTGAGATCACCAACTGAACCAAAGGCAGAGGCTTAACCCACTGAGCCACCCAGGCACCCTCTCCTGGTATTAAAGGTTCTTCAAACAATGTCTTTCACGTGGTAAACTCTCAGAGTACCGTCCTTACTTTAAAGTGGTTGTTGTGACTATTGATTGACCAGGGGATGGGGATGCCCTTTCAAGATGTCTGGTTTGCATTTTTGGTGGGGCAGGGGCATATACCGAGCTTGGAATGAGTTCCCAGCTTCCTCAAACCTCCGTCATTATCAACATCTGCACCTTCATTTTGCAACATGGTGGTATTTAAAGGTAGCAAAAGGAGATTTTTTCCCTAATACCCAGGGTCCACAGGTCAACCACTGGCTACCTTTGATATTTTTGAAAGGTCTCAGTTCTTCTCCCTTCCCCACCCAGGAAGGATCACCCTCTGAGTCTCAGTTCCTGAGAGGTCCTGAAAGCTGGTCTCTGAGCTGGGTCAAGCCCTTGGGACTGCAGAAGGACCAAAAGGGTGCCATGGCAAACAGGCTAGCAGAATGCGCCCCTCTCCCTTCTTCAGGCCTCACTCTGGGGGAGGTCCATGAGAGGGGACAGGCACGCTGCTGCCTCCATCCAATGGAGCCATCATCTACGCCTCACCTGCACAACCATGTGGTAGAGGAGGAACAGGAGGTAGATGGCTTCTGCTGCTACCACGAAGGGGTGCCAGCCGTCAGTGAAGGGGTACAGGCGTAGGCTCTGCAGGTTCACATGTGTAAGGAAGGTTCCTGGGAAGCAAAACGTGTTCTGTTCAGCCGGTCACCCGCCCACTCAAAGCCACCACTTCTGACTGGAAGGCATCAGTGACATGATGCAAACTCAGGCCCTTCCAAGGACTGGCGAGGGCAGAAGAGAAGATAAATATCCTTCAGACCCACAGACCCAAGGGACTGGGCACACGGTGGATTTCAAAGGCAATGAGCATATTAGAGGGGAGAGCCACTCCCTATCCTCTGCCTCTGGTATCAGCCAAAGCACACCATCCCACTGAACATTCATTTACTCCAGGCTGGCTCACTTAAAGCTGGTTCACCTAAAGAGAGTTCGCTGAAGATCAATTCATCTATTGACCAGTATTCCTGAAATTCAGCCTTCTTTTGAATCATCTTTCATCTATTTGTGTGTCTTGTCTTTTTGGGGGAGTATTATAATGATATTTTGTAATGATTAAAAAAAAAAAAACCAGTTTGACTGATAAAGCTACTGCCTCTGAAGACAAAGCCAACCCTGAGAATGTGAGAATGGAGAGACACAAACAACGTGAGTCCTTGCCAATATCAGTGGGCTGCTTGAACCAACAAGACCTGAAACCCATTCCTCATTTCTCATTTGTAGAAACACATGATTTAATCAGATGTGTTTGGGGACAGCCTGTTTAATTGGTCCTTATGAGCCACAAAGGTGGCAAAAAGAGTAGGAGAACACAAGGATACAAGTACTACTCCCCCCAACAAAAGGATTTGAAATAAGCACTTCATAGTGGCCAGAGACCATGGAAGTTGAAGGCCTTTTACTTTTCACTTTACATGGTTCTGAAATTTTAAAGACTACAGGTATGTATTTGTTTTACTAAAAATGTAATTTGGTACTAAAAATGGCTTAATTTTTAGAGGAAAGATGGTTGAATTTTAGGAAAATCGGTTATTAGCTGAGGAAGCTTTGGGTCAGTGTTTTCAATAGATTATGATAGCTTTAAAAGAGGTGGAAGGCGGGAAATGGAAAGAAAGAAATGGAACAGAACACAAAATATCAGAGTATACTGCATGTAGTGAAGGAAGATATTTTTGAAGCTTTTGTCTCAGTTTATGTATATTTGTATGTGAATGTATTGGAAAATAATGTAAAATGTATCTCGTCCTGTAGGTTGAGGTACAAGTTGTAAAATGTTGTTTTAGGTGAAATTATCTGTTACCAGGTCACCCCTTCTCCAGCCTTTCACTGCCAGCCCCCCAGCCTGCCTTCCCCAGAGTAGGAAGCTGAAGACGATGAGCTGTCTTCAGACTCCCAGCTTCGTTCCCTCAGGGTATCTTAGGAGACAGGCCAGAGGGAAGTGGAGGCAACTAGTAATAAGGCTGGAGCAATGCTGGAACCCGACCTTTGGGTGCCCAGGAAGAACCAAGACCCATCCCTGAGTCTCCCAAACAAAACCGGCCCCAGAACTCTGGCCCTGGGGCAGCAAGGGCCAGCCCGGTCAGGGGCCCTGGCCCAGAGGGAGGGGTGTCTGTCTTCTAGAACACCATAGATGGGGTCACAGGTGAGGCTGCCCACCCAGGGCGCTTGTCTCCAGGGTCAGAGTGATGATGCAGAACAGGTTAACGTTGGCATTGTAGACGGCGAACTCCACAAAAACAGCTCTGGTCAGTCTGTCCAGCCAGGTGTTGTCAAAGAGGTACTGGAGAATTCTGTAGGAAAAGGACTGTTTAGGGACATTTCCAATTACAGTGGCTCCCTGCCCCTCTGCCCAGGAAGGAGGCCAGCGTTTCCTGTAGAAATTTCTCCTTCTGGCTCTGCTCCATCCCCTGGGCCATAGGGCCTGGGGGCTCCTCCTGGGAGTGATCAGTTTCCCACCAATGGTGCAGTGTCTTGGCACCCATGGTCTCCTGGACGTTAGAGAAAATGTCCTGTAAGTGTGGTCCCCATAGTGCCAGCATCCGCATCATCTGGAAACTCAGTAAAAATGCAGATTCTCAGTCCCCATCCCAGATCTTTGGAAACAAATTCCTCTGGGGGATCTGTGTTTTGCAGATCTGTGTTCTGATGAGCCTTCCAGGTGAGTGTGACACTTTTTAAAATTTGAGGACCACCCATGTGAGAGGAACCACATAGAAAATCAGGGGCTTCGGCAAGCAGATTCAGCTTCCTTATCTACAGTGGTGTTAACACCAGTGCTTCGGGAACATTGTGAAGAGAAATTACAATAGTGTGTCGTTTGTGTGTAATAGTGACAGCTGCTATTACTGGCATTAATAGTGATGGGCCTGTTTTAAAATATGCCCTGTGCCCACTGGGTCTGTGTCCTGCTTTGTGTTTAGAAGAGAGAACATCAGTTGTTGCAAGTGGCAGGAAAACACTTCTTAAATGGAAACTGACAATTCCTGTCCTGTCCTGAATCCCAGGGGACCCCTGTCAGTTGTTCTCTTTAGGGTTTTGTTACCTGTGTTCCTCGAGAAGACTGAGGTGCACATGGGTTCCCTAACTTGCCTGAGGCCACACAGCTAACAGGAGCAGTGCCAAGGTTTCACACTTAGGGCTCTCTAACTCTGGAGTGTGCTGGGAGAGGCAGTCTGCATAGGCCCTGGATGTCTCTGCTCCACCATGTTGGGTATTCCAGGAATGCAAGGTCCTGGCTGGGTTTACCCAAGCCATTTCTTAAGGCTGTGTTCCCAGTGAGCAACCTCGAGGGATAAGGTAATGTCCTTCAGACAAAGCAGGCTTGCTTCTGTCACTATAGAAACAGTGAATGCTCCAAACTCAGTGTTCTTCCTTGCTACTATAATTCACTGCACATAAAAGCATGATTCTTGGCTAAGATTACGAGCCTTAGCCACTTCCTACCTGCCTGGTGGTAGATGTCTTTGTGTAGTAGAGCTCCATATCCCTACACTGGCTCTAGCAGAGGCCACCAGACTCAGCCCACCAGGCCGAGAGTGCTGGAGAGGGACTCAGATTGCAGTTTCCAGGGACCCAGAAATACAATCTGAATACTTCTGTGTCCCCCAGTTCCTCCCTAAAATGACATGAATGAGCTTTGCTGCACCTGTTAATAAGACCCAGACCCTAGGAAATGACTTTCCTTGGGTATACGTGAGTCAAGTGAGTCTTACCTTGATGCGCTTTTGCGATCAGTCCCCAAGGGGACCACATAACCTCCTCCCCGGTACACAGTGAATTTGCCCCAGATGGGACACCCTCGGCGTTGGCTCTGGCTCTGGTACTGCCAAGCCTGGGAAAAGCCACTGCTGTTATTGTGTATGGAGGCATTCCAGCCTTCCCCATAGTCTGACAGGTCTTCAATATCCAGGGAGTATGGTGCATGGCATCCGTCGAGAGAAGCCTGCAGCTGTGGGGCAAGAGGGCAAGAGCTCTCCCGGACCCTCACTTGGCGAATCTGGGCACTGCCCACCAGCTTAGAGTTCCCATCCGTGATAAAGCCTGGAGATGAAAAACAGGTGGGTCAGCCTAGCCATCAAAATTGTCTTAGTGCATCCTGGCCTGGATGTTAACATGAATTTCAGTGTACCCAGTGTAAAAACAGTCAAGAGTAAGTAGGTCATGGCCAATCACAGGCTATATTCATCACCATCTTCCACGCTTAGGTGTGGTCTACTTCCTGCATAACTTCTCTTGAGGAGTGGTACCCCCACCACCTAGTCATCAACTTGGAGACCCTTTGTGCCCTTTCTCTCAATGCCCACATCCTAATGGTCAGCAAGGCTCATCAACTCTACCTCTTTACTGTTGTCTGCACCCGTGCTCATTTCTCCATTCACCCCTTCCTCTCTTGCCTCCATCAGCCCCATCGTTTCTCGCATCCTAACTACTCTCTATTCCAACTTCCACATGATTCTAGAATGATCCTTAAGTGCAAATTCGATTATGTTACTCCCTCCCAAAGAAACTGTCAATGCCTTCTCATTTCCTTAAGCATAAAATAGAACTTCTGAGACCCTTGATGATCTGACCCCTATTTCTCTTTTGCTTTACTTTTAATGGGTCCTCAACTCATATCTTACACTGCAGCCACACTCAGCGCTTTGTAATCCCAGGGACGTGCTGTGCTACTTCAGGCTTGCCTTCCCCCTGTTGTCCCTTGCACCCGGTATACTGTTTCTGCCTAGCTGGTTCATGCTCATGTATCTCTCAATTGGAATGTCCTCCACTCTGCATCAGGGGCGGTTTAGGGCCCCTCTCTTGTGCACACACAGCCTTCTGAGGGTCTCTCTTTCAAAGCATATGGCCCTGTGGTTAGTGGCTCTCTGTGAGGCTGATGGTGATAGTCACCCACTCCTGTTCCTAGAAAGCAGTCTGCACAAGAAATCTGTCTTCAGGTGAGGGAAAAGTACCTGGATAATAACTGTATAGGTTGCTCAGGAGGGTGGTGTTGGCCCACACGAAGAACTCTCTGAAGCTTAACACAGCTGAAAAGCCTTGGGTGAAGCTGTGCTCAAGGTGTCTGTTGAAGTGGTAGGTGCTGGGGTCCCTCTGCCCATAGGCGACCAGCAGCAGCATCCACAGGAAGCCCAGGTATGCTGAAAGTGGAGGCGTAGCCCCTGGTCAGGCAGGGTTCCCAAATCCCACCAGCCCAAGGCAGGAAACAGAATGGCATACAACTCAGAATAGTTGAGGTCTTGTAGACCAGCTTCTTGCCCCCTAGTGACAGTGGAACCAATCCTTAGACAGTGGGAAGGAGTTAAATCCACAGATATGAGCTTGCCACCTGGATTCAAATCCTGGCTCCGCCACTTCCTGTCTATGTGCTTTACTAGTGACTTAACCCCTCTGCTTAACCCCTCGTTAACCCTAGTCACTAGCTTTACTAGTGACTTAACTAGTGACTTAACCCCTCTGCTTTACTCTCCTCATCTGTGAAGTGGGGATAATAATTCTGTTTCATAGGGTTGTAATAAATTAATATTTATTAAGCACTTAAAAATAGGGCTTGCCCAGAGTTCATGCTATATAAACATTTCTTAAAAAGAATCTTCTGAAAATGGTGCTCTGCCATGTTACAATGCTGAGGATAGAGCAATGAAAATGACAGTTGTGTTCTGTGCGCTCGTGGAGCTCACCTGTGGACAGGTGAGTGTGATGTAAGGGCCCCTTACATACAAAGATTTAGTTTAGGAGGCCAGCCATCAGAATGTGGGGGGTGCAGAGCATTACCCAGAATCTCTGGGTTCAGGGCCTGGGAATATGCATCCCAGCAAGCCCTCCCTGGGCTGAACTGGGGCTCTGCCCACACCTCTAGGCTCTCTTCATTCTGTAACATGCTGCTACTCCTATGCAAGCTCCCCTGCTCTCTGCATTTGTCTGGCTGTATGTGCTCAACCATTGGGAAGGCAGGGCAGGAGTGCTGCAGGGTCCATGTCCTCCCCGAGAGCAGCCTTCACCAGTGACCTGTGTGACAACCTGGAGGTGTGTACTATATACCCCCACAGAGGTCCCCAGCAGGACTGAGCTCCAGGTCTCACACGTAAACCACTCATCATCACACCTTCTTTCACCTCCCTTCTCTTCTATACTTTCCTTTTCTCTACCAGTATTTCCCAGGATCACCTCCCAAAGCAACTACTTGTACCCCAATCTGCTTATGGGAGAACCCAGACTAAGATACAGAGTGTTGTTTGAAAGCAGGCTTGGGGAGTCTTTCCGAAGACATAGTCTTTGGGCTGAGAATTAAAGAATAAGGACTTAGTCAAAAGAAAAGATGGGGAGAAGAGGAGATACATTCCAAGCAGATTAGATTAGCCTGGGCAAAGGCCTGGGGTCCAGAGAGTGAAGGAGTCCCAGGAGCAGCAGAACATGGTGTGTCCAGAGCTCAGAGCACAACGGGCTACAAGAGTGACCCAGGGTCGGCAGAGCCACAGTAGGGAGTTTGGATTTTATCCTAAGGGCCATGTGGGGCCACCAAGGGATTTTAAGTATAGGGGAGAAGCTGGGGTGAGACAGTATGGGTCTGTCAAAGATTATACTGTTGTCTGTTGAAGTCTGTGCTGACAACCAGTGAGTGAGGAGACTGCTTGTGGGTGACCTTGGTTGCCTACCCAAGATTTCTCTGATGAAGGCAAATGTCTTCTGTTCCTTGAGATGGGTGGTTTTCATCTTCTCGACGTCAGCGGCCAAAGGCGGCTGGTAAATGTCCTTTCTGCTGCATCGTCGTGCTCGGAACAAGACAGAGGGGTCTGTGAAAGCAAAGACATGAGGACCGTCGCCCAAAAGGCAGTGGAACCAGCCTCAGCTTTTGCAACCAGAAACCTCCTGTCTTCACCAGGAATAACAGGATCCACCATTCCTACTCCTCAGGAGCCATTTCCCAATGCTGCCCTCCATGCCTCTGCTGCTGCCATCCCTATGCTCAAAATTCTGACCCTACTCCAGCTGGAGGATTCTCCTCATATTGAAAGCACAACACCCTCCCCTCCCTGTGCTCCTGAACCCTAAGACAGATCCCAGTGTTCCCGAAACTGTAATGGATGGAAGAAAGAGGGTAACTAATATTTCAAAGTCCTGTCATGTCTAAGTATCTTCTTTTTTTAAGCCACTTTATTGAACTATAATTTTCATAAATTTTCCCACTGGACGTCTACAATACAATGATTTTAGTACATTTATAGAGTTGTGCACCCATCACCAAAACCCACTTTTAGAACATTTTCATCAACCCAGAAAGTTCCCTCACGTCCCCATGAAGTCAGTCCCCACTCCCAGTCTGTCCTACCCTTAGCCTCATTAATCTGCTTTCTGTCTCTATAGATTTTTTTTCTGGATATTACATATAAATGGAATCCTACAGTGCATCGTTTCTTGTGTCTGGCTTCTTTCACTTAGCATAATGGTTTGGAGTCCATCCATGTTGTTGTGTAATTAGTATTTAGTTCCTTTTTTGGTATGGGTGCACTCCTGTCCATGCATTCACATCTAGATTGTTACTAGTGTTGGCTATTAGGAATAATGCTGCTACGAACATTCACATACAGGTGATTTCTCTCACATAAATTCCTAGGAGCAGCAGTTGGCTATTTTAGATGAACCTGCTCTGAACATGTATATACAAGTTTTTGCATGCAAATAAGTCTTCATGTCTCTGAGATAAATGCCCAAGAATGCAATTGCTGCAGCATATGGTGAGTCCATTTTTACTTTTGAAAGAAACTGCCAAACTTTTCCAGAGTGACAGCATCCATTCCCACCAGCAGTGTGTGAATGCTCCAGTTTCTCTGCATCCTTGTCAGCACTTTTTACTTTACATTTTACTTTTAGCCATTCCGATAGGGGCATATTGTCCCAAATGTCTTTTGAATCCATGCCTTCTGTTCCACCCCCAGTGCCAGGACATGTCACCTCTTGTCTGGACCATTCCAGTAGTCTTTTCCCCACTGGTACTTTTGACCCAGTACTTTTGGTTTCCTAAGAGCAGCCACAGTGATCTTTCTCAAATCACAAGATAGATCATGCCTCTCTCCTCTGCAGCACTCCGGAATCCCAGTACCGGGTGCTACAAGGCTCTGCTCCCCACCCACCTCTCGGTCGTCATCTTGAACCATTCTCCCCCTAATTCCCCTTGCTTGGTCCACACTGTCTGTAATCACTATAAAATGACAAGCTCTGCTGCACCTCAGGGCCTTTGCAAGGGCCCAATGTGCTTCCCTCCCTTCGCCAGGCTCCAGTAGCCAACATAGGTACTACTTCAGCAGAGAGGCCTGCGTTCTCCTGTGCGCTCCCTGAGTTCTCACATTTTGCGCTTGTGTTGTTTACTTGTCTAATGTGTGTCTCCCTGTGGGCTGTGCTTTCCAAGGGCAACCTGCTCCATCTCGTGCTGCATTGCCAGGGATGAGAGCAGGGATTGGCTTTAAATGGTCAAGAGGGAACCTTTGAGGATGACAGATTAGGAGGATGGTTGCACAACTCTAGAAATTTACTAAAATCAATGAGTTACACACTCACAATGAGTGGGTTTTATGTAAATCATGGTCCTAAGCCATCGAACTGCCTGGCACACAGCAAGTACTCCCTGAGTGGCTGCCAAAAGAATGACTGAATGAATATTTAATTGTTCTCAAAGCTGGCGTCTCTTGGGACAAAAATTACTCTTTTGTCTTGGGAAGATTTTAATGGACCTTTTGGATCCTCAAAGCCAAAACAAAAAAAGCTCAAACCCTATCCTAGAGTGGAAGAATACCAGCCCATGCGGAGGAAACCACGCTATGTAATAATATCGGTACAATAATATAGGTATGCCTTTTGTTTATTCCCGTTGTATTTTCCCCGAATGTCAGAATCTCTGTCTACACTGCTGGAGTGCTGACTCTGTTCTGTCCGCTTGTTTGTTTTGTGATTATCTTACTGCAGGCATTCTCAGGAGTTTAGGCTGTGAAATGAGAAACCAGCTGCGGGACAGGGGGCTGCTCAGTGGCCTCATCCAGCAGGGGTCAGCATGGCTCTGTTTTAATAAAACTTCATTTATGGAAACTTCCTTTATGGAAAGTGGGCTAGATTTGGCCTCATGGCTGTAGTTTACAGACCCTTGTCCCGGAACTCTGTAGCCTACCTGCAAGCATCTTTGGTTTTGGTTTTCATTCTAAAGACCAGGGCCCTGAGCCGAGGAGGAGAAAGCTGCTTGCTTGGGATTACACAGAGAATGATGCCCGCGCAAAGTGTGGCCCCCAAGGGGCCTTTTCTGGCCAAGGGTCGTGCTTTGGTGCCAGAGACAAAGGCTGGGGTAGAGAAGGAACAAGGTTGCTTTAGAGAGTTTTGGATGGTTTGGGGGTGCTTCCCCAGTCAGGGGTGAAGGAATGATGGGGTAAAAAAGTCAGCAGCTGGGCTTTGTAGGGCCGTCTCATCTTCATCGGGTTCTAGGCCCCTGCCTCCACCTATGCACTATTACCTGGGCCAGATAGACGTCCTGGGAGGGAGGCCACCAGCTCTTCCTCATCCTCTACTCTCTTCAAGACCAGTGCAAAGAAGGCAGCAAAGCCCAGCACCTGAAACACACCCACTGTGAACCCCAGGCCTGGGCTGGACACCGTCAGCTCCTTATCAGAGAGGGGTCAGGATCAAGGCCACATCTGTATCCTGGGCACAGAAGCCATACTTCTCTGAGGAAGTAAGGTGGGAACCAGGCCATTCTGCGCCAAGAGGGGATGTGGCTGTGAAGGGAATGGGCCAGAGCACCTGGCCGCCAAGCAGAAACTGTGAATCCTGAGCTCCCCCTGCTTCTCATACCACCGGAGCTTTCCCACCTGCACTTTCGTACCTGCACTCCCCTGCTGATAGAGCTCCCTCTTATTTCTTTTTTTTTTTTTTTTTAAAGGATCTGTACTCGAGGAACTACCGAACACTCATGAAAGAAATTGAAGAAGACACAAAAAGATGGAAGACCATTCCATGCTCTTGGATCGGAAGAATAAACATTGTTAAAATGTCTATACTGCCTAGAGCAATCTATACTTTTAATGCCATTCTGATCAAAATTCCACCGGTATTTTTCAAAGAGCTAGAGCAAATAATCCTAAAATTTGTATGGAATCAGAAGAGACCCCGAATTGCTAAGGAAATGTTGAAAAACAAAAATAAAACTGGCGGCATCACATTGCCTGATTTCAAGCTTTACTACAAAGCTGTGATCACCAAGACAGCATGGTACTGGCATAAAAACAGACACACAGACCAGTGGAACAGAGCAGAGAGCCCAGATATGGACCCTCAACGCTATGGTCAAATGATCTTCAACAAAACAGGAAAAAATACACAGTGGAAAAGAGACAGTCTCCTCTTATTTCTTATACTATCTCTAGTGCTGAATTACATCTCCCTCCCTCCCTCCCTCCGCCCCTCCCCCTTTCTTCATTCCATCCATGCCTTTACCTCTGCGCCAACAGTGCATGAGCTTAGTAAGATTCTGGGCTTTGGTTGGGAACAGAATGGCTCACTACTCCATTCTTACTATTCTCAGACTAGATTGGAGATGTTGGGAGTTGTTTAAATCTTCTGATAAAGGGTATTCAGGAAAGAACTGGGGACTATCAGGTAAAATGGGGGTTAGGGATTTGGAGAGTCTCATAGGTGAAAAGATTCACTGTAAATGTCCCTTCCTTTCTGCAGCCCCCGCCCCCTCACCCCAACACACACAGTATATTCCTACCACCTGACTCCTTCCAGGGGGAGCCGTGGCTCCAAGCTCCAGGCTGGGGCTCAGTATTTCTCCAACTCTAACAGTAACTTTACATTTCAGAAATAGGAGTGTGTCTTCCAAATGACACACAGGTTTAATGATTTGGTGTTTTTTGTTGTTGTTGTTGTTTTTGTTTTTCTGAGGGTAAAGTTCCTCTAAATTGCTGGTCTATCTCACAATTAAAAGGATCTTTAGAATTGAGGAAATATGGTATTATTTGAGGAATTATGGCATATATATATAATATATATAATTACATATTATAGAATATAATATAGAATTGAGGAAATATGGTATTAATTGGGGAAATATGGTATATACATATAACCTAGGGCAAGATATTTGTGACCTTCCCTTCCTAACCTCTTGTCATTTATAGAACAGAGGCAAGGACCCTCCTGAGGGTGATTCTGATGCTGACCACCACATCTTGATAAGCCACTCCACCTGGCCTAGAGTCTCTGTCCCAGAGCCCCTGTCCCAGAACTTGGATTATCATAGTGATTAAGTTCATTATAATTCCCTACCTGCTACCAGCACCACCTCTCCAGCAAGGTGCTGTGTAGGTTTGTAACGAATAGACAAAGAACAGCTGAGCCTAAGGACAGGGCAGCTGGCAGGAGGGAAAGTGTGGGTGGAGGGGTCCAGGGCAGCCTGACCTTCAGGGGCTGGGTGACAAACACACTCTCCACGAAGGAGACGGCCATGGAGATGAGCCACTTCAGGGATCTGGCCCGCCCATAGTGCAGGCCGTAGAGCATGGTAAAGAAGGCTGCCACGCTGCTGGTGACTGCCACCAGGAGCCAGCCCACCACGACGAACCACCAGGGCAGGCCTCGAGGATGCTTGCTTGCCATCGGGAAGCTGAAATGCAGGATGGGTATGATCAGAGTAGCACCTGCCAGGCTCAAGTTCAAGTCCCACTTTACCCTCACCAGCTGTGTGACTGTGGCCAAGCTCCTTGACCTGTTAGATTCTGTACCTCGTACCCACCTCAAAGGGCTATTCTATATTCTATCTGGCATCTCATACCCACCTCCGTATCTGGTACCCACCTCAAAGGGCAGTTTTAATAACTTGGTGTTTTGGGTTTTTTTCTGAGGGGAAATTTCCTGTAAATTGCTGGCCTGTCTCACTTTTTTTTTTTCCCCCATGTTCACATATTTATTCTATTTTTTTAATTTTTAAAATTTTTTATAAACATATAGTGTATTATTAGCTCCAGGGGTACAGGTCTGTGCATCGCCAGGTTTACACACTTCACAGCACTCACCACAGCACATACCCTCTCTAATGTCCATAACCCACCACCCTCTCCCTACCCTCCTCCCCCCGGCCCCCCTCAGTTTGTTTTGTGACATTAAGAGTCTCTTATGGTTTGTCAGAAATGATCCCTGAAAGTATAGTCTTTGGCCTATCTCTCTTTAAAAGGGTCTTTAGAATTGAGGAAATGTATTATTCATATTATACATGTGATCTGGGTGAACATCCTTCCAAGGTGGCCAGGGGTATGGTGTCTCCCACTCAGCACCCAGGGGAGAGGATTACCTGGCATATGCTGGGGTTGGGGTGCCCAGCTGTCCCCCCAGACAGCCCTTCAGCATCTGCAGCTGGCTGAGGGCCCGGGCGTGGCTCTGGCTCTGGGGGAAGCCACAGGACCCCACCAGCCGAAGCTCTTGCTCCATGTGCTCCAACTGAAGGTAGAGACACTGCTTGTAGACATTGTCCTTCTGAGGGTCACTTGGGCCCATCTCTGGCATCAGACATCGCATTTGTTCTGGAGGACAGGGGACAGAGAGCATTAGCTAGTGCTGAATGCCAGAGCAGACTGCCTGCCACAAAAGCAATGATAGTAACAGCTTTCGGTATTGAACACTTACTATATACCATGGCATGAGAGATCTAGAAAGATGGGGAAAGGTACCAGGCTTCCATGGCCAGTTAGGATTCATACATTCCTCTTTCACCTTTTATCAAGGGCATTCTCAAAATTTCTGTACACGTCGACAGAAGAGAACAGAATAAGTATCTATCACCTGCTGCTGCAAGCACCAGCCTTTTGCCAATGTTGTTTTGTCTCTGCCCCCTCCCCCGACTTTCTTCTTTCTCTGGAATACCTTAAAGCAAATCCTAGATATGGTATTAGCTCATCAGCAAATAATATTTTAAAGATTTTTATTATTGTCAGAGAGAGCGGGCGCACAAACAGGGAAAATGGCAAGCAGAGGAGAAGTGGGCTCCCCGCTGAGCAAGGAGCCCAATGTGGGACTCTATCCCAGGGATCATGACTTGAGCTGAAGGCAGACGCTTCACCTTCTGAGCCACCCAGGCATCCCAGCAAATATATTATTATTTTAATATACACAAGATTTGCCTGGTGCCAAAGATAGTGTTAGTCTTAATCTTTTGCTTTCAACTTATTTTTATTATGAAAAATGTTAAACTTAAAGAAGTAGAGTAATGAGATGAACCTGCACACACACTCACTACTCAAAGTTATCAACTCATGACCAGTTGTGTTTCCCTGGCACCCAGCCTACTCTCTCCATGTGGATGATTTTGAAGCAAATTCCAAGGCCCGGGTCATGTCACTGATATTTTAATTTTAATATGCTTCTGGAGAATATAGGGACTCTTTTTAAAATTAAAACCATGATGATGTCATTATCAACATTTAAAATGAGTAACGATTGGGCGCCTGGGTGGCTCAGTGGGTTAAGCCGCTGCCTTCGGCTCAGGTCATGATCTCAGGGTCCTGGGATCGAGTCCCGCATCGGGCTCTCTGCTCAGCAGAGAGCCTGCTTCCCTCTCTCTCTCTCTCTCTCTGCCTGCCTCTCTGTCTACTTGTGATCTCTCCCTGTCAAGTAAATAAATAAAATCTTAAAAAAAAAAATTAAATAAATAAATAAATAAAATAAAATGAGTAACGATAATCCCTTAATAGCATGAAATACCCAGTGAGAGGTCAAGTTTCCCCCCGAATATCTCATGAGTGTTTTTATACAGTTGGTTTGTTCAAATTTCAGCTTCCTAAACGCCTGGGTGGCTCAGAGGGTTAAAGCCTCTGCCTTCGGCTCAGGTCATGATCCCAGGGTCTTGGGATCTAGCCCCACATCAGGCTCTCTGCTCAGCCGGGAGCCTGCTTCCTCCTCTCTCTTTCTGCCTGCCTCTCTGCGTACTTGTGATCTCTGTCAAATTAAAAAAAAAAAAAAAAAATTACTCATTGCAAGAAAAAAACCCTGAACATTTCCACTATTCCTGATTCCTTCTAGGGGAAGCTTGGGCTTGGCCTCTCCAGGCAGAACCAGGCCTGGGAGTCTGCCCCTGAGCTGGGAGGCTGAAGCCTCGGGGCATCTTCTCCCAGAGCAGTCAGTGTCCAGGCTGATTGGACTGGTGTTTGCAAGAGGAATGTGAAACCAGACATGGGAGGTGGCAGGAGAGAGCACACTCACCCCACAGCTCCTCTGCAGTCACCAGTGAGATGTCAATGAGTGGGAAGGTAACCAGCACTGTGGAGAAGCGTGCAACTGGGCTCGGGTTAGAGGACAGTGAAGGTCTGGGACAACATCAACTCTGCCTCCCTCTGACTCAGGCCTCCTCCCTTACCCTCCTCGCTGAAGCCACAGCTGCAGTTTCTGACATCAACAGCCTTCATGGTGCAAGCCCTCTGGCAATGTTTCTGGAAGATACCATCTCTCCCAATCAACTGTAACACCGCTTACTGAATACCTGCTTTGTACCAGGCTTGGTCTAAGTTTTCCTGTGTCTTATGACCTCATTCAGTCCTCAGAATGAGCCAAGAGGCAAAGTGGATCAATACTCCCATTTTACAGGGCAGGAAGCTGAGTCATAGGCTGAGCAACTTGTCCAAAGTTGCACAGCTACTGTTGCAGCAGGGAGAGCCCTAGGGCCTGGCTGACTCAAGAGTCCCTATTCTAAGGCCTCTGCTATGAACACCAAAGTCCCCAAACTCAAGGCCAGGAGTCCAGTGCAGGCATCAGCAGAGCTCCTGCAAGACAGCCTTCATGGGCAGTCCAAGTCCAACTGTCCGGGACAAATCCTCCAGGGTGGCTGGATCATGGAGGTCAAGATGGGGCTGACCACGGGGTCAGCATGAGCCTGGCCAATAAGGATGTGGGATCTTGTTTTGAGGGCACTGACTCTCAACATTAAGTGTGCTCGAAAGTCACCTGAGTGACTGGTTGAAACTGCAGATCCCGACCTCAGCCCCAGAAATGTAATTCACTGCATCAGAGGTGTGGCCAAGAGTTTATGAATTCAGATTCCCCATTCTGTAGACCCCATCCATGTCTGTGTTCTAAACAAGGTTTAGATAGTGATCAGCCTGGTGTATCAAAAATGGCAGCATTCTTAACCCACACCAGCCATTATGACAGCCACTGGCCCCATTAATTGATTGAAATTAAGTTGAGAACTGCAGGGGCACCTGGGTGGCTCCGGTGGTTGAGCAACTGCCTTCGGTTCAGGTCATGATCCTGGAGTCCCAGGATTGAGTCCCACATCGGGCTGCCAGCTCTGCAGGGAGTCTGCTTCTCTCTCTGAACTTCTCCCCTCTCATGTGCCCTCTCTCACTCTCTCTCTCTCTCTCTCTCTCTCTCAAATAAATACATAAAAATCTTTAAGAAAAAAAAAAAAAGATGAGAACTGCAGTTTTTCAGTCACACCAGCCACATTTCAAGTGCTCAGGAGCTACATGGGGCCTGTGGCTCTCATACTGCCATGCAGAGATGCAGAACATTTCCAGCACTGTGGGCAGTTCTGTTGGACAGCCTGGTCTGAACACTGGTGGCATTGATGTGGGTGGAAGATGGACAGGAAAGAAATAATGGTACTAAATTCTAGCTGAATACTCTTTGAAAAAGCTCCAGGTTTGAGACCTGCTATCTCTCTGCCAAACAGAACAAGTGTTAAAAGGGTGTTAAAGACACACTTGTAACCAAACTGAGATTTGCTTCTGGAAAGTCTGGAACAGAATGGAGGAGTGACTTTTTCACTCTACAACTCAGTGTTCTTTAATGTTTTTTACTGTCCTGTCCATCATCTTGTGTCCTGCCCCTCACATGTGGAAGTGGATCTGGTTTGACGTTGCATCCCCCAGTACTTTACAGAAAAGGAAACTGAGGCACAGAGAACTGAAGTAACCTGTCCAAAGTCACACAGCCCATTAATGGCAGAGCCAGTACCCAGAGTTACCAGGCTGGCCAATGCTGTTCTTACCATATATGAAAGACCAGCCTGCCTTTTTGCTTTGTGCTTTCCATAATGATCTCCTATGCTTACATCACCCCATGCATGTTTGTTGCATGCTTTCTATGTGTTGTACAGGGCCAGGCACTAGGGAAACGATGGAGACAGAACAGTCAGATGGCTCTGACCTCACAGAGCTCACAGTCCAGCAAAGTTGGCTGCAGACTTTAAACAGCTCTTCCCCCAAGTCATGATTTGGCAGGGTGGCATTAAAGCAATGCAGGAGATGCTAAGAACATTCCAGATGGAAGGACAAGATGTGGGATGGTCTTTAGCGGGAAGGCAGCTTGGTGTTGTGAAGAGAGCGGGTTGCCTGTGTGCAGAGAGAGAGAAGTGATGGCAGGTGGTTGCAGTGGAGGTCAGTGAGGGAGGAGACCCTGTAGGACATCTTCACTCCCTAGTGATACAGAGCCGGCCCTAAGTCCTGTATCCACCTGGTCCAGACGTGCCCCTTTTCTCAGCTCAGAAACATCATGACTTACCTTTTGCTTGTAGAGACCCAAGAGGGAGCATTAAATGGTTCTCTCTCTGTTTGGCTTCCTCCCAGAGCTCTGGCCCTGCCACGTTCTGCAGACAGACAATGTCCTGCACCAAGGCCAGAAGGTGATTGATGTCCATTGGTGCTGCTGAGTCCCAGCCGGAGGCAGGTGATGGCACCTTCAGAGCTTTAAACAGCGAGCTGACGAGTCTCCACATATCCTGCAAGTCAGCCCAGGTAGGGTAAGGGGAACATGAGCAAAGGTGAGGGAGGCAGTATCGTAGTTAAGAGGCTACGTAGTTAAGAGCTACTCCGGGGCTTGGCAGTCTGGGTTCATCCCAGCTTTGCCCACAGAGATATGATGTTGGATCACCCTGAGCCATTTATCTCTAGGATTCGAACTGACGCATTCCAGGTTGTATTTCTCAAAGTGCGTCATGTAGTAGGTGCTTAGTAAATGTTTATTGAGTGCATGAATGCAGAGGGAGTCCCTTCTCTGGGTTTCCAGCTGTGATCTATGATAAAGGTATAATATTGTGTACACACTATGTACCCCGAAAGTGTGTGTATATATGTAGGTGTGTGTATGTATGTGTTCACGTGTGTGTATGTATGTCTATGGTAGGTGTGTGTGCATATGTATGTGTGTACATGTACAGGTGTGCAAAGGCCTATCTATGTGTGTTTGTGTATGCCTTTGTATATGTATGTGCACATGCATGTATACCTGTCTATAAGTGTGTGCATGTATACGCATGCACCTGCACAGTGTGTATACATGTGTGCACACATGTGCCCAACTGAACATGCATGTGTGTGTGCGCACACAAGTGTGTGTCATTGATGACTCTTGGAGGCTGATGCTGTCATCCATCAGGGGTTGCCAGATCTCAAGCCCCAGTACTCCCCCAACCATTTCTGCCCACCGTCAAGGCTGAAGACATGCCTTGGTCACCACTTCAAGTGTCAGAAGGCCATTCTCCATGGGCTGTTGTGAGGAGGCCAGGCTAGGGGAGCCCCTATCCCATTTCTCAGTGTTCTGCTCCTTAGTGACCCGAGGACAGGTGTTTCGAAAGATCTGAACGATTAGGAGATTGATGGGGAACGTGAGGAGAGAGCTCTCCAGTCCAATCATCACTTCCTGCCAAGCAAATTCAATTTCACCTAGGACGGAGGAAGAAAAGGGTTAATGGAACGTTTTCTCCACCACTTCCAGAAGGTGGGTGTGCAGTAAAGACTGACCTTTCCCAAAGAGGCTTGGCCCTTGAGTGGCTCCTGGGAGGTGACCTCTAAGCTCTTGGGATGTTCTGTCTGGTAGATACCCCTTGTTTACCCGAGGTCTTGGGCCACGCTGTATAGTCTATGTTAACAGTGATTTCTGGTGTGGGCCTTCACCATACAGTGTCACCTCAGCCTCTGGAGGGGCTACTGGCTAAGGTCAGCCATGCGGGGTGTCAGCCATGTCTATGTGAGCAAGCCCCAATAACACCTCCGGACACCAGGGCTTAGGGAGTGTCCCTTGTTGGCAATACTCCATGTGTGTTGTCACACATCATTGTTGGGACGAGACTGACCATTGTCACTGCTTCCCTGGGAGAACACAACTGAAAGTTCTGCCCTGGTCTCCCCTGGACCCTGCCCCATGTGCCTCATTCTTTTCCTGATTTTAATTGTATCCTTTCTCTGTAATGAGCATAATGGTGTTTCTGACTTCTGTGAGTAGTTCTAGAGAATTCTTGAACCTGAAGGTGGTCTTGGGACCTCTGGAATTGTGTGACACCCACTGACCACTAGCTCTGTCACGACATCGGGACTTACCCAAGTCCATCTTTTGTTCAGCTGGGTCCTTGGGAACACCCCAGAACATGATGCTGGTCAGCATGGTGCAGAGGAGCAGGGAGAAGCAGCAGGACACCCTCTGGACACGGGTGAAGTTGCTCCGAGCTGTGCAGCTGAAGATGGAATACCAGATGTGTCCATCCTGGAAGCCTGTGGACGTCTTCATGAAAAACAGGTGCCTGTGAAAAGGCAGGGAGAGGGGGCAGAGATGGGAGAAGACTGGTCTCTCCGGAGCAATCTTGGGATAAGAGGGAGGTGTTTGCTTCTAAGATTTATTCTCTGTTTTCTCTCATGTGGAAGATATACAGCATCTTAACATCACTTAGTTAGTGATGGGGGTTCTGAACAGAGGAGGTTGGAATCCTAGGTGGCCCTCCTACCTGCTCTGTGTCCTCAGGCAAGTTACTTTACTCTCTCTCTGCACGTCAGTTACTCATCTGTAAAATGGGGGTTATAATAGAACCTGCCTCATGTGATTTCTGAAAGGATTAAGTGATGATTTTTGTACAACATTTGGCAAAGTAGCTAACATCTATGTGAGTGCTCGTCAGTATTAGCCATTATCATTTTTGTTGTAATTTTAATATAATCCTATAACTATAGTATTATTAGGTTTATTATAACTAGTGCATTAGATGATATTGGTTAAAAATCCCAGGCTTTAGCTTCAGACTCAGTTTAAGAGAATCAAAATTGCAAGACAGGATTTCTGGAAATGATACCGTATTCTCCTTAGGCATCTGTGTTAGTCTAGGATTTGGTCTAGAATTTAGTCTAACCGCAGGACTTACAAGGGGCCCCCATTCACCTTGAGATTGTGTGGAACTGATACTCCCAACTGGTGCCCGTTCTGGTGGCTAATGCCAGCACCCCTCAGACTTGCATGGTACTTTGACTGTCCCACAGTCTGTGCTGTGGGAGTGGCCTGGACTCAAAGGTGGCTAAGGAGAGAGGTCGGCTGTCAACAACAGTGATTTCCATGTGATTGTTCTACTCAATGTTCTGCTGATAGTTCCACAAATATTTGGTGAGCCTGGTGTTGTGTGCCAGGTGTTCTGCTGGGCACCGAGATTCATGAGGGAATGACACAGCCCTGCCTTTAGGCAGCTCTCTGTCTGGTTTTCAAGTATCACAAGTCTGATGCATTGGGAGGATCATATCTGCTCATGTAATAGAGCACTTACTCTGAGACGCTTACTGTGCTAAGTATACTACCCACATCACCTCACGGGACCGGCACAGGTTCCCTTGGGGGAGGCACATTGAACAACTCATTTTTCAGATGTGGAAGCTGAGACCTGGAGAGGTGAACTGACTTTTGCAAGGGCATGTAGCAAGTCAGAAGCATGCATGTGAAACTGGGAGCCATGTGCCCACATCAGTGTTCTGTCTGTCCTTGGGTCCAAGTGTCTCTGACTTGGACTTTTTCTCTTTGCAGGCTGAGCTATTCCCAGTGGCAGCTAGGAGGGAAAGACACCTTTCAGTAAATGCACTGGAAACTGACTTTGTTTTGAACCTAACTCAGAAGCCATTTAAAGTAGAGGTCACAAACTCAAATGCTAAAGGGGCCTGGATAGATGTAAATAAGTCAAGTTAAATGAAGTGGGGTGGGAGTGAGGTACTAGGGGTGGGTAAGGACTGTGGTAAAATGGAGAGCACATGGCCCTTCAAAGAAAAATGTTGGTACTCTGCTCCAGCAAATTGGTACCAAGCAGGAACCCTGGCCCACCACCTTCACACTTGCCAGATTCTTGTGGAGTCTCTTGATTTTTTTTTAATATTGGTTGGGAACAGACTAAATGTCCATTGATAGAAGAATGGTTGAATTAGTTGTGGGACATCCAGTCTGTGGATATTTTGCAGCCAGCGAGGATACATTTGACCCAAGCATACTGTCCTGGAAGGATGTTCATGGTCTGTCATCAAAGAAATAAGATGACATATTTAGAGTAATACCATTTTAAAAGATATAAAATAAGCAACATTCTGTGGTATTGTATGTGTGCACATGAGCACGTGTGTGTACATTTGTATCTGCTTTGATGTGTTTGACCAGATGTAGGAGGAAGGAAGGAAGGAAAGCCAAGGGACACACATGCTGAAACACCTATTTAGAGTAAAATTGAAGAAGGAGCCTCAGATGGGCAGACATGAAATCACCATTCAAACCACTCTGTTCACTCATATGAAACATTTTATTCTATGTCCTGTGTAAGGAAATATGGATAACTGTTCAACCGTTTCACCACCTCCAAGATAATTCTGTGTCAGAGGGTCCGTATCCCTCCAGAGCACCTCAGTCCCAACAAGAGAAACTGATTGATCATTAATGTTACACACTCGAAGCTACCCAGGCACGAGAGCCGAAACGTGCCTTTATTCTGCTTCAGCTGGATTGTGATGCATCTTCCCTAGAGACGAAAGAACAAGGTAAACAGCATTTGCTTACCAAAAAAAAGAAGTACCTGAATTGTTTCCTGTCCTGCTCTGTGGCCACTGGAAATACTTTGTCAAGAACACAGTCTCCAACATCAATGGACAGCCACGAGTTGCAGAGGAAATGCCACTTCTGGTCCCTAGCCAGGTCATGCACCAGCACCCGGCTCACGTACCTGGAGAAGAGACCCACACTTCTGAGGACAGTGTTGAGGGGGGAGTGAGGCTTCTTTGGGCACAACGAGGGTTAATACCATTGCAAACCTGAGTTTAAGAACAAGAATTCCTGAAAAGACAGATTTTGTATTTTTCTTCCTTGTTCTTGGTGCCTTGACCAAAATGCCCCAATCAGGGGGCAGAGTGGCCTCATGTGGGAGCTCAGCTAGTGTGGAGAGCCAGCTCTTGTAGGCTGCCACGTTTTCACAGATGTATGCTGCAAGAGGGTGCCTTCTGAAACTATTAGTCCGGCTGCAGGCCTGCAAGTCCAGGACCAGCGTCCAGAGGCCTGGGAGAAAAGCCAAGTTGTCTACATTGTGGGAATTCCGGGAGGCACAGACACAGGCACGCAAATGCTGGTCTTCCTGCAGGCGTACACCCAGGGCGTGAGCCATCTAGTTTCGACTCAGGACCTCACGGGTGTCATCTAACCTGATTTAGGTCTTTGAGACCTGGGGAAGAAATGGAATGATCTCGCCTCTGCTGGGATGTCAGATGCAGGAGCCACCATTTCCCCTGTTGCCTTATGGCTGATAAGAATAGCGATTAAAAAAAAAAAAAAGAATAGCAGTATCAAGGGCCCCTCTTTACTGAGCATTTACTGTGTAATAGGGACTATGCTTGAAAGCTCCAGACATGCATTTTCTCATTTCTAGGAAGACACTTCTGTTGAATCTCACACCCTCCTGGGGAGGCCAACATCCAATGATTGATGGGTGCAGTGCCTGGGTGTGATCAAGACCTGGGCATCCCAGCCCAACTCGGGACACTCCAGAGCTCCCCATGGAGGTCAGCCAAGCTGTTATGCTGCATCATCTCTGCTCATCCTGCTTCCTTCTCTCCCTTCCCAGGAGCTGGTCCTAGGTACCCTGCACCCTGAAATCTATCTCAGGGTCTGCTTCCCAGGAACCAACATATAGCACTTAAAGTAGTAATGTTTAATCCCTTAGGTAAATTGAAGATATCCATAGAAGTGCTCTGTTTTTCTAAAGTTGTAAGCCACTGACAGGTGGTCAGGCTGGAAATGACTGATTTAGGTCACTAGTTTTGGCCTCACAAACCAAATAATCCTCAGGTGGATTCTCATCTCTGAGTTTTTTTTTTTTTTTTTTTTTTTTTTTAGAAGAGTTTTAACACTGTTTTAGATCATCTGTGGCTCTCCTCCCTTCTGGGGGCACAGGCAGTGGAAATGGCCCATATGCAATTTTGTATGGACCATAAAATGGTACAAATACGGTTTAAAATGATCATAAGCATTTTTACGTTACAGAGATGAAACGTGTTCTGTTTAAAATTTTATAAAATTTTTAAAATAAAAAATGGTAAGTTGGCTAGTTGATTAATAGTGTGGGAATATTCTATATACGGCAGATATCTGTATGTCACGAGCATTCTGACAAAATGTATTACATGTTTTAGAGCTTGGGCAAGTCACTTATCTTGCCTGAGTTTAAATTTTCCCACCTGTAAAACAAGAATGAGAATACTTGTCCTTGAGGAGCCAATGAGAAAAAGACACAGAAACAGGAAGGCTTAGCTTAATGCTCAGAGCGGCAGTTGTTCTCACCTCTTCTACTATATAACCAGCCCAATGTCTCATTTAGTCTCCTCTTATTGGGCAAGGTTTATCTTCAAAATGGGCATCTATCCCCATTTTACAGGTGGGGAACTGGGGCCTAAATGAAGGTCGATGCTGCGAATGTGCCAAGAGTGGAGCTAGCACTGGACCCCAGGCTTGCAACCTCTCGTCCTTGTCCTAGCTACTGATCCAGGCCGTGAGGCTCATGGGTGGTTGGGTCTCTCTAACCCTCCGTGTCTCTTTCTGTGAGATGGGCATCCATTCTGGGTGTTTGAGGAGGGTTGTGAGGATTGGCCTGGCAGCGAATGCACAATGCCCAGCCCTGGTGTGGCACATCGTAGGTTCTCATGGTGTGCCCACCCCGACTTACCAGGATGGCCGGGCCCCCGAGTTGTCATGCCACAGCCGCAGGCTCCTCAGTTCCCCCAGGGGGAACATGGTGGAGAGTAAGAAGACATCCACTCCTCCTCGCTCAAAAACTGGGATGTCAGGGTCTGACAGGTGGTGGGGTTCACTCTCTCCATCCAGGCCGTATAGGGTGACAGTCACCTGAAATCCAGAGACTAGGAATGGCCAATTCCACATGATAACCAAGCCCCGGTGGCCGTGTTTCATTGGAAGGATCCAAAACCCAATGAAAACCAACCTTGTAAGGCCCTTTCATTCTCTCCTCTCTTCCCATCGTGGGCCCGCCTGAGCTATTTTTCAGGTATATGAAGATTTAGGATAACACTGCCTGCATTTTTGTCTTCAGCATGAGTTATAAAACACTTCTCGGCAACCTTTTTAAACTTTCCACATGTTTGTTTATAAGGGTTCTAGCGTAAGAACTGGTTCCCCCCGCCCCAACAATTCTATTCCCAGGGTCTCCCAATGTGCCTGGCACTGAGACATGAATGCACGAGAGCCCATTATTTCATAAATACATATTCCTAGGTCCCACTCCAGACCTACCAACTAAAAATGCTGGGAATAGGGCCCAGAAATCTGCTTTTCTGCAGTTATCCAGGTGATGCTGATCAGCATGCCTGATTTCCTGAGCCAAAGAGCTGCAGTTCTGCCACCTGTGCTTGGCCCACATCCCTCAGCCTCACTGCTGCAGTGATCCCTGCACCCATGTCCAGCTGCCAGCCACTGCATCGATTTCCTGGCAGTTCTTGGGCTCTGAGAGCGGAGACTGGAAGTGCCAGAGAATTAATGGTGCTGTGAGCTGTCCTCCATCAACAACTCATGGGATTGGTGGGTAAATAAGCCAGTTCCCTCAGCCATCAGTGGAGATGACTTTGAGGCCCATGCTGTTTACTATTTTCCAAAGTCCCATTGTGGGATTAGCTGCAGCTGCCCAGAGAGGTAATAGGTTGGCACCCTTTATTGGTTCTGTCCCTTCCTTGTCACCTTCTCAGTCCTCTACTGGGGTGTCTAGGATCCAACACCCCCTCCCCCTGCCGCCACATCAACTACTCACACTCAAATCCTTGTTTTCACTCTGTTTCCACCACAGGGTTTCTCCACAATAGACATTCTGGACCCAATAACCCCTTGCTCTGGGGGCTTTCCTGTGCACCATAGGATGGTGCACCCTGGCCTCTGGCAGCTGCCCATACTGAGACAAGATTAGATTGAAAAGTGACTGCAGCTCTCCAGACAAAGAACTGGCTTATGGGTTGCAAGTTTTCACTCCTTTCCTATTAAGATGGACTATTAAATGTTTAAAGGAAATGAGAAGAATGTTTCATTAGATGGATGAAATTAATTCCTATGGTTATTCCACAAGTAGTTACTGAGCACTTACTCTATGTTAGACAGCTGGTTGAGGGCCCTAGACACAGCAATAAATCAAAATAAAACAATTTTTAAAATAAAAGTAAGATAAATACATAAATAAAAATAGGATTTAAAAAGTAAAAAGACAAATGCTCCACTCTAATGAATCTTACTGTTATTAAAAAAAAAAAATAGAGCTTTCTCCAGGTTAGTATACACAGCGCCAGTGGTTCTCCAGCTGTGTTCCATGAGGCCTTCAGTTTTAGTAAAGGAAACTTGAAAGCTGCTGCAGAGGACAGTATATTCTGACGAGTGATGTGGCACAGGCCAAACTTAACTAAGGATGATGAGACGTTACAGAGACAGCCTGCTATATGTTCCACAGCTAAATGCTCAAGGACCTCAGAGAATTTATAAGCAAGTGAAATAGTTTCTTCACTACTTCTAGTCAGCTCGCTGAAGGAGAGATGGCTCAGCCTGACCTCTCAGCTAGATGCCAGCTAATCAGTTTGCCTAGAAAAACGTAACTCAAGACTCATTGCTTTCAAACGGTACGTGTATTTTCTTTTTTTCCTTTCTCCCTTCTCTCTTAAAAATTGTTTCCTCTTTATTCATTGATAGCAGTTTACTGACTGTTCTTCCTATGTGAGCAAATTTGCATGCAGGTTACCAACTAACTGAGTTATTCTTTGGTAGGGATAAGGGAGATGACTGGTGGCACGGTGCTAGACCCCAACTATTCCTTAACCTATTCTCCTTTATCTTTTTAAATATGGGGACTTGGAGGGGATGTTTTGTTTGGCAAAAGATTCTTTCCTGGGGCGCCTGGGTGGCTCAGTGGGTTAAAGCCGCTGCCTTCGGCTCAGGTCATGATCCCAGGGTCCTGGGATCAAGCCCCGCATCGGGCTCTCTGCTCAGCAGGGCGCCTGCTTCCCTTCCTCTCTCTCTCTTCCTGCCTCTCTGCCTACTTGTGATCTCTGTCTGTCAAATAAATAAATAAAATCTTAAAAAAAAAAAAAAGATTCTTTCCTTTAAAAAAAAAAAAAAAGAAAAGAAAAAAAAAAACCACTTTACAACACTCAATCCACTGTGCTAAGGCAACTCAGCAGTGGACCAGCTAGTGCTTTATAGTTGGGACATACTGATCAACTTGCATGGTCACGTACCTTGGAGGAAGTAGCTGCCCCTCTCCGGTGTCCAGTGTAGACTGTCACCAGGTAGTGGTACTGTGCAAAGGGATCATTGTCCTCCAGCACTGTGACCTTCACCTGGACAGAAGGATGGCATTAGGAGGGCCCTGTTCAGGGATTTCATCCACTGCACGACAGTTAAGAGGGGACTGGTCATTCGTGACAAAGGGATAGAGCAAAATTATGTACGTTATTTATTCATTCCTAATGGTGAGAACAAGTAAAAAACTTTTTGAAAAAGTACAAAATGCATCTAATATTAAATAAAGCTCAAAATAGTCAAACTGGAAACGAACTTGGCATTAAGCTGAGACTTCGTTCAATGTTTGATCTGGTGAATGATACAAATTCTCTTTATGGAGAATTCCTAACACTGGTGACCAGACTGGGACTCCAAGGGAATCTAAAGGGAGTGAACGTAAGGGTGATTTAGCAGCAGGACAAAACAAAGCCAGACTCTCTAGGCTGATGAGCCGCCCAGATCTCCTGCCAATGGAGGGGTTGTTTCCCCGAGATGTCAGGCATGCAAGAGCCACCTCTGTGCTCTCCTGGAGAGGCTGACACACAATGGCAGATTGATGTGGTGTCTGGGTGGTATCAAGACGTGGGCATCTTAACCCAACTCAGGGCGTCTCTGGAGTTCCCAGTTCAGATTCTCTCTCTGTTCATCTTGTGTCCTTCCATCCCTTTCCAGGGGCTGATCCCAAGCACTTTGTGCAACACTGAATGCTCAACTCCATGGCAGAGTCTGCTTTTTGGGAACCAGCCTACAGGTGAGGCACTTAAAGTATGAATGTTTAATCCCTTGAGTGGATCGAAGACAGCAGTATAAATGTTGCAGCTACTACTAAGGTTCATGCCACCTTAACATCCTGGGAGGTGTTGCTGTGTCGGGGGAAGGTAGGAAATGGAGAATATTTCAGAGCTTTGGGACAGTGCATCCTTGCATTTGTTGATGAGCGCAAGGTACACTGTTACTCAAGACACACAACATTTTATTGAAGGCTTACTAAATGTCAGACATGGTGCCTATATTGGAAAAATAATCAGAATTTTGTTGTTGGCAATTTGTTGTTTGAACTCACTTCTATCCTGAGACCTGTCTTATCATCAGGTAGGTCTGGGTTTGAATTCTGGCTTCAAGGAGGCGGCTTTGGACCAGTTACTTGCCCTCTCTGGTCTTTGGTCTCTTTTACTCTGTAGGAAGATTTTTGGTCTCTTTTACTCTGCAGTAAATGGGGGTGGGGGTCTCAGAAGGCCTGAGCTGTCCAAACTCTCCACATTTCAAAGAAAGCCCTGGCTCTTGGGCAGCTCCGGAAAGATAATCTCTATGTCCTTAGAATATCCTGCATGATAAGTGTGTCTTTGAATACCTTGGCCCACATCACGTAGTCTCTGCTAACAATGTGAGGGCTTTGGGCCATGCTGAAACAGTCTGACATCTGAGTGGTGGTGGTGATGGTCAGTGGTTTGCTTAACCAAACTGAGTCATGTGAGCAGTCCAAATGTATATGACTGACCCCCACTTAAACCCTGGGCACCAGGGCTCAGCTGAGCTTCCCCTGTTGGCAGCTCGTCTGTCCTGTCACACGCCATTGCTAGGAGAATGAAGTCTGTCCATACAATCCCACTGGGAGAGTGCAGCTGGAAGCTCTTGCTGGCTCTTTCCTGGACCCTTCTCTTTGCTGAGTATAACCTGCATTGTTCACTGTAATAAACCATAATCATGAGTATAACAGCTTTTCTGAGTCCTTCCAGCAAATCATTGAACTTGAGGATGGTCTTGGGGACTCTCAACACAGTACCTTCTTCTTAGAACTGTGGGGGAGCATTAAATGGGATAATCCCTGGCATATAGTAAAACCTCAATGAATGGTCAGTAACAGAATCCTCCAGACAGTTTGATAAGAAACGCCATTTTACATTCGAGGCTGGCAAACTGGCTTGCATGGGACAACATGGGTTTGCTGCTAGCCCTTTGGCTCCCCACCTGGGCTCCATCCCCGGAGATTCTGAAGGGAACACCCTGCTTCTTCCTCCCCTTCCTAAGGTCATGCATCCTCACCTTGGCCTGATCCTGAGCGTCCTTCCTCCTTGCCCAGATCACCACCAGCACGTAGGCCACACAGAGACAGCCCACGGTGGTCACAACCACAGGATTGTCCTCAAAGGTGGCAAAGAGCTCGGCGGTCTGGCAGACATCAATGGCATTGGGCATCACCAGGAACGTGCTTCCAAAGAAGGTGAGGTGGTTGCAGAGGCAGTGTGTCTGGGAGTGGGTGGTCCGTGGCCCCACCTGCAACCCCAAAGAGGCCCTGGTGGGGATGCCAGCATATCTTTGGCATGCTCCAGCCCAGGGAGGTGGACGCTGCTGTGAGGCGGCACTGGAGAGACCAGCTGTAGGATTCCCTTGAGCTTTTTTATTTAACTAAAAATTTTAAAATGCTGAGAATATTATCTGTAGCAATTTACACCCATCATTCTCAGTGGGCCAGTCTTCTCTACCCTTTTAAAGAACTAATATGGGTGAAGTTGAAGTTCCCTCTGCCCCCCACCCTCCATGAGCAGCCATTATCACAACTTTGATACGTATCATTCCAGTACATTCTCTGCCTGATGCTTACTCACTGGACAGATACACATGTCGAGTGCTAATTCTAGGCCAGGCAACAGGCTGGATGCTGAGAGGAAATCTGGGGTAATCAGATCATCTCAGTTCCCCAGGAACTTTCCTTCTTCTAAACATGAAAGTCCTGGGTCCTAAGAGGCCCCCAGTGTCAGCCACACTAGGATGATTGGTCATCTCACAAAAAAAAAAAAAAAAAAAAAAACTGAGGTTGGGAGAATCATGTAAAGAAATGAAATGGGAAGGACAGATGTTTAAGTCCTAAGTTGGTGTGTTAGCACCAAGAAAGCATTCTCTAAATTTCACCCCTTAGATCTACACACCAGGGGCCCCTATCCTGGGCTCATTGTTTGAGCAGTACCACTCTAGGTGTCCTCAGGCTGCACCCATCTGCACAAGATGGGGAGTCAGGGGGCCCTGGGGATGTGCCCATCACAGCACATACCACCCAGCTGTGTCTAGGGCGAGGTCCTAGGTGACCCCAGGAATGAAGTCCTTTTTAAATTTTGCACTACAGATGCCCAACTGTTTATTGATAGATTTTAGTTCCTTATTTGCTTCATTGTTTTTCCATTTCCCATTCCTGGTCAGCATTTGCCATGCAGCTGTGGGGCTTATGGGAACATCTGGCACACCTGGAGGGGTGGAGCTGGTTTCAGAGAAGAAACCCACGTCAGTGCTGTGAACCCAGGGACCAGGCATTTTATGCTCACATGTTTGCCTCTTTGGGCTTTCCCAACCCTTCCAGCATGAGAGACTCTCGAACACTGGGAATTAATCTGCTCATTCTCTTGTGACAGTAATGGTACCTTTAGTATCTTTGAGAAAACATATAAGCAGTAATTCTGCCTTTACCGTCTGAGAAGGTCCTATAGACGATAGATTTGGAGCTTTCTTCGGCCGTTTAGAATTTGGTGTTGCTTTTCCACCCAAACTTGATGATCCCATTTACTTATTTATGGTTCCTCAGTGATCTTTATATATCTATATCTATATCTGTATCCATATCTTCGTCTGTATAATGAGCATCAAGTACACATTGTTGGATTCATATAACTTTTGGTCTATGACCCGCTCCCACATTCATGTATGCTAGTATTAGTAGGTGTATATTTCAATAACATAATAAGGACCTGAAAACCCCCTATCTATTCAAAAGCTAGAAATGTTCCAATAACTTACACCTAGCTAAATGGTCCTCCTTCAGTCTGTCCTCATGCTTGCCCCTCCTAGCCACCACCCAAATCCCATGTTCAGTATTTCCCTGATTTCCATTTTATATGTAGTTTTGTCTTCTGTATGCTCAGATTGTTCAACATAGCAACCGCTCTATGCTGAGCACTTACTGTGGGCCAGGCACCACACTAACTGCTTTCTCTGCCTGTCTCGTCTAGTCCCTGACCCAACTGTAAGTGGTAGCCACCCTTTATCCCCATTTTCAGATGGGCATGCTGAGAGAGGTCCCGTGACTTACCCAAGGTCATCTGGCTAATACTGATGAAATGCGATGAGACCCAGTCTGTCTGATGGCAGAGCCCATGCCCCAGCTGCTGAACCATCCCCCTTTCTGAACATCGGGTCTCCGAGGACAGCCTTGTAGGACATACCAGGCCAGCAGCGTGGGCATCAGACAGCAGCTGGGAGTGAAGGCTCTGGAAGGTTGCAGCACATCCAGTGTCTTGTTAATGATGTACAAAGGCCTCTATTGCACGTGTAGGGAACATGCTGTCTCTTGGACATGTTAATGCACCCATGTCTTTCTTTTTTTTAAAAACAATATTTTTTTAATTTTAATTTTTTTTTTATTTTTAATTTATTTGACACAGAGAGATCAGAAGTAGGCAGAGAGGCAGGCAGAAAAAGAGAGATAGGAGGAAGCAGGCTCCCTGCCGAGCAGAGAGCCGGATGCAGGACTTAATCCCAGGACCCTGAGATCATGACCTGAACTAAAGGCAGAGGCTTAACCCACTGAGCCACCCAGGCACCCAATGCACTAATAGGCACTTGGGGAGCTCTGTGTGGTGGACAGAAGCCAGGGCAGGAGTTGACAAGGAAGCTGAACTGTGGCAGAATCAAACCCCAAAGGGGCTTGGTTCTGAGTCCCCTTTTGTAGCTCTCCTGGGGCCTGGCTTCTTACACGACTTGTGATCATTGTCATTTGATCATGTGTGCCATTTGCTTCTTGGCCATGCTCCCTGCCAGACTGGAAGCTCTCTGGTTTTTCTAACCATTATATTGCCACTGCCTCCCACATGTGAATGTTTTTTGAATAAACGGAAGAAGGTATTTATGGTCTAGTAGATGGAGACAGATGTGTGATAAATTTCAGCTAGATGCAGAGGTTACTGTTCTTGGGGACAGTGTGAAGTGCTGTGGAAATCCAGCAGAGGGAGACCCCCGATGTCTGGAGGCTCTGAGTAGGTGGCATTAGAGTGGGAGATCAAAGGGTGAATAGGAGTTTTCTGGGCAGGGTAGGTTGTCCCCGGCGGAGAGAACAGCATTTGAGGGTCATGGAAGGGGGAAGAGGAACACTAATGCCCCAGAGATGGTCTCTGATGGTCTCTAAGCCAACGTCTGGACATGTCATGGGTAGAGCCGAGCTGAGCTGACCTGAGATAGGAATCTGATCGCAATTAATAGAGCCATATGCTATCCTGGGATTTGGTGAGACAGTGCCTGGAGCTCTGGAGACAGACAGACAGACCTGGGTTTGAGTCCCAACTCTCCCACCTGCTAGGCAAGGGATTTGGGGTAATTGTGTTGACTTTCCTAAGCCTTTGTTTTACCACCTGTAGAATGTAGAACCTATACCATCTTAGAGATTTTGTGGAGATCTCATGAGGTAATGCAAGTAAAGCATGGAACACAGCACCTGGCATAGAATAAAGGGCTCAGCTCTGAGTTCAGTTCCCTGGAGAGGATACCCTGGCTCCCCAGAAGCCCAGAGTCAGCAGGGATTCCCAGTTATTTTTCCATTTGTTTCATGGTCATTTGTTCCCAATGGCAAGCACACCGTTCCTGAGTTGTGGGGTTCCCGGTGCACTGAGGGAACAGACATGGTCTCGGTGGCCTCCTGAGTAGATATGAAATGAATAGTGCTGTGTTTAGTGCTATGGAGGAGTGGATGTTTGTACCAGGAGAGCTTATAGTGGGGAATCTGACTTAGCCAAGGTAACACTTTCCTCAAGGAAGTGACACTTGTGGCAGGATCTGAAGGTGGAGTTAACTAGATTGGGGAGGAGGGGCATTCTGGGCACAGGGGATAGCATAGACAAAGACATTGCTGGAGGGGCGCAAAATGGCCACCAGAGGCAGCTGGACATACCCAAAAAAGCTGCTCTATCTTCTCCTTTGTGTCCTTTCCTTACCTGGCACCCAGAGTTGTCCCAAGTCCCCTGGACCTCATCCCAAAACACACAGTGGGACAGGAAGGTGGTAATGCCAACTGTGAGGTCCCTGCCAGTGGTCAGCTCCAGGTCAGACTCGGGGACAACGGTCAGATAGTAGACACCTTCTCCAAAATGTAGGTCCTCTGGGTTCAGGATCCACGTGGACTGCCCATCTGAAAAAAAGAGGGATCCAGACCAACCTGAAGCCTCACGGTGACTGGGGCTAATGGCATGGAAGAGAGGAACAAAGGTGACCTGGAAGGGAAGCTGATCTTGATAGTCTCTCTGATGTCCTAGGAAATCCCTCTCCCCACCAAGACTTGGGAGCAGAGGAGCGGAGGCACTCCCAGGTCAGTTTGCAGAACACACCTGCCAAGTCAGATAGATGAGGGCTCAAATTCTCACTCTGCCTCTTCTTGGCTGTGTGAGTTTGTATCGGTTACTTAACCTCTCTGTTCTTATCTGGCAAGAGGAAATGTCCATAGTGCCCATCCCGAGGATTGTAATGAGGATTACGAGGTTGGTTCTATAAGTGCTTGTCAGTTTCTTCAGGGCATGTAGTACGTGCTCACTTAATGTTGCCCAAAAAATCATAATGACAACAATGGTAGCAGTAATAATAACACCAAAAATATCAGCACTGAATGTAACAAATCGTTTTTCTTTTTCTCTATGGTTTCTGATTCTCACGTTTTAAGTTGGTCATCCTCTCTCCATCCCCCAGGAAGCTCAAGAAGCTGGCCCAGTTGTTGGAATACCTGCGGTAGCCACTGGTGGAAGTTGAGCTCTGGAGTCATAGCTGGTCTCATTAGGGTGGTAGCCGTAGCCCAGGCTGAGTACGAGTGGGATATCAGGTCTCCAGTGCAGTTGGATCCCCAAAGCTGCCCCATCTGAAGTCAGGTTCACCCACAAAGCTTCAGGACTGGTCAGGTTTAACACAGTTGGCTCACCGTGTCCTTCCGAAAGCCTTGGCAGTAGGATCTGTTATCAAAAACTATCAAATCAGGGGTGTGCGGGGCTGAGAATGCCAGTGAGCTTCATGGCTGCTGGACAGAGCAGGGCAGGGGGAGCACCTGGGGAACTGAGATCCACTCTGTGCTGTGCTCATTCTGTTAGTTTCCCGGGGCTGCTTAAGTAATGACCCCAAACTTGGTGGCTTACAACACCACTGATTTGCTATCTTACAGTTCTGGAGGCTGAAGTCCAAAATCAGTTTCACAGGGGCTGATGTTGGCAGGCTTATGCTGTTTGGACGTTCTAGAGAAGAATCCCTTCCTTGCCTTTTCCAGACTCTGGAGGGGCCCATGTCCTTTGGCTCATGGCCCCTCCTCACATCACCCAACCTCTTGCTTTTGTCATCAAATCAGCCTTTTCTCATCTGTAGTTAACTCTTCCTCTGTCTGTCTCTTGTGAGCACCCATGATGACATTGGGCCTGCCTAGATCATCCAGGATCATCTATCTCAAGATCCTTAATCACACCTGCAAAGTCCTTTAGGCCATGTCAGGTGGCAAATCCATGGGCTTAGGGATGAGAATATGGACATCCTTGGAGGTGCTGTTATTCACCTACCACGCTATGTACCATGGCTTGGGGCTGCATCTGCATAGAAAGAGGGAAGACTTCTTGTTTGCTCAAAGGTGCTTTGTGAACTAGCGGTCATGTTGATGACAGTGTCAAGCAAGTAAAGTGTTAGTTAGAAGCACAGGCCCCAGAGGCAGAGAGCTCTTTTGGGATCTCAGCTCTGTCCTATGTGAGCCCTGGGACATTTGGCCAATTAACAAGCCCCTGTGAGCCTCAGTTTCCTTGTCATGAATAGAACACACACACTCATTGATGGTATTAAAAATGATATCACGGGGTGCCTGGGTGGCTCAGTGGTTAAAGCCTCTGCCTTCGGCTCAGGTCATGATCCCAGGGTCCTGGGATCGAACCTCACATCGGGCTCTCTGCTCGGCGGGGAGTCTGCCTCCTCCTCCTCTCTCTCTCTCTGCCTGCCTCTCTGCCTACTTGTGATCTGTCTGTCAAATAAATAAAAATCTTTAAAAAAAATGATATCACATACAAAATACTTAGCCAAGTGCCAGATACACAGTAAGACTAAAAAATTAGCAGCTGTTACTATTCTGCTATTACTCGTACATTAGAAGTTCTCCTAACCATTCTCTATTTAATTAGCTTTCCAGATTAACTAATGCTCTGTGTTCCCTTTTTAAAATAGACTGATTGATGCCTACTGTGCACTCTTTACTCCTGGTGGCCTTCTGTGTTAGACATGGGCACAGTCCACCCTGCTTCCCCTTCCAGGAAGGACCTGCTACACAGTCACAGGGAGTGTGGTCAACAGACAGGCTCCAGCTGGCAGTTCCTTAAGAGTCAGCCCCGACAGCAGAGACCTAGCTTGTCTGAGGCACACCCTCCCTGGGGCCATCTGTATCCAGAGGTCAAGAAGAAGGCACAAGGCCCTGACATACTGGCCTGCTTTGGGACATTTTTCTCATTTGTACCTGTGGGATTTAAATTTATGGAGATGTCTGAGTGACGACATGGAGGGGCCAATGCCACTGAAAGAAGAATTTATTACTTACATTTCCTGAGAGGAGGAGACCACAACGCCATGCAGGGCCAGAGGAGAAGTACCTGGTTAGCGGGGGGCAGGAGCAGTCCCAGGGGAACGCTCAGGTCAAGGCTGTTAATGGATTCTCCACGGGAAAGGCAAGGCAGGGCAGAGTAAACCCATTTGAATAATTTTGGCAGTGTTGGGACTATAGGGATGGTCTCTGGTCACTTGGAACATGGCCTCAGGATGGTTTAGGATGGGAAATATTGCCTTGGTGTGTGAAAGTCAGATAAAGGGGCTGGTTGAGGGTATGGATTTGGGATTAGTTAGTCTGCATATGAAAGGTGTGCCCTGGCAAAGCCCTTTGCTATCTGAAAGGATGGGCCGGCCTAGGTAGGGGCCAGTTTCTTTCTTAGCAGCAAGATTTTTAAGATATCAAAATATCAAAAGTTACAAAAAATAAAAGGCTGATTAATACAGGCCTGATAGCTAATAGTTACTATAGCACTCCCCTCTGGGTTAACTGGGTCTTTGTGAGGTCTGGATTGCAGTTTGACCTCTTCTGTCCAGTCCTGCTGTCCTTCCTCCCTCTTCACAGCCGGTGTTGTTTACTGTTTCTAGCAAACATCTAGCACCCCAAGCTCTTCCTCAGCACCTGCTTCCAGAGAACCCAGCCCATGGCAGCTCTCTCCTGCCAGCCGAGGTGTGCGCTCACCAACAAGCACTTGTGTTTGATCCCAAAGCTGCTTATGTCCATTGTACTTGTGCTTGTAAAGGTCAATTTTAGATACATTTCACAGAGTGACAGAGAGTGGCAGATTAGTAGTGTGAAAAGAATTATTTGCATAAGAACTTAAGTCGAATGCTTTGAGAAGACATAGGAAAGATGAATCCCTAAACATTGTTAGTGGTCATTGGTGAGGAAACTGGAAGATTAAAAAAACTCACTAAAATCTCAAAAGAACTGAACTCCTGTCGCACCATGGTGTGCTTTATGTTTTTGCTTCATTTTAAAGAAAATCTGGCATTTTAGAGGCTGCCTTTTAAGGGTGGTTTATATAATGAAGATGATTAAAATTCCAATCGACAGATTTAAAGAAACGTTTTGATCATACATCCAAAGATTGACAATGATATACATTTATAGTTTTAAGTTAAAATACAGTGTGTCACATAGCGTAATGACCATTCTTAATGATTCTCCTCTTTAATCAACTTCTGGTCCCAACCAAGTTAAAGAAGAAAATAGAAGTGACATGGACTTCTGACAGCACCCCCAACTTCTACCTCGATATTCTCTGACAGATTCTTCATGGGTATGAGATGTCCACTAGGGCTGGTCAGGCAGAGGCCACCAACAGTTCCACTGACATCAAAGTGACTCTGGGCCAGGAAGGGGCTCTTTGGGAAACTCATCACCTGAAACCAAGAATAAGGAGTGCTGGCCAAGGCCCCCAAGGGCTGGAAGGTGAACGCGTCCTTATGTGAGTGATAAGGTTTCCTAAGATAGAACAGACAAGTGACCCAATGGGGTGAGTGAAGGACACTGCTGTTAGCTGTGTCTGGCCTTCCTGGTGTGTGTCTGCCCTCTAGGGCTGAGGACCCACTCAAACCTAGGGAGCTGTGCAGCCAATGGACCTGAAGCTCTCCAACCCTTTCTTCTTGGCAAAGGCAACAATTTCCTAGGAGAGAGATACTTAATCTGCCTTCTCTTGGGGCTCAAGGATCACAGTCAGATGTGCCCTCACTTGGGAGCGAAAGGAGCACTGGGTTTTCCATTTCCTGCTTATGGAATGAAGTCTGAAGAGCTTTATTTCCAGTAACTAATTGAACCAAGGCTGCTGGAGAAATTCCACAGTGCAGTGGAAGAAGGATGGACTTGGGTATCAGAAGGCCTGAATCTGCATCCCAGATCTGTCACTTTGCTTGTGGCCTTGGGTGAGTCACTGAACCTCATCTGTAAAATGGGTATAGTAATACTACGGAACGGACGGGGTTGTTAACAAAACTGAGCAAACTCATGTGAAAGTGCCATATTAGCTGTAGAGGGCTGCTCCCAAAGAGGTTATTACTGTTGTTACCCTGATGTCCACAGGCTCTGGGCTGTCCTCCATAGAGCCAAGGTAGGAGGCAGCAGGCAGGATAAAGGTTGCAGAGCTGGCAGCTGCAGTGTGCACAGAGGAGCCTCGCCAACTCCTGGGCTGTATTCTGGCCACAGGGTGAGAACAGAGGTGCCGGGAGAGAGAAGAAAGCCATTGTCAGAGGAAAATATCCTGCACTGCAGGGAACCCTGGCATTGCTTTCAGAGTGGGTGGCTCTGTTTCAGTCCCTTTAGATGGTTCTGTGTGTTTGCGTCAGTAGGAGCCGCAGGAGAGGCAGCTGACACCCCCAGCACCGGGTTGGAGGCTCTATGAGGACAGGGCGTTAGCCAGCTTTGTTTACTGCTGCGCCCCCAGTGCCCAGAAGATCACCTGGCATGTAATGGTGGTCAGCACATACTTTGTTGGATGAATAAATGAGCTTTGATGTGGACATTTCTCCAGGCTTATCCCTTCTACCTACTTGATTCTGACGTCATGGGCTTCTAGACCCATCTTCTCTGGCCTTTGCTGTTGTACATCTGATTAGATTGGGGACCTATCTCAGACCCTAGCTCTGATCAGAATGCTGCTTTGGGAAACTGTCCCTGGCCCCCAAGAGGGTAACCCTGGCACAAGGAGTCATAGAAGGGTGCTCACTGCAGGGGTCCCAGGAGTGCCTGCCCCTGCTTATCAGGTGGAGGCATGCAGGGTGGGGTATCCTCAGGTTCTGGAGGGCATAGTGAGAGGCACTCCAAAAAGGATTGCCAAGGCCAGAGCATCTTGAATCCCCACAGCTCTGTGGAACAATGGGCTTGGCCAGGCGCACCGGGAACGTAGTTAAAAATGGGCAGGCCCCCTTTATTCGGCCTCTCTCCCTGCATAGCTCCAACATGACCCATCTTTCAGGATTTGTGGGTGGCTCCAAGATGGGACTTGGCACTCACCAGCTCCCTTCCTACGCTGTGCAAACACCCAGACCTCCTCTCAGTGAAAAGCCCTCCCACTTCCAGCTCCCCTCACATCTCCCACTTCCAAGGCTGGTCTTCTGGGCTCTGCTCGTCACAACGTCTTGGGATGTGGGTGTGGACCGAGCCAGGTCAGGAGACAAGCTTTCTTGGGAACCTCAGTGCAGCTGATTACCTCTTTGTGTATATGGAGATGGAGGGGTTGGCCAGAGTGATTGGGAGGCCCCCAGGCAGTGTCCCCAGAAGGAGGGCATCCTGCACATGCTCCACAACTCTGAGCAGCTGGGGAATGGAGGCCATCTGGAAAAGAAAGCAGGGAATACTGCTGGAGACCTGTCTCTGTATGCCACCTTTGTTTACTGTCGCCATGTTAGTGTGGGACCTTCAGCAGAGACGGGGACAGGGAAGAGGAGAAAGGAAGGGACAGCACTGCTGTTTACTGAGTGCCAGGCTCTGTGGGGAGTGAAAAATAAGCATTTATGAAGGTTCCAACACCTTTTGGAATGTGAATCCCTTTTCATCCTTAGAACAACTCTGGGAGGTGAGTGCTATCACTATATCCATTTGGCAGATGGGAACACAAAGGCACACAAAGGTTAAGTGACTTGCGGAGGTCACATGTTGATAAAGGCAAGTTCCAGGACTCACAGGCAACCAGGCCTCTGGCTCCCGAGTCTGTGCTGAGCTATCTCGCTGGGTGCCTCTGTGCTGCTCTCTTTGGCCCTGATAGCCACCCACAACCCAGGTCTTATTTGTGGCAGATAGCAAACCACAGGCAGAGCCATTTCAAGGGTCACCCGGACTGCTGCTCACTACACCCAGACCCCCTGATGAGGCTGCAGCCTCGCCACAGCCAAGGCTGGTGTGAGTGTCTGAGACGAGCTGAATGTCCGCATAGATTGTGTGTGTGTGACTGAGTGAATGTGAGTATGTGCGTGTTTGAGGGTGACCTGTGAAAATGAGGAATCTTGTGTCGGTGAGTATCTGTGTGTTTTAAGTGTGTGATTGTGTGTCTGAATGTGAATGTGGGTTTGAGGGTGTGTGTGAGTGTAAGTGTTCGAACATAAATGAGTGTATGTGCTTTTGTATGTGACTCACATATGTGAGTCTGTTCGTGTGAGTGTGTGTGGCTGTGTGGCCATTGTGAAGATATGAGAAAAACGTGCATCTTTGTGAGTGTGTGCAAGACCGTGTGCTTCAGGGCATGTGTGGGAGTATAAGTGAAAGCTTGTAAGGGTGTATGAGTGTGAGTGAATGTGTTAGTGTCTGTGGACATGTGTGAGAGCCTGGGTTTAAGTGTGTGAGTGTGACTGCGCGTGTGTGTTCCCCACATGCTAAAGGACTCCGGAGCAGCAGGAAAAGGTTGTCCTGCTCCGTCATGATGCCGTCCTAGGAGGCCTTCCCCTGCTGCACCCCGTGAGGAGTGCCGGGGCTGCACGAGACTGTGCCTCATCTATTCTCTACGGGCTGACTCTCTTCTAAAAACATTCTCTGTGGGCTAGGCATGTGATCTCTCCAGTTGGCAGTTTATCTGGGATGAGGTGGAATGCCTCAATTTACAGATAAGGGGTGAGACTGAGGGAAGTTATGTACCCTGCCCAAGTCTCAAGGTTTGAAAGCAACGGAGGCAGGATGAGAAGTTAGGCTGCCTCACTCCAGAGCCTTTGCTCTGCCTCCCAGAAGCTCTGGTCTCTGTAAATTTTCTTCCAGCTCCCCAGAGAGGACTTTAACCTCTGAGCCTCAGTTTCCTTATCTGCAAGATGAGGAGAAAGATCCATCTAGAAAGGCTGGTGTGAGCTGCGCATATGGTAGCTGGGTAGCATGTGGGCATGTCATCCGCCTCTGGGCTGAGACACCTACCTGGCTGCCCTTGGCCTCTGCAGGCTCTTCTGGTCCCTGGAAGCTCAGGGAGGCTTCCAGCACACTCCCCACAGCCTGAAACAGGTCCTTGGTGGCCACCTGGCGCCTCTGGTCTTCAGGCTGGACCTTGGAACTCACTGCCAACAGGGCTTCACTGGCATGCTGCAGAGCCCACATGGCCTCCCGCTGGGTTCACCCAAAGGAGAAAGAAAGGCAGCATGAGCCCCTGCCTGATAGACCATCCCCTGTACCATTCAAAGGACAAGGGCTGCAAGAGAGGGGAGCAAGGTGGGGGGACAAACTAGGGGAAATCTGGGCCCATTGCGCAGGCTGCCTGTGTCACTGACTTGAGGTCAGGTTCTCCTTCCCTACAATGTGCTATTCAGGAGAGTAGCCTCATCCATCTCGGAGGCTTTCCAGAGTGCCCTGCACAATGCCTAGCACGTAGCAGTAAACATTCACTAACCGAGGAGATGGGTGGAAGAATGGATGGATGGATGGATGGGGGTGTGGGTGGCAGATGGATAGATGGAAGGATGGATGGACAAGACACTTATTCCAGTTTTGTAATTCTGTCTGTATTTGTGAAACTGTATAAAGTCTTGCTGCCCCAGTACCCTGAAAGAGCCGTGAGGGCAGAGACTATGTCCGCGTTACTTGCTGAATTTTTTTTTTTTTTAACTAAGAGAAATATTTTCATTGGGATCTGCTTACAGGCATTCCTTTTTTTTTTTTTTTTTTTAAGATTTTATTTATTTACCTGACAGACAGAGATCACAAGCAGGCAGAGAGGCAGGCAGAGAGAGAGGAGGAAGCAGGCTCCCCACGGAGCAGAGAGCCCGATGCAGGGCTCCATCCCAGGATCCTGGGAACATGACCTGAGCCAAAAGTAGAGGCTTTAACCCACGGAGCCACCCAGGTGCCCCCAGGCATTCTTTTTTATAATGTGACTTTTTAAAACTTTTTTTTATTAATTATTTTTATTAACATATAATGTATTATGTGCCCCAGGGGTACAGGTCTGTGAATTTTCAGGCTTACCCACTTCACAGCACTCAGCATATACTTGCTGAATTCTTGATGCACAGTGTGTGCCCAGTACCTGGTATATACTAGGCATTCAGGAAGCATTTGTTGAGCGAATGAGTAAATTCATGCATGGACAAGTAAATGGAAGGGTGGAGGAACGGCTGTGCGGGTGTACAAAGGTGCTGAACAGATGTATGCATGTGGAATGGATGGATGAGCAAATGGGTGTGTCAGTGGCAAGGGTGACGTTAACAGCGTCATGGCCCCAGAAATAAAGGTCAGCCTTGCTGGCCTCGGGATGGAGAATCTGAGAGGCACAACCTCCTGACAATAGGTAGAACAGAGCCAGGGTAAGGTCTCCCCTGTTACTGACTTAGGGCTTCCTTTTTCTTAACCTTTAGCTACAATAACACTGGGAGCATGGTGATTTAATTTGAGTCCTCCAAGAAGCTGAGCCTGAGCCACGAATTTAAGATGTGGGCTGTCAGAGTGACTGGTGAGTCAGGGTCGTAGAAGAAAGGCAGGACCTGGCAGCTGGACATCAGTCTGATACGTACTGGGGAGCATGGGCAGGTTAGCAGCAGCATCTGGGCACACACTTAAATGTCACTCAGTGATTAGAGTCAGCTACTCCTTTGAGGTGCCACTGGCAAGTGAGGGAGTGGGGTGTATGAGTACACAGGCTATGACATCCAGAATGAGATACAGGGGCTGCAGGAGGACATCATCCCTCCCTTGGCACCACCCATGCAGGACCCTTAGAAACAAGAAGGTAGAAGCCTCGCTGACCCTGTGATTAAGGGACCTTCAAGCTGGGATGAGTTGTGATTTACCCACTGAGGAGGAGTGTGTTGCATGACTTGGCCTGAGACAGCAGATGGGCCTCACTTACCTGGGCCTTGGGTGTGAGCTCCTCAGTGGGGTGGGTCACCTCTCTTAGCACCTGGGCCAAGCTTTGTATCCTCTGTATGTCCCCCAGGGTGGCAGGGACCGCAGACAGTGACCCCAGCACACGCTCTCTGACCTTGATGCAGAGGGAGGAAGATGGGGAGAGGAAATGTCATTCCAGTGGCTTGATGAAACCATTTCAGAAAGATCTGGAGTCAGGGCAAAGGACCAGGCTCATCTGGGGTTTTCCAAAAGCTTTTCCAAAGCCAAGAGACCTCTGTTTGCTTTGTAGGATGCGCGGTGTGCAGAGTAACGGCCTCCCAAAGATGTCCACATCCTAATCCCTGAAACACGCCAGTAGGTCACCTCATAGGGCAAAAGACACTTTATCAAATTGTTTTGGAGTTTTCTGTTTGTTATCTATGTACTCTCTACTCTGAAACGTGGGGCTTGAACTCATGACCCTGAGATCGAGAGTCGCGTGCTCCTCCTACTGAGCTAGCTAAGTGCCCCTGTTTTGGAATTTTAATTAAGTTAAGGGTTCTGGATGAACCCGGTGGGACCAGTGAAACCACAGGGTCTTTGTAAGGGGGAGGTGGGATGGTCAGAGTCCGAGAAGATGTGTGGGTGGAGGCGGAGGTGAAGAAGAGGCTGGAGGAGGAAGGGAAAGGGGGTGAGGAGGGGAGGCTGGGGGAGGGGAGGGAGGAGGCCTTGGAGAGAGGAGGAGGGGATGGGGAAGGGTCCCAAGATGCTGAGCTGCTGGCTTTGCAGATGGGGAGGAGCGCAGAGGTGTCTGGGGACTGCGCTTTCTGCCGAAGAGCCCTACGAGGCCGGCTGGGGGCTGGCCTCGCAGCAGCGGAGAAAAACTAAGAATATAATTTCAGCACTGCCAGGGAGCACTTTCCCCAGCGACGCGAGGGCCTCTCTCTGCACTGTCCACTCACCCCATGTGACTTTTGAGTCTGTGGGATGTGGCCAGTGCAACTGGAGAGCTGAATTGTAAACTTTATTTCGGTTTAATGTTTAATTCAGATGTAAGTTCCCAGATGTGGCGAGTGGCGACCATTTGGCATAGCACAGATCTGAGGGAAGCGTCCCCCTCCCCGGGCCTGACCGCCCTTCCTGGACCCGCAGGGTTCGGGTGTGTCTGCTGTCAGCTCAGGGTGCAAACAGGCTCTGGCGTGGATGGAGGAGAGACTAGGCCAGCATATGAGGGGACTCTGGTCAGAATGTTCTGGTAGGAGAAATTGTGTTTGCCTCTGCAGTTCTTCCCTCCCTCCTTCATCACTGTCCTGGAGGCAGCTTCTGTGGAGATGCTACCGGCTCCCGCCTCTCTGGCCAGTGCGCTCATTCAGTGGGAGATGAGAGGGCAGGAAGAGAGAGAGCTAGAAGCTATTCTCCTGGTGCCTGGGCCACTGGTCGGTCAACTGCCTCCTTCTTCAGAAGCCATTGCTTCCACCAGGGAACCCCTACCATGCAGTTGCCCCCTCCAGATTCTGGTCACTTCAGGCTGAACTCCAATTTTTATCAACAGAGCCCTTCTTAAATTCTTCTTAGTGCTTCCATTAGTATTTTATACCTGCCTCCTGCCAGGACCCCAGTATTTCATGGGGAGACCTTGGGTCAGGCTGCATAATCTGTGGGCTCAGGGACCGCAGGACATCCAGATGGAAGTCTGCCATGGGTAATGCTCAGAGTGAATGCAACCCAGACTGAGAACCAGGAATGTGTGGGGGTGTACAGAGGGGCTAATGTAAGACAAGGGTAGGGGTGAGAGGTGTAGGAGGGCGGGAGGTAGACAGGGGAAGAGCCAATCTGGATCAGAACCTCATCTTCACCACCTTCTTAGAAATGTTGGCCTGGGCAGACTTTTTAAAATTCTCTTGCCCTATTTCCTCTTCTGTAACATAGATGGGGATCTCACCATTTACCTTGTAGGGTTTTAGTGAGAATTATATATCCCTGAAGCTCTTAGGGCCGGCAGGATATAGTAGGTGCTCAGTAAATGTCAGTTATTTATCTCTAAGTAATTACTATGACAGCCACCACTTCCCACATGTCCTGCACCATGCTAAGTAACTTTCATGCCAACCCTTCAGGGGACCAGAGAAGTCTTTCTTTTCTTCTCCATGCCCATCAGGTATATGTGATGCTGTGTGTGTGTATGTGTGTGTGTGTGCGCGCGCGCGCGTGCACGTGCGCACGTGTGTACACCTGCACCCACACATATTCATACAGCAGATACCAGGAGTGGAAGTCATCATCTGCTCTGCAATAGCTGTTTGTCCTGTCAGCTTGTAACACACGAGATGGCCGCTCTGTGGATTAAAACTGGTTGAATGTCAGTAATTTCAAATGGCTTGACCTAACCTTATGAGGAAGAATACTATTTATTATCCCCATTTTCCAGATGGGGAAATTAAGGCTTAGAGAAGTTCATTCACCAGCCCGTGACAGTACAGATGGCAGTGGCCAAGGTGAGATGACCTTCAGGGTCTAACTCCAGACCATTAACTATATGAGTGAGGCCAGGCCACATTTCTCCTCTAGCCTCGGATTTGTCGTCTTTGACAGGAAGGCCTCGAGCAATACTCTTAAATTCTCTCCTGCCATAGAAGCCTTTGACTCCATGAGGCAGAGCAGGGCAAACAGGTTTCCCTCATTTTAGGTCACTTACTGCGAAAGGACCAGAGAGCGAGCTGATGTCAACAGGCATCAACTCGGCAGATACCGAGGCTTCCCAGCTCTGTGAATTCCACTCCTCACCCTGAATGGCTGTGTACAGACCCCGGGGCCCAGCGGACAGCATGAAAGAGGCCCATCTTGAGCACCTTCTGTCTGATGTCCATGTTCAGCAGCCGCCTGCAGCCCTGCCCCTGGCACTCCTGGTCTAGCACGGATGACACGGCTCTGGCCAGCTGGAAGAGCCGCTCAGGGTCCCACTCGCTTTGCAGAGTGGCGGTGATGTTCTCCAGCACTGCAGCCTGGAATGCCCCGTTCTCAACACGGGTGTCTCCAAGTCCCACCTAACAGGGAAACCAGAAGCACATTCAGTCCACGGAAGACCTCAGCTTACCAGTTCTCGTTCCAAAACCTGGAGCCTGAAGTCAGTCTCTCGAGGCAAACCAGAGCAAGGCTGGAAGGCTTTGTACCTGGTGTGGAGTCTCTCCTGAGGCTGAGGGCAGCTGGGCTCACTGGAGGCAGACAGCCAACAGCCACTGAAAGCAAGCCTGGGGCAAGTCACTGCTCTACCCTCGCCACGCACCTCATCGTGCCCCCAATCCCTTCCTGTTCCACCTGGCCCCTCACCCTTCAAACTTACCCCGATTTTATCCAGCCTCAGCCTTGTACCCATTATGGCTGATTCGGGTCCTCCTTTCCCTAGACTCTGATGGCACTGGCCTATCTCATCCAGGGCCCCACCCCTGTTCTGGCCACTGAGATGTAGGATCTGCAAAGGTAGAGACCATGACTGTTTTGTTCACAGCTGTGTGTCCAGGGCCTGGTACATAGCAGGTGCTCTGAAAATACTAGTTTGAAGGAAGGAATGAATCAGTGACTCCTCTGGTCATGCCCTTGGCTCTCTTCAATCTGGTCACCAACTTGGTGAGGTTAAGTTGGGTCAACAAGTTTTCTCAGTGAAGAAACAAAAGGCTGCCACCACCCACCTTCACCACTGCGTGGGCCTGCTCTTTGTCCCCTGTGAGACTGGAGACAGAAATGACCACTGTCAGCATGAAGTCATTGTTTACTTTCCCAAGTGGCAAATAAACTGACGGGAGTGCAGGCTCAGGGCCACAGTGTAGACAGGAACCTGGTAAATGGAAACTGAACAGTTAGGGGGGCATTCCCAGGCCCCAGGGAGACTGGAAACCCACCAAGGTAGAGCATGCGGACAAGGACACAAAACCCACAGCTCATAAAGGCATGGCAGGCACTCAGGGACTCCATGCTTTCAAAGAGAAGACAGCCACCTATACTGATCCACTGGCCTCCCTCTGTAATCATATGCTGCTAGGACTTTGGAATAAGTTTACTGGAATCCATAAAAAATTTCAAAAATTGTTTCCCTCTTTACAGGCTTAAAAAAAAATTAAAGGTAACAAACCAAATTACAAAAAGGAGGAGGAAGAGGAAGAGGGGAGGAGGAGACCTTAAAAATAGCACCCCCTTCCTGCAGGTGTGTGGCTGGGTCAGTGTGCCTGGGGCTGGGGTTAAGGTGTAGGCGCTTCTTTATTCTGTAAACCTCTCTCACACATGGAACACACTTTTTGCAGCTCCCTGTTCTAGGAGAGTGGAGCCTAGTAGCTGAAGTGAGAGCAGGAGCCCTGGGCCGGTACCTGACTCCAGGCAGAAGCAGTACTCCAGGGGACCTAGGTCCGAAGTTGTATTGCAGAAGATGGTGAAGCTGGTCAGAATGGTACCCTCCTCTGGGGTGATGGTGCACGTGGGCACCGCAGGGGGAGGCAGAGAGCTGATCACATGGGTGTCCTCTCCGTGGGCATGCCCGGTTACTGCTGGGGAGTGAAGATGGAGGGTGCTTGAGGGGTTCTGTGACCACCTGTGACCAGACCACCAGGCTTCAGGATTGCCCTGGGAGCTTGTTAAGCATGCAGAGTCCCAGGCCCGTGTCCTGACCCCGAGCCTCAGACCTCTATGGAGGTTCTGGGCTGAGGCCCAGAAATCTGCATATCTCTCAGCTCTCCCTGATGCAGGGTATCCTGAGGCCTCACATTTTGAAAGTCAGTCCTTCATCTGTAAAACAGGGCTGATATATATATATATATATATATATATATATATATATATATATACACACACACATACACACACACATACATATATATATATTTTTTTTTTAATATTTTATGTATTTATTTGACAGAGACATAGCAAGGGAGGAAATATAAGCAAGGGAAGTGGGAGAGGGAGAAGCAGGCTTCCTGCTGAGCAGGGATCCGGATGTGAGGTTCCATCCCAGCATCCTGGGATCATGACCTTAGCTGAAGCCAGATGCTTAACGACCAAGCCATCCAGGCACCCAAAAAGGGCTAATATTAGTAGCTTCCTCAGAGCTTTGGTGAGGAGAAAGTGTTTGGGAAACAAAATGACTTGCTCAAGGTCACCGAGCTCAGAAGGGCCATGCCCAGAATCTAGAAAGAGGCTGATCCTGCCCAAAGCCTTGCTTTTTTCAGGCCTCCACCTGCACCACCATCCTACATCACTGGTATTTCAAAAAGAGTCTATACCTGGAAGAGCTGGGCATAAAGAGAATTTTAACCAATAAAAATGATTAGTTTAGGGATGCTTGGGTAGCTCAGTCATTAAGCATCTGCCTTTGGCTCGGGCCATGAGCCTCCAGCCCTGCATACCCGCATCAGGCTCCCTGCTCAGCGGGAAGCCTGCTTCTCCCTCTCTGACTACGCCCTGCTTGTGTTCCCTCTCTCTATGTGTCTCTCCCTCTGTCAAACAAATAAAAAAATCTTTAAAAAAATGATTAGACCTAATCCAAAAGGTTCGGGGCATGCCTCAGAGTGTTCATTTTGAACTAGTACCTCAGGTTGTTCCAGTATGGGAGGTCTGTGGGCCACTTTGAGAAAAACTGAGTCAAATGAATCCATCCCAAAAAGAATAATCACCCATCATTTGTCATTTTGAGAATCTACGTTTCCTACCGCACTGGGCTTGTTTAAAGTCTGGCGGGACACGCGGACTGCACCACCCCAGAACAATCTGTCTCCTCCACCCTGCATAATGCAATTCGGAGGCAGGAAACTGAGGTGCAGAGAGTTGAAGTGCCTCGCCTCCCAGCTAGAAAGTGGTGGCAAAGGGATGAACCCCAGAGCCTGCGTCTGGCCCCTGACCCTGCACCGAAGTCCCACATTTCAGGGCTTCCGGGTTTGTCTTGGTTCACTTTCTGTGGCAGACGGGACCCACGACAAGAAACCGAGCGGGGGCCTGCACACCTGTGGCTCCGATCCGGGTGGCCTGGCCCCAGGTCTGCAAGAAGGAGCTGTTCTGCCGCAGTGTGGAGGTGTTGCTCTGAGGGAGGGTTAAAGCACTCAGCCAAAATCCCCGGAATCTGCAGGCAGCCGGGAGGGGCTCAGCCTGAAAGAGAGCAGCACCCAAGAGCCCCTGAGGTTTCAGCCAGGCTGCCGGACTCAGCAGGGCAGTGGCTTCTCACCCCAGGGGCCTTCGAGCACAGACACCACCCGCTTCCCCGAGTCAGCCCAAATACCCAATTTCCAGCCCGGTGTAGGTGTTTGTCTGAGATCAGGTTCCCTTGAAGGACACCCCCCAGACTGGGATTCATGTGCAGGTCATTTGCTGAGGGAGGCTCTTGGGAAAACCAGAGTGGAGAAGGAAGCAGAGGAGGGCAGAGAAGTGGTTTCAGGAGGTGTCCAGCCAGCTTCAGCCTGATCTCACAGCGAGCGTGAGCTGTACCACAGAAGTTCTCTTACTCAAGGGGGCTGGGCCATTAGACCCCCGCGTCCATCGGTGACCAGCCAGCAGTCCCTCCACAGAGGCTGGGACGGGTGTGTCAGCCTGGGCAGAAGGACTGAGCCGGGGCCCCCGCAGCATCTGCTGTGATGTTTCCCCATTGCTTCTGCTCCCTTGTGTCCATTCTCCCTTCTGACCAATGCCCTGGTTTTCCTCTGGGGAACACCACCACCCCGTCCCCCCACCCCCAGCTCAGTCCTGGGCATGTGACACAGGGTCTGACAGTCAGCCAAAGCAGGAGTGGCTGCCAGTGTCCTCACCTTCCCCAGAGAGGTGTCCTCTAAGTCCCAGTTGAACATGGCCACTGAGGAGTCGTCCACCACGGTGACTCTGAGCATGACGTCTTCACTGGCATTCACTGGTCCACAGTTCTTCTCACAACTGAGAGGGAGATAGAATGGAGTGTGGAAGTTCACTCCAGCCTTGTGGCCTCGCTGTCTTTTGTCCGGTTCTTCTCAGGTCATTTGTGAAGGTGGCAGAGGGCTTTTTTTCAAGTGAAAGAGGAAAGAAAAGCAACCCATGCCCCAACCAAAACCAGGACATAGCGTTGGTCATGGAGATGGAATGATTTGTGCCTGACTGAATTCCCACTTCATTCCCAGTGAAAGACAATGGTATGGAAAGTGCATGAAACCTAGGGTCCTCAGATCCTGTCCCTGCCTCATAAGAATGGTTACCTTGCATGAGTCACTTTAACTCTCTGAGCCTCAGTTTCCTCACCTGCAAAGTGGGGTGGGGGGAGGATAAGAGCAGACAATATTTCCGTGGTTCCTTCTAGTTCTAACAATAATAAAGGAACGCTGTGGTTTTATTGCATGCATCCCACGGGTTATAAATGATCTGCATCATTGTTCACTTATCTAGGGCTTACCACGACCCTAGGAGCAATGTATTAGAATCCCCTATCACAGACAAGCAAAGCAAACCAGGTCACATAACTCCTTAGTGGGGAAAGGGAACACGAACCAACACGTCTATATTCAGACACTGGGCCTTCTCTGTAGCATCCCACTCCCTCCCTAGTGCCAATAAAAGGTCACTCTGGCACCTGCCATGTGTCCAGTCCATATGCAGGACCTTTCAGTTTTAACTTCTTAGCAACTCTCAATCTCCCTACTTTACTTCTGTCTTCATGTCCATCCTAGCACAGGTGTACCAGACATTCTCCACAAATCTTTGTGGCTCTGGGGACTAGGAGACTAATCTCCATGGACTCTAATCTCCATGGACTGTGTCACCTGAGTTTCCGTGCCTCTGGCTTCTGGTTGGGTCTAGCAATGGGAGGCACTGGCTGGCGATCAGGTGGTGAAGGGGAGGGGGAGGTGGGTATTTATTCACCAATGGCCCTGTGCCTCAACAGGTGGGCAGGAGTTGGCAATGGCTGTTCTCTAACCAAGACCCCAGCTCCTAGGGGTCCTAGCAATGCCATCCCCCCTCCTTACCTATGCAATCCCGAGAAGGAAAGTGGCTTCCTCCTATTGTAGTCCTGCACTGCCAACCCTAGTTTGTTCCCTTATCCCTGCCCACATCTGTACGTAGACCCTTTGTCCAACTCTCATCAACTCCCAGTTTGAGGGAGACAGCTACTTCTTTTTCTTTTTTAAACATATAATGTATTATTTGCTTCAGGAGCACAGGTCTGTGAATCATCAGTCTTACACAGTTCACAGCACTCACCATAGCACATACGCTCCCCAATGTCCATCACCTAGCCACCCTGTCCTTTTCCCCACACCCCACTGACCCTCAGTTTGTTTCCTGAGATTAGGAGTCTGTTATGGTTTGTCTCCCTCCCTGGTCCCAACTTGTTTCATTTTTTTCTCCCTCCCTTCCCCCCCCGACCCCCTGCCCTGCCTCTCAAATTCCTCATATCCGAGAGATCATATGATAATTGAGACATCTACTTCTTGCTGGGACCCAGTTGATAGACCAGGCTACCTTGAGCTCTCACCTTGACTCCTGCAAGAACTCAAGCGATCTCCCGGAGCCCTCTCTTGCCCTCCTCCAACCCACTCTCCATCCTGCTACCACAGAATTTTGAAGTAAGGCACGATCACGTCCCCGGCCTGCTTGCAACTCTTGAGTGACTTTTCCAGAACTCTACAATATGATATCTGTGATGTAACCCACAAGGTTCCACCAGAGCCAGACCCTGCCTTTTCTCCCAGTTTCTTTTTGCCCCTCTTTCTCCCTCCATACTTGAGCCACACCTGTCTCTTTCACTTCCAGTTATTCTGTGCTCCTTCCTTTTGCCATCCAGTTTCCTCTCCTGCCCCTTTTTCCTTTTTTCTGCCATGCTAGTTCCTCTTCCTTCACATCTCTGCTAAGGGAAACCTTCCCTGCTGCCAAGTCCGGGAAGTTGTCATTGGGATGCACTACCTCCCTGCATTCACTGGGGCCAATCATTGCTGACCACCAGGAAGCACTCCATGTGAGAACTGTGACCAGGTCTATTGGGCCACTCCTGTAAGACTTGTTCCTCTGTCTGTGCCACCCCGAGCTGGCTCTTCAGTAAATGGTGGCAACGCCACAGGAGTTTGCTCTCTTGCCCCCACCTGACTCGAGGCCCGAGTTCCAGGGGGACGGACACATAGAGGCACTGCTCCTCCCGGTGCTGCAGCTCCCCGCCCCTCCAGGTGGCCAGGCGCAGGGTGACGGTGGAGGTGGGCCGTGGCAGGCAGGATGGAGGAAGCACCAGCTCCCTTTGGTCTGTGCGGAGCAGCTGCCTCTCAACACAGTAACTCCACTGGGCCCAGCAGCGTCCTGAGGGGAAGGGGGAAAATGCTGTTACCAATCCAAGGACACTTCCGGTTTGGCATTTTGGGGAAGGAAAGAGTCCTAGATAAGAAAAGCAGCTCCAAAGAGAGAATTTGATGAACACTCCCACTTGCAGGGTGTGGCGACAGTGCTACGGAAGGATGCTCCTGGGGAAATGAGTGGTGCTTCCCCCCAACTCTGAGCACACCTGCAGGGGATGTCAGCTTCTTTTACCTGCACCGGCCACTGGCTGAAGAATGAACGGCCAGGCATACAGCAGGAGAGAGACCAGGAGGATAGACAGCTCTGCCTGGGTGAGCACCCAGGCAGTTTCTTGTCCCTGGTGTAATTTCACTCCACCTGGAAGACTGACCTCAGCTGGACGTCCCTGTGGGTACACTGGGGACCTGGGGACCTGGGGGCTGTATCCCACCTGAGAGGCCACATGTCCCCTCTGGCTTTATGATACCATCTCAGTAAGTCCCTGTATCCTTTGCCCTTCATCTCTGTTGATGGATGTTTATCCAACAAGCACCTCGCTTCCCCCGTCCCCCTCGTTATTGGATTTAGGGCCAACCCATGTAATCCACGATGACCTCATCTGCAGAGTCTTAACTTAATTACATCTGCAGAGACTCATTTTCCAAATAAGGTCATTGTTCTGGGGATGAGGACATGAATATATCCTTTTGGATTCGGTATTTAACTCCCTATAGGTACCAAATGCACAGAGTGGAGGTGATTGCCTTCCCATCATTGTCTTGCACAGAGTTCTGGCATGTCCTTCCAGAGCCAGTCCCTGCCTGTGTCGGAATATAGGTATGTATGTTTGTGTGTGTGTCATTGTTCCACACACAGCATTCTCTATGCGCTTCTGGACTTGGCCTTTCTTAATGCATCTTGGTAAGCATCCCGTAGCCATACAGCTGCCTTATTTTCGTTAACAGCTATGTAGTCCTCCCTGTCTGGATGTACCCATTTTATTGAAGCATTCCCCTCTTGATGAATATTCAGGGTGTTTGCAGTCATCTGCTGTTTCCACCAGTGCCATTCATGAGACATGATCTAGGGTCGGGCCATCAGCTCAACCACCCAAACTCTATACGTGCATCCTCTATGGATTCTGATAAGGAGAATTAACATTCAAAAGGGTATCCTGAGCACTTACCAATGGATATCGAAAGGCTTCAAGTTTTCCATGACTTTTGACCCAGCTATTCCATTTCTTAAAATTTATTATTTTCTAAAAACTTATTTATGAAAGTAACCAGAGAATCAAATAAAGATAGAACTACAGGGATGTTCATTACAATGTTTTTATAAGGGCAAATAATTCAAAACAACCTAAATGTCCAAAAAATAGGGTACCAGTAAATAAATGATCATATACTAACTAGACAGTCTATTATACACTTATTGTGAAGTCAAGATGGAGAAGATATCATGACCTTAAAATATGCAGGATATATTGTTCAAAGAAAAAACAGCTAACAAAAATAATATGTACAGTAGGGATGGCATTAATTTCCAAAAGAAGGACTGCCTAGCTAGGCTATATCCCTATAGAGAGGAGGACAACCATTTCTAAGTAATGGGCACTGGTGCTACTCTCTTGATTTGTCTGAAAATGCCTCCTCACTTCTAGACTCTTCCTGGCAACGTATCAAGGGCAAGGAAGTGAAAGGAGGGCAGTTGTTGTTTTTATTTTATCACTGACTTTTGCGGTGAAAATAAAGCAGATTGACTTTTAGGATTAATTACTGTTCTCACATATTTTACAGATAGTGCATCTCCTTGTTGCCTGCCTTCAAGGCTACCTCTGCCTTGGTTTCCCACTGCTTCCCCCCCGACCCTGCCATTTCCATGGAATTCTTAATCTGGCACATGCAAGGGGCAGGCAAAAGTGATACCTGTGTGAAGGTTAAAAAATGGCAAAGCTGACCTCTGTCCATTACTTTGTGGCGAGAGAGGATAGTTCCAGAACTCTGCAGACACCTACCACATGACCACTGGAAACGTAAATCTTTGTCACTGTCTGGCCAGCCCAGAGTCACAGTCGTGAAAGGATCCACATACTGACCAGTTTCCATGTACACCTGCATGTTCCCTTTCTTTCTCTGCAGAAAAAGCAGCTGGCTGGTGAGATGCCCATCCACAGTTGGCACCCCACCTCCCACCCCACAGCAATCTGTGCCAAGGGTACCCACAGTATAGGGTGTGGAATGGAAACAGACCTTGTAGGACCCACCTGGCTCACCTCCAGGGATGAATCACAGGGTAAGTAACTTTAGTCTGAATGTGGGCTCAGTGCTAAGGGTCCACCATGCATCCACCTTTAACAGAGCCTGCTCTGGACCAGGCCACATGGTTGACGCCCAGAGATACAGGAATAGAGACCTGGGCCTTGCCCTTAAGTTTGGGAGGGAAGACAGACAAGGAAACAGACAAAATACAGAGTGCTAAATGCTACGGAGAGAGGGGGTCCAGAGGATTATGAGAATGTGTAAGAGGGAGGCAGTATGCTCCTATGAAGATTTGATAGCATTCGATTCCAGGGCTGCTGTGGATTAAATGAGGGGAGATTGTGACATGCTTTCTACTGTGTCTGGTGCAGAGGAAGGCACAGAGCTATGACCTCTGCAAAGTGGATAGCTGGTGTCAGGGCAAGTTTCTCCAGAGGACAGGATCACAGAGCTGTTGTGAAGGAGGAGGAGTAAGTGAGCCTGTGGGTTCTCCTCCTAGAAGGTATGCTCCGTGAGTAAGTTCTAGTAGAACCTATTAAACGGCCAGCCTGAGAGGACTTAGCCTGTATAGCAGGAAGCTACATGGCAGAACTCAACCCCTAGTGGTCTCCCATGGCCTAAGAATAAAACCCAGGTCCCTGTCTTGGTACTTAAGACCTCATGGGATCTGGCCTCTGTCCATCTCTCTGTAGTCTCCTACATGTTCCTCCTACCCAGCCCACTAGGCCTCAGGCCAAATTCCAGCCCCAGGGCCTTCATATCTGTGCACCCCAAAAGCTCTTATTCTGTTTTCCAACATGACTGACTGTCTTATCTTCAAGTTCCAACTTGAATGTCTCCTTCCAACAGGCCCGATCACATTTGCTAGGCCCCCCTGTGTTGGTTGCTGTCACTGCACACCATTGCTTCTAGTTAGACACTTCTTACAACTCCTAACCAGATGCTAATTTATTCAGTAGTTTCACCTACTAGGCTCCAAGAAGGCAGGGACCATGGTTGTTTATTCACCTTTGTAGCTGTTGTCCCTAACACCAGGCCTTGGACAATGTAGATGTGCAGTTTTTGTTATTGACGTGCACAGACAATGTCAACAGCAAGGAGTTGAGGACTTAGTCTTGCTGTAAAAACTAAGGAACCCAGGCCTGTTTTCTAAGCATTAACAGCTATAAATTTTCCTCTGAGCTCTGCTTTAGCTTCATCCCACAAATTTGGATAGGTTGTACTATCATCACTCAAAAATATCTCAAAATTTTCCTTGTGAATTTTTCCTTTGACCTCTTGATGTTTTTCAAGTATGCTCTTGAATATCCAAGATGTCTAAAAGGTATGTACCTATCCCAGATATCTTATTACTGATGTGTAATGTGATACTGTAGTGGTTGGAGAACATGCTTGGTTTGATTTCATTCCTTCTGGATCTCTTTTCAAATGGAAGAAACCTCTATGCTTCCTAGTTTTCTGGCTATTAGCACCAATAAGCCCAAAATCAAAACTAAAGCAGAGTGCTTAGACATCTTTTTCTGGTGAGGTGTTACAGTGTTTAAAAAACAAATACTCACATTCTTTTCCTTGGCATTTGTTCCAGATGGTTCTTGCAGACTGGAAGGAGCTATAAACACAGTGGGAACAGGCATCAGACTTTGGTAGTGTTGATAAGATTGCCAAAGGGCAGAGTCAGGGGTATGCTCAGAAATTTAGCATACATTTAGGCCATAGAAATGGGTAAAAACTCAAACCATCTTGTCATCCATTGGACTAAAGACACCTCTCTGGTTAGGAAAGAGGCAGGCAGTTGCCAGTGCAGATAACACAAGATTTGGAGACAGGCCTGTGGCTGTATGTTGTTAATGTTTAACTCCAGTTAAGGGAGGGAGTGGGAAACTCTGATTTGTAGTGTTTGCTGCCTTCTTTGGTGTCTGTATTGCCACTAAGGCAGATAGATTTCAAGCTGCCAAGCTGACCACAGTGATCATAGAGCAAGAGGTAGACAGAACCAGCTCTGACAAGCTGCTGGCAGCCAGCCTCAGCACACCATGGTGCATTTCTGGGTTCTTCTATTGGCCTCTTGCTGGCTCTGTGAACCTCGGAATGTTAGTTATTCTTTCTGAGTCTTAGGTTTCTCACCCCTTACAGAAAGGCAATTCCCATTTCTCAAGGGCTGAATGCTGTGTTTAATTGCTTTGTCATCTGTATATATCTGTAAAGAGTATTAGTATATCAAGTCTAAAAAATGGAAAATGTACATGCAAGTGGTATGCTCTGAAAATACTAAACCATGAATATGTTAAAGTGTAGTGATGAAGATAGGAATGCGTTTTATCTGCACTGGCAGATCCATGTGCATCTCTAGACCCCAGTGACCTGGTTATTTTAAGATCTGAGTACCACTGATCTGTAAAAAATTCTTTCCCAGTGAATTCCCATTCAGAGAACTCCAACTTTGAAGGTCTATAAAAATTATACAAAGCAAAGCTAAGATGCTAGACACAGAAGCCGTTCTTAATCTTTTTTTGTTTTTTTTAAGATTTCATTCATCTATTTAACTGACAGAGAGAGAGAGAGAGAGATCACAAGTAGGCAGAGAGGCAGGCAGAGAGAGAGGGGGAAGCAGGCTCCCTGTTGAGCAGACAGCCAGATGCGGGGCTCGATCCCAGGACCCTGAGATCATGACCCGAGCCGGAGGCAGAGGCTTAACCCACTGAGCCACCCAGGCACCCGCCATTCTTAATCTTAAGAAGGAAGATGGTCCAGTAACCCTGAGTGAAGAAATCAGGAAAAGTAGTTGCTACCTCTGATCCTGCCATGAATTAGCTGAGTGACTTCTGGAAAGTCATTTAACCTCTCTCAGCCTCAAATTCCATATGTGGAAAATGAGGGCCATGGACAGTAGCAAGGACAGCTGTGGTTTTCTCCCCATCCAGATTTTCGGGCTCCCCTTCTTTTGGTAAGAGCACTTACAGGTGACATTTTCCCTGAGGAACCCTCCTTACCGCACTCTCAGTCCTTGGTTTGGGTGAAGCTGACCCTTCATCATATTCTGGGTGAACATGTGATTCTGGTCTGCCCAATACCACTTTCCCCTGGCCTCAGCACTGGGTCCTGGAGGGAACATGAACCAAGCTTGGACCAGTAGAGGCAACCTCGGGACTTCTGGAAATATCCACAAAGAGGCACTCCTCCTCTAGGGTTAAAGATTAAAGCCTGGGGCCATCCTGCTACTGCTTGGGAAGAGGGAATCACAATGAAGCCTGAGTAGAACGAAGAGATGGGAAGAGACAGATTTCTGATGACTGATGATTGAGTGACTGGATCCAGCTATGCCTAAACCCTGGTCTTTTCTGAGTTGATAAAACTTCCCTCTGACTTGAGCTAGTTTGAAATGCTTTTCTGTCCATTGCTGCTCAAAGAGTCCTGCCTGGCAAACACATTTGAGATGAACTTTCAGCTCTGTGACTGCTACTGTTGGTTGCCTACCCAGCAGCCAGTTCCCCACTCTTCCCGGTTGCCAGAGTCTACCTTTTCCCACAAAGCTGGAGGTGCGGGATACCTGCTTCCCAGCATCCCTTACAACTGGGGTGCATGACCCCAGCCGATGGTATCTGACAGGAAGATTGCTAGAGATGAGGGGGGGAAATGCTCCCTCCCCACTCCAGTAACAAGAGCTACAGAAAGGGAAAAAAGCTTGAGCAGCTGCTGGGTAATGCTGGGCTGACATGTGATGTCTGGAACTGCAGCAGCTATGTTGATGAGATGCAAGCCTAAGAACAAAGCAGAAGCTCTCAGGATGGCAGAACCGGATAGCAGAGGCATCTGGATGGCTCAGTCTGTTAAGCATCTGTCTTCAGCTCAGGTCCTGATCCCAGAACCCTGGGATCGAGCCCTGAGTCCAGCTCCCTGCTCTGCCTGCTCCCCTCTCCCTGCTTGTGTTCTCTCTCTGTCAAATAAATACATAAAATAGTTAAAAAAAAAAAAAAAGAACACGACAACAGAATGAGCCTGGGTCCTTGATGGTGACACTAAGCCACCGAACCAACCCTGGAATTACTTACCTCCTAAATTCTTAGTAGGTAGAATAATAAAACCTTGAGCAGAAAGCCTCCTTTGTTGGGCTTTCTGTTGCTTGGAGCCTAAAGCAACATAATGAATACAAACTCGGATGTTTCAGAATTCTTAACAATGGTTGAATGTTTTACTGCATATTTTACTGTCCCTTAACATCTATAGAGCGAGGTAAGTATTTCAGAGCTTTGTTTTGAAGAGTTCCTCACTGGATCCCAAGCAAGTGCAATGCCCCAGACTCTGGTCACGAGTTCTGTACCCACTTCCCGAAATTCCTTGCCTGTGACAGTGATGTTTCCGACTTCCAAACTTAAGTTTGAGAAGGCATTCCTCACCATCACAGTGACCAGAAAGGTACCTGCAATGCAAATGGTAGAGAATCATGGGTGTTGTAATAAATTGTTTGACTTTTGCTAAGACAGCTCTCCTAGCATGTACTTTTCAGTTCCACTGATGGCAGAATTTGAGTCTTTCATCATCTGAGCATTTAATGAACCCCTGTTGTATACCAGACATGGTGCAAGGCTCTGGGGATGCAGAGATGAATGAAATGTGGTCTTTGTCTTCAAGGTCCTTATAGTCTAGTAGATATGCAGGAGACCAAGTTTCAAACCATGGCAGAAATTGGTATGGGGGCATTGTGGACACGGAGCAGGGGATCACTTCATGGATCATGGTTCATGGAGGGGGTTAAAACTAAAGTTCAAAGGACAAATAGTGCCCATCCTTTGAGGGGATATTCCAGCAGAAGGAAAGACATGACAGAACTTTTAAAAAGATTGAGGGGTAGAAAATGGAAAAGAATTTGTAAGACTTATTTGGGGTACATATGCATCCCACCCCTCTTCCGTCATGGGGAAGGATGGTGGGTGCTACCTTCTCAAGTCTAGAGGGAAACTCATGAGAGGGGACCCTTGGAAAGGTGAATGTGTGCTCTTTGAGGTTGAGGACCCCCCATGGAAGTGTTCCTTACTCATGCCCTGGGAGGATGGTCTATGACAGAGTGTGGAGTGAGAGGGAGAGAGGGAGGGAGGAAAGTTCTGCATTCCTGCCTTTGGAAAAAACTACAGTCACTACTGGTAGCTGGCCAAGGAAAAGGTGAGAATTTTCTGCAGACCAGATGTTTGTCTAGGGGAGAGGGAGTGCTGGAAAGGGCAGCAAGAATGAGAATAGAGAGTGACCTTGTTGGTGATCCAGAAGCAGCAGCAGCTGGACAGCTGTGGCCAGCTGAGGGAGAGGCATCACCCCTGTCCCGGGGGCTGAGGGACACAGCAGGGGCCTCAGAAGCCCAGAGAAGCTCCCATAAGAGACAGCTGTAAACATCTGCTGGGCCCTGACAGCAAGGCCAGCCAGGACTGAGCCAATGCCACCAAGTGAGGATTTCTGTCCTACTTGGTTCCCTCTCCTTCCTCCTCACCCCCTTCATCCCTGGAGCCATCCAAATCTGTTTTTCTTGTGGGGAGAAGACTACTTATCATCTAAGAGTAAGCCAAAACCTCATAGGGCCTGCAAAGATTTTATCTATTATCCCCTGCCAAGCAACTTTTATAGAAGACAAAAATTAATTTGCAATTGAATTATAGCCTATATATTGTACATATTTTCCATTGTCATTTCATTCCATTCTGGATTCTCCCTGTTTCAAGCTGGACCTCTGATACCTGGCAAAGTTCCAGTGTTTTTCTTCTCAAATCTGTCATTTAACCTGCTATGTCTTTTGCCACCTCTGCTGCTGGGGACATGAAAACCCCACACTTGCATAGTGTTCCCCTCTTTCTGACATACCTCTGAGACCCAGGGCCAGGGACCCCAGGGGCAAGATTCTGGGTGGGCTGGAGGCTCTGTGACCCTCATCACATTCCTGTCTGCTGACCTCACCGCACTGCCCTGAAGGACTCTCTGTTCTCTCTAGATGAAATGCAAATGTCTGCTGTGGTCCCCTCCCCTGGTGGTGCCAGCCAGTCTGTCACCCTATCTCTGTTCCAGCCAGCATCGTGACACTTCCTCTCTTCTCCCTCCCTCTCCCACCCTTGTTTTTACCTCTCTCTCTCCGCCAAGGGCATGGACTAGTTTCCTGAACCACACACTCCTCTAGAAATGATGGAAAAATTGGACCACTCCCGCCCTCCTTCAGTGGTTCTCAGTGGGGGAGATTTTGCTGTCCAGGGGACAGTTGGCAATGTTTGGAGGCATTTCTGTTTGTTGGGACTTCGGGGCCTGGAGCTGCTGGCATCTAGTGGATAGAAGCCAGGGATGCTGCTGAACATCCTACAATGTGCAGGACAGCCCCACAACAAAGTATGACCCAGTCCCAAACGTCAGAAGGGCCAGAATTGAGAACTCCCGTGACTCCGAACTCTATGAAGGCAGATAATAAGTCTCTTCCTTATTTTTGTGACACAGGCTGGATGCTGTGAACCAAGTTTGTGACCAGGACACACTGAAACTGGCTGGCAGGATGCTGGACACCCGAGTCTGGAAGGGAAGAGGAAGGAAGTTTGGAAAGGGGGTCTCCCAACCCCAAGTACCTTCAAGAGGAACTGCCACATGGTAAATCCCAAATGGCCCCCTGAGGCTTTCTTCTTGGTGGGTGAAGGTTGCATTGAGTCCTGCCACTTCAAAGGTCAGCCCCTCTGGGATACCATGAGCCAACGAGACGTTGACCAGTAGGTCTTGTCCAAGCTCCAAGTGGTCAGAACCCCAGGAGGCCTGTAACCCTGACAGAGGCTCCATGAAGTGGACTGTGATGTTTCTAGAGGGTGCAGAGGTGGTGGTGTTGCTGCTGGCTCGGATCTCCAGGTGGTGCATCCCGGGGCCAATCCTTTGCTGGGCCTCTTGGTCCAGGGTCAGATTGTAGGGTAGTAGGCCGCTCAGTGTGGTGAACTCAGCCAGGCTTGTGTTGCCTGACAGCACAGTGTAAGTCACCCCTGTTCCTGTGTGGGGTAAGAAATATTTAAGAATGTTGGCAACAACCATGCTGTAGACTGTACCAAGGTAATCAAGACTAGCTCTGAGGTCAAGTTCTGGATATAGCTAGGGGCATGGTATAGCCATAAAGACATGTGGAAGGGTGAGTCCCAACCCCAAGTATTAACTGTGGTTATCTCTGAGTAATGGGTACACGAAGGATTTTTCTTTTTGGGTCTCTCTGCTCATCTGCACATTCTAATTTATACTATGCATGTGTTACCCATAAACGTAAAGGTTTGTAATAAAGTTTTGAGAACATTTTGTTGACAGGTTTGGCGTTGGAGGGAAGAAGGCTAAGAAGGAAGCATCTCCTGAGGCATGGCTGATTTTTATGCACGACAGTTAGCCTCCAGTCTTGTTCTAGGCAGGAGCAGCTGAAGCCGTTTCCTTCCACCTCTGTAGCAGACTGCCTGGAATCCTGCTCCTCAGGAACACGCAGCCTGTCCCCATTAAGATGGGGCTCCCTTACAGGTTGCACTGGCTGTCCAGCGGAATATTGTGGTTGACTCTGAAAATCTGATTTAAACCACCGAATTATGATTCTCTCCAATAGAAACCAAGCGAGTGTATTTTCTTGTTTGAGCAAGGACGACGCAGCTGACACTGCCTAGAGTAATGTTCGCCCTCTGACTCTCCCATTTACTGCTCCCTCTCCCCACACTCGGCCAAGAGCAGGCACTCAATTACATTTGTAGAATGAAAAATACATGAAGGATTATTTTAGGTTTCCCAGGTGCACAGAGCAGCCATCTTCGGCCGACAAGGACACCAGAACAGAGAGGAGCCCCAAGTACCGCGTTTAAAGACCCACAATGGCTCCGTGAAGTCCCTGCTGAGTGAGGTTCTGGGAGCTTTGAGGTCGGACTGAGTCATGTCCTCACCTCTGCAGCTCCATGTCAATGCAGTTTACCTCAGCAGGCTTCTGTCCAGGTCGCACATTGGACCTGTGCCTGCAGGAAAGATGCTGCCTTGGGTGACGATGGGTCTTAGCTGGTAGGGTCTCTACTGAGAAAAGGGATGATCTTCAAGAGTATTCAACAGGTGAAATTGCGTGGGTCCCTCCCGACAAAATAGGATGGATATTTTGATAAATCAGAATGGACACTGTGACCAATCGGAATAGATGCTGGACACAAAATGGACACAATGACCAATTAGAATGGCCTCTGTGATCATTCAGAAAAGAAACTGGCCAATCAGAGCAGACGCCAGCCATAAGAGGTGCTGTGGCTGGAGCAGTGCTTGTCACTGACTAGCAGTCCTGACTGGGGGCAGCATCACTATGCCCAGCTGGGCAGTGCTGGCTGCACCGGGATGGCCTCAGGCCCAGCTGGTAGCTCTCCCAGTCCTAGTCAAGTCCCCCCAACAAGTGACTTGGAAATTCAGTTCTTGGAAATTCAGTTCTTTTTACAGGACTGTGGGCATGCAAAAGTGGCATTCAGAAGGCTGAGAGCTTCACTAGCTTACTGGGCTTAAGACTTTGAGCCAATTTCTGAACCTTCCCTCTGTTTCTTCATCTGTAAAATAGAGATAATAGTAGTAACGTGTAATAGTACATGGAGATAAAACTAGTACATGTAAAGCACTTAGACCAGTTACAGGCACATACTAGGTGCTAAGTAAATGAGCTAAAAAACTGACTCGATACCTCAGTGCCAAAGCCTGGGAGTTGGATGGATAGATTTGGGGAAAATCAAGGTTGCCTTGACCTTGACCATTTCTGTAGACTCACCTCCATCAAGCACCACCTGAATCCACAATGGGTCCCCGAAGACAGTGCGGCAAAGAGGGCTGGCTCCTGACTGGGACATGCTGGAGCACCCAGTCACACTGAGCTGCTCTATCTTGTCTCGGATTGTCACATGCTTCTGAGCCATCACGTGCCACTCAGTGGTTGTGCATTCAGCAAACACAATGAATTCCCCAGGGGCTGTGAACTGGTGGATGATGCCGCTGGATGAGCTGCCGGCAATAGTCGGTGTTACCAGTGTTAGGAACACACACACGCATACATTCACCCATGTGTGCACCCATGCACTCCCCCGCCTCACACTCCCCTGCTCTGCAAAGATAAACAAATGAAGAAAGAGATGCTACTCAGCCAAGCTGTTGGTGCTCATGAAGGTTACGTGGAGATGTCTGGAGCAGGTAGAAGTGAAAGAAAGAGCAATAACCAGTCGGGGAGTTGAATATTTGGTTAGAAGTCCTTTTTCGGCTATTTATTTCTTCTGTGGCTCACATAAATCCCCTTTCTGGGTCTTCCTTGCCTCATCTCTAAAATACTATGCCCCAGTCTACCTTTCTGAGCCACCTTTTGCCATGTGTAACCCTAGCCCAAATATATCAGAATTATGGGTATGTTTTGCTTCTCATTTTCCCAATGAAACTAATTAAAAATCTCTAACAGGGCCTGTAAAGACCCACATGACCTGCCTTCCTGACCTCATCCCCATCTCCTGCCACAGCCCCCTAGCTCAATGCCCACTCCCACCTCTTTTCAGTTCCTGGAATATAGCACCTCCTGTCTGCCTCAGGGCCTGCAAGTGTGCTCTTCTTTGCTGGGAAGGCTCTTGCCCATCTCTGCTCACACGCTGTTCCTTCTGTTCTCAGCTTAAACATCACCTCCTCAAGGAGACCTTCCTTTGGTTCCCTATGAAGGAAATGCTGTAGCTTCGTTGCTTCTCCTGGGTGACACTCATCCCTTGTGCGCTTGCTCAATCCCTCTCATTCTTCTCTGCAGGACAGTGTCTGTCTAATTCTCAGTTATAAATCTGACACCAACACAGTGCCCAGCACAGAGTGGATGCTGAGAAATATTTGACAAATGAGCATATTTGTGAAAAAGCATGGAAAACAGTAACCTGACTCTTGGTGCTGGCCACCACGGTGTAAGCCCACCACAGCCTATTTCTTCCATTGATTACCATGAACACCCTGGGCAGATTTCAAAAAGAAACTTCCCGAAGATACTGAAAAGTAAACAACAGCAGACAGGTGGGGAAGAAAGTAAAAACTTTAAGAATTATCCATAAAGATGGGATTTTCCTGTTTTGTGTCTTTTTTAACCTCCTGTATCTCTTGGCTTTGTCCATAGGGTAGCCTGAGTCATGAAACTGCACAATGGATGAAGAAAACAAAAACCCCAAGAGGAAAATCCTGTGTTTAGCCAGAGAACCAGGGAAAGGGACCCAATGAGCTTGAAAGCACAGGGAACATATCTGTTTGTTTTGTGTTCTTTTGTTTCTCTCGGCCCTGACCTAGGCTGTCCTCCCTCAGAGCTGCATTGACTGCTTAAGGGGATGCAAACACAAAATCCCCAAGAGAAAACCCATCTTTCTAGCCAGAGGAGCAATGGAGAAAGACCTGTGGGAGCTGGAGACTGTGGGGGATACCCTGAAAAGGAGAGATCTGGAGAGAAGGATCCCCCACTTCTGTGAACAACCCAGCACAAACCATGACCTCACCCAGAAATTATGCAGGTGCAAAACAGCCCCAAAGACACACAGCCAAGGCTTTGTTGAAGTCAGACTACAACATAAACACCACCCGGAGAGCCACACGTGTGGGGCAGACCCAAACAGCTTTGGAAACTGAATGGACATGGGAAACATGGCTCACAGAAGGCAAGTCATGAAGTGCGGTCTGAGTCTAACCAGGGGCGCTGCCAGCTAAAACAAAACAAACAACAAGCCATTTTCCAGAGGATTTTGACAGGATCCAGAGTCTCAGAACCTACTGTCAAAATGTCCAGAATATAATCCAAAATTGCCTGATATACAAAGAATGAGGAAAATTTGATCTAGTCTCAAGGGAAAACACAATAGATGTCAGCCTGTAGATGACTCAGGGGTGGAAATGATCAGACAGACTTGAAATCCACCATCATAACCAAGCTCCATGACATAAAAGTAAATCCTCTTTAGATGAATGGAAAGCTAGACATTCTGAGCAGAGAAACAGAAAACTATTCTTTAAAAAATGAAAATTTTAGAAAAAAACCCACAATACATGAAATAAAAAAATTTTACTAGCTGCCTGCAATAGCTGAACAGTGACAACAAAGGAAAGTTGGTGAACTTGAATATAGAGCAAGAGAAAACATCCACGTTGAAGAACAGATGTTAAATACATTTAAATATTAATAAAATATTGAATTGTTTAAATGAGCAGAGCATCACCAATCTATGTGACAGTATGAAAAGATAAAATATTTGTGTCATTGGACTACCAACGAGAAGAGAAAGATTGGTGTAGAAAAATATACTGAGGAAATAATGGTGAAAACCTCCTCAATTTGGGAAAACCCTACATTTAAAGATTCGAGAAGCTCCACAGACCCCCCCCAAAGGAAAAAAAGTTAAAGAAAACCATTCCCACACATATATTTATCAAACTGCCAAAAATCAAAGATTAATGAGATAAATCAAAAAATCAAACTGCTGGAAAAAATGGCACATTACATGTAGACATGTGAATGAGTGTAGATTTCCCCTCAGAAATCCATGGTGGTCAGAAGACTGTGGCAACATCTTTAAGTGTTGAAACAAAAGAACTTTCAACACTTAATTCTATATTCAGCAGAAAAGTCCTCTAGGGAGTGAAGCAAAATAAAGACATTCTCAGGAATAAAGAAATCCTCTAAGAGGATTTGTTGTCAGAAAATCTGCTATAAAAGAAATGGTTAAGGGAGTTTTTATAGCTGATGGGAAATATCAGAGGGGAACTTGGAATTTCAGGAATGAAGAGTACAAGTAATGGTTAATTACTTTGGTAAATGAATAGGCTACTTTTCTCCCTTAAGTTCTTTAAATGTGTATGACTGTTGAAAAGGGTTTCCGATGTATGTAAGTGTCCCACATAGGACAATTATAAAGGAGGGTGGGCAAAGGGACCTATATGCCAGTAAGGCTTCAACATTTTACTGAAGTCAATATTAACTCCATTTGGACAATGAAAGATTAGATATATATATATATAGTAATCCCTGAAGTAATTACTAGAAAGGTAATAAAGAGAATCAAATAATAGATATGTTAAAATGGAATACTAAAAATATGCAAATACTCCAAAAGAAGACAAGAAAGGAGAGGAACAGAGGGAAAAATAAACAGAAGGGCAAAGAGAAAACAAGTAACAAAATATAGTAGACCTAAACCTAACTATATCAATGACTACATATAAATAGCCTAAACACAACAATTATTGTGCCAAATGGGATTTTAAAAAACCAAGACACAACCAAAGACTGTCTACAAGGAGCTCACTTTAAATACGATGATAAAGAGACGTTAAAAGTACAAGTATAGAAGCTACACCAGCAAACACTAATGAAAAAATGATGGAGAAGGCTTTATTAGTATCAGACTATGTAGATTTCAGAACAAGAAAACATTGAGTCTTTAGAGAAATGTGAAGGATGGTTTTGAATAGCAAAATCTGGCCCATTTTTCAGGGATCTGCCTGGAAGAAGCAACTCATTCCATTTTCTGAACTCTACTGCCAACTGAAATTGCCCAGGACTAAAAGGCAGAGAAACGGATTTTTCCTCATTTGTCTCCCAGTGAGCTCACCCAAGGGAAAAGACAACAAAGTGGTTTTAGAAACTTTCTGCCAACAAAGAGAAGATATGCTCAGAGTACAAAGCAACAGAGGCAACAACTAAACATTTCTGTTATGATGCTATGAGCCAGCAATTCCACTCCTGGGTACAAACCCAACAGAAACACGTACATGTGTGCACCAGAAGACACGTGCTCACATGTTCACAACTGCGCAATTTGTAATTGCCAAATGGGAAACCACCCAAAAGGACTGCCAACACTAGAATGGATAAGTAAACTGAAGAATGTCCATACAATGGAATGCTATATAAGAATGAGAAAAAAAAAATCATGGTTATGCACAACAATATGGACAAATCTCAAAAAGGTACTGTTGAACAGATGTTAGACACAAAAAAGAATACACTTCATGATTCCATTTATAGAAGCTTCAAACGGGTCGCACTGATTGATAGTGGTAGGAATCAGTACTACCGGGGGCCTGAGGAGGATTCCCGGGAGGCAGGTCTTGTTTTGTTTCTTGATCTGAGTGCTAGTTACATGCGTGTGTTCACTGTGTAAAAATTAACTGAGCTGTGTCTTTGCATTTTTTTGCATGGATCTATGCTTCAATAAAAAGTTTAAAAATTACTTTAAGATACTGCCACTCGGCGCACCTGGGTGGCTCAGTGCGTTAAAGCCTCTGCTTTCGGCTCAGGTCATGGTCCCAGGGTCCTGGGATCGAGCCCCGTATAGGGCTCTCTGCTCAGCGGGGAGCCTGCTTCTTCCTCTCTCTCTGCCTGCCACTCTGCCTGCTTGTGATCTCTTTCTGTCAAAAAAATAAAATCTTAAAAAAAAAAAAAAAAGATACTGCCACTCACTGATTTGTACATGCTGCTTAGTAGTTGACATTAATGGGATGTGGCTTTTAGAAAGAAAATGGAGAAGAGAGCTCTTATTTTTTATCTTTGCTCGTAATGTCCAATTGTTATGAATACCAAGGTCTGTGTCATTTTGTTACTGTCACTCACAAGTTGCTAGCCAACTTGGTGGACAAAGCCTTCTGAGCAGATTGGGCAGTGTGGTGGAATGGAGAGGGTCAGAAGTGGGAAGTGAGGGAGATCCCAGAGCTCCATCTGTCCCCTGCATAACCTAACGTCTCAGTGCCCTTGTCCATATAACAAGGCAAGAGCCATTCCCGGCTGGGTCATTCTAGGGCTTACATGAGACCATGGCTGAGTAAGTACCTGGCATGTAATGGGCTCAAATATAGTATTTTTTTATATAATAGGATGACACTTATGCCATTTAGCCTCTTAGAAATAAAGGTAGTGTCTAATTCTTTGTAATATGAATATAATGGCCACAGTTGCTCATTTCTGAGAATGAACCCTGTGCCAGTTCTTCTTTTTAGTCCCATTTAGTCCTTAAATTACCAAGTGATATTAGCAATATTTGCAATAATATTAACAATCACAGATCATGTACCTGAATGCCTAGAGATTCTTATATATCCTCTGTAGTGGATGCACGTCACTGAGAGTCTGTCCTTCAAGACCGAGGTCTGCATCCCCCCAGCACTTTGGCCTGTTAGTGCTAGAGGGCTCACAGCTGAATCCATCTCCAGGAATTCCCCTTAGCTAAAGGGAGCTGCCTCCCACATGCCATTTTGCCTCCAAAGGCTGCCCAGGGCCAGAGTACAAAGGTTCCACTCTCTTGCCTCAATCAAGACAGGTCCTAGCTCTAGAGTTCTCTATGGGTATTAGAGGGGCCTGTGTTGCTAGTGTATCCCAGTCCAACTTCTGCCCCTTCTCCATCCAGGTACCCCCCAGGAAACCTGTGCCACAAATCAGTTTCCTGGTACCCAACCTACATGTTCTCCAAAAACAATTTCTTTAAACTGGCTGGCAGCAAGGCTGTTCATCAGCAGACCCTTTTGAGTTTTCCAGCATTGTCTTTCATTTTTCCCACACACCTCTGAAATCCTGTTGTACTACGGGACTCTAAGTTCCGTGAGGGGACCTCCATCCCTTCACATCCATGACCTCCCTTGCTGTACCTCCTCGGGTCCTGCCTGGTTCCCCCGAAAGACTTCAGTCTTTTGTGACCATCACTTCACCTTCCACATAATTCCTCTGAGCCTCCCAACATTCTGTGTACATCTAGGTCACTCTAAGTTTCGTGTTGTCTTGAGAATTACCGATTTCCGGGAAGTCTCCCCTGCAGACTCAGCTGTGTGCAGAGGCAGCTCTGAATAGACCCCAAAATGACAACAATCTCCGAATATGTCAGTAGGTGGCGCTAAGTTACCCAACAGTGGACAAGGACAAATTTCACCTTAGCAAATTGTTCCATAAGGTGCATAATAAATTTCAGAAACAAAGACAGTTTTCCACAACAAACAGTAAAGCAAAACACCCTTAGGTTCAAATGAACGCAAGACATGGGAAATGCAAGGTGAAAAGGAGCTTCTAAAAGGGAAATTCTTTGACTTTTATTATGCTGTTTCTATTTGAGATTGGATTCTCCCCAATCAGCTCATGCTATCTGTCTACGACAGAGCTGAAGTGTCTGATTTAGGTTTTAGCTTAACAAGGAGTTAAGCAGAAGCAGGGTTCTGTACAAACACATGAGAGAAAACCACAGTGATGTTCACACAAGTTATGTGACTTCTGTGTACTTAAACTTCACGCCATTCCTAAAATTCTAGCTGAGGCTGCTCATGCTTAGAAAGCATCAGAAATACATCTCCCAAATTTAACAAAAATTATAGAAGGTGGTGGCCAGGTAATTTCAAAGTCCAACAAGTTTTTAAAATAGATGAGATTGGATTATTTGAGAGGAGTGATGGCAGATGGTGTCACCATCTATTTCTTTCAGAAAGAAAAAAAAAATTCAGTGGCTTTGGCTTCGAGCTAATGCCGAGAGGGACTGCAAATGTAAAACACTGATTATTGTTTCTCTTCAATTATCAAAAAAACACAGAGAATCCAGAGAGCAAGATAAAAACACCCTTTGCCTCACCATCCAGAGTTGACAAATACTAGCATTTTGTCCCATTTTCTCCAGTTTTTAGCTGCTGTTTGTTCATTACTGGAATGTCCTTGTTTAACTAAAGGTCTTAGAGAGCTACTGATAGTCAATTTTGACTAATGCCAAATGCGAGTTGTTTAAAATTTGGGGGCTGGAAGATTGTGTAGCTGAGCATTTGTTGTTTTACCAATGAAATGGTAGCAAGCAGCAAGAAACCTGCAGAACAAGGCCATGGGCGTTTATGTCACTTAAACATTTTCTTCCCCAGAGCATCTTCACATGTAATTTCTCATTTTACTCCAGGAAACAATCAAGGCAGTCATCAATATAAAAGCAACAGGGAAGGAAATGGAAACCCAAGACCAGGGATTGTCCTGCTGGCATTAGAACCTCACCTTCCGGAGAAGGCATTTTATTTTGATGGCACAGAAGTTTGCCTGAGACCACAGAGGACTGTTGAGTTTGAAACTGGCAGTCAGTGGGACAGATTTGGGCCACGGATAGAGCTGGCCCCTCTTGGACCCACCCCACCCAGGGCTTCCTGCAAGCAGAGCGTGCACAGGGCTGGATTCAGAACCTCTAGCTCCCACAAGGTAGAGCTGCAGATGTTGTGGAGTTAGGGCCTTCAGGATTTCCCTGGGGATTCATGTTGAACTGAGGACCCCTGGAAGGAGCCGCCAAACCCAATGAGCATCTGAAAATTCTGGAACATTCTTGGGCACCCAGCAGAGCAGAAAAGAGCTTACCCCAACCCCAGGTAAGACTTTGAAATGTTATGAACTGGGTTCAGCCTCTTATCAGGCTGGGGAGACTCTGCTCCCCTAGAGGATTCAGAGCACAGTCCCTTCAGGCCCTGGTGCCCCCATGCTGTGTAATCCACTGGGGGCTTCAGGGCCTCAGCTTTGATGCCAGATAGTCCTGTCTTGCACCACCATGCTGCCACTCACTAGCTGCATGGCTTGGGCAGTGCTGCTTTACCCCTCTGAGCCTTAGTGGCTTTGTCCGTAAAAACAAGATAATGATTACCTAGCTCAGCGCTATCCAATAGAAACACAGTGTGAGCCGTGTTACTGTGTATGTGTGTATGTTCTGATAGCCACATTGAAAAAGTAAGAATCGGTAAAATTAAGTTTAATAATTTATTTTCTTTAACCCAATATATCTAAAATACTTTCATTCCAACATGCAACCAATGTAAAAATTAGTGAGATATTTTACATTTTTTATGGGAGGTTAGATGGAGGGAACTAAATCTCCAAAATCCTGCATGTATTTCACAGTTACAGCGTAAAAGACCTGCCACATTTCAACTACTCAATAGCGCATGTGGCAGGTGGTTCTTCTATCGGAGAGGGTTGCAGTGAGGGTGAAATGAGATTATATGTGAGATTATACGTGGAAGTTGCTTGGCTGGACTGTTTTTAATGTTGCTACTATCATTTTTTATCATTCTTGCCAACAGAAAACATTCCCACACCCAGGTGAGCTTCTTCTTCACCTCATTACCGACTCTTTGGACGGTCACTCGGGAGAGATTCTACCCAGAACCAAGCCAAAAGGACCCAGATCTTCATGACTGCGCATGTGGCCTCCATCATGAGAAAACCTGTGAGTGCCACTTCCTCCCCTTCTTGAATGTATGCCTCTTGGTGCTGTGACTGTGCCATTCCTTCCATCAGCAGGTGGAGTCTGTTTCTCCACCTGTTGAACCTGGGCTTGGCCATGGAACTTGCTCTGGCCAATGAGACATTAGAAAATGTGACACAAGTAGAGATTTGAAAGATGCTTGCACATGAAGCCTTGTTCTTACTTGCTGCTAGAAACCCTCAGACACCATGCCAGTGAGGCTAAGCTAGCCTGTTGTGTGATGAGAAACACACACCCGTAACCAACATTAAGCTAACCACCAGACATGCAAGTGAGGACTTCTGAGGCCACCCACCCCCAGGGTGAACTGGCCGATAAGCAAAGCCACTTAGCTGATCCAAAGAAGCCAGAGAAATAATACTTTAAGCTACTAAGTTTGGGATGTTTTGTTATGCAGCAGAAACTGACTGATACAGCCCTACTTAAGTCTCAGATTCCTCTTACCTGAGGGGGTAGTAGGGATCGAAAGTGTGGCCATCTCCTGTACTGATTATACATGACAGATTTCCAATGAAGGGAGAGAGGAGCCATGTCAGGGAGATGGTGACATTGTCAAAGATGAAACTCTCATTGGACACCATCAGCTGGAGGCCTGCAGATCAAAAAGGGAAATGCTGTGTGCCATCAGAAATCAAAATTGCATGCTTCTGTTTAAAACCTACTCTCTTCTATCCACTTGTCCTTCATCATTAGGTGGGGCTTTCAAAGGTTTCTTAATTTTATTTTGACTTTTTAAAGTTCTTTTGAATTTTGTGTTTAGTTCATAGGTAATAGATGACTAAGTTACAAAATTTGAAATGTATAAAGGGTTCAGAATGAAAAGAAACCCTCCATTCCATTCTTCAGCACATCCCCCCACACACAGAAGCAATCACTGTTACCAGTATCCAGGGTCACCTTCCAGGGATATCTACACATTCCTGAGCACATCCATGCTTTCCTATTTATACAAATGGTGCATGATGTATATTCACTATTTGACACCCTCCATTTTTTTTTCACTTAGTATATATTGGAGATTGTTTTGAATGAATTCAGTTAGAGCTACCTTGTTCTTTGTAATGGCTGCACAATGTACCCTAATTTATTTAACCAGGATTCTATTGATTGTCTAAATGTATTTTATCATGTTTAAAAAGACAAAAGGCCAAGCACCTTTACGAAAATTGACTGGGCTAAGGTGGCTGATGAATCATTGTAAGCCATTTAGTGCACATTAAATTTTATAAAACCGAGCTTTCAAAGTTAGCATGGAGGATGGGGAGTAGGGTAGAGTTTGCCAGGGTTTCATACAGCTCTGGGCTAATTTGTGCAGCATAATCTTTCAGTTTCCAAGCACTAATGAGGAAGGAAGAGATAGAAGGAGCTGAATGTAAACGAAAAGAACTTTCCTGAGCTGCTCAGAAAGTTGTCGCTGTCCTGATTCACAGCTATCTGAGGAAACTTGGACTGTTGTTAGGCCTCCTGGGCACTGCGGTGGGGGGCACGGGATGAGGGAATGCTGGATAAAGTCTCTTCTTTTACAAATCAGAAACACTGTGATCAGAACTCACTGGTTCACAAGGGGGCAGGATATTTGAAATCAAAGTTGGGGCAGGAAATCTGGTCCGGGGTCTCTAGACCTAATATACCCACTGGCCGAAGCAACACATTGGTCCAATGACAGTCACACTGCAACTGGCGGACCTCCAAAGGGCACCCTTTGTCCATTAGCAAAACCACTAAATGGAAACCACTGCCAAACCCCATGGCCTCTTCTTCCCAGAAAACAGAAAGAAGACATCCTGCTCTTACTCCACCCAAACGTGCCTAGCAAACTGATGCTGCTGATGAAACCTGTCCTCTCCTCCTCTCTTTGCGGTCCTCCCTCCTACACCCACGGACCCTGCTCTCTTGGATGGCCCTTGGGGACCCCAGCATTCCCTGAGTCACTTCTTCCCTTCAGAGCTCCCTGTACCTTCACTCCCGCTCTCTCCTTTCTGTTGGTGCTGTTGTGACTAATTCCCTGGACAATGGCGTAGGGGAAAGTGGCACTCATGTACGCTGTTAGTGGGAATGTAAATCAGTGCAGCCATTTTGGAGTGTAATTTGCAATCTCTATTAACATTTAAAAAGCATATACCCTAGGACCCAGCATTTCCTCTACTAGGGATCTCGCCTCTAAAAATGATCAGGCACATGTCAAGATATATGCACAAGAATGAGCGCTACAGAGTGACACTTAACAGCAAAAATCAGAAGCAACCTAAATGTCCATCAGCAGGGGACCGGTCCAATAAATTCTGACACAGTCTTATGATGGGATACTGCACAGCCATTAAAATAATAAGGTTGTGACTGGGAAAGACATCCAGGATATATTATTAAGTTAAAAAAAACAATGTTGAGCTATAAACTAATATATTTAGCATGATTACATTTTATGTATAAATATTCATACACAGTCACATCTATGAAAACAGTTTAAAAAGCAGAGAAGAACTTACTCTAAACTATACATTTAACAGTGGTTTCCTTAAGGAGAGTAGGACTGTGGAATTGAAGGGAGGAATTCTTCCTTCTTGATTTATAAAACTTTTATAAAGTGTAGTAATATGGGCTATTTTTATGGCTTTCGAAATTTGTAGTTTTTAAAAGACCCTTTGTGTTCTAAAATGCAGCCTATGGGCAGGGTGGTGGTTGAGTGGGCATGGGGTGTGGTAGCGAGACATCTTTTAACTTCTTTCAGTCATGCAATACTGGTTTTGTCTGACGTGTTTATTGGGTCGCCCATGATATTTCATTGGAAGGGTCCTGGGAGTTAAAAATTATACATTTTTTATTTCTGGCTTGACAGCTCATTTCTGCAACAGTAGCCTCAAACTCTTTACCCCATGACACTAGGCCACTTCAGGGGGTTCAGGCTTCAGGGAATCAGGTGTGAGTCAGGAAGTCTCTTAGCACACACATCGGCTCCCATGGGAGGCTCCTCCCTCTGCCCCAAGTGGGGCTGGACCTGGTGTAGAAAAAATTCCTTGTTTCTTGCTGAGGACTCACCTTCCTGGCACTGGTACCGCACCCACAGGTAGCTTCCCTGGGTGGGGCACAGGTCTCCAAAGTAGGTCCCATCTGCTGCCACCTGGCATACTTGCAGCCCCTGGCACTGGCCTGGGAAGTGCCCGAATCCCAGCAGGAGCAGGAACAGCGTGAAAGACGAAAAGGGACAGGTTCAGACAGAGACGAATGACCTCTCCTTCTTTCATTCATTCATTCACCCACCATCCGCTCAAGGAATATCTGCAAGTATCCGCGGAAGACCAGACAGTGGCGCAGGCACTAGGTGGGGAGAGAGGTAGGATTCTCGCCCTCAAGCAGCTCAGGGTCTAGCACAGCATCTTACGATACACCAGCATCTCCTGGAGGGCTCTGGAAGGCACAGATTTCCAGACCCTACCCCCAGTGCTTCTGAGTCAGTGGACATGGTCGGGGGGAGGCTGTGCAAGAATTTACTTTTCTAATAAGCTCTCAGGTGATGCTGATGCTGCTGGCCCAGGCACCCCACTTTCAGAACCACGGGTCCAGTAGCATCCAGTCAGATGGCCTAACGTGGCCCAACGTGCCAGTTTTGAGAACTGGCAAAGAGGGCAAAGATCAGGAATCCTGTCTAGGTGCCCACAGAAAGGAGAAGCATGGGGAGCCCAGGCCAGAAACTTCAGGTCATCCCAACACCTCTCCCTCCTGCCCAGGCAGAGGAGTTACACGCCTACAGAGAAGCCTAGGAGGACAGGCAGGTGCTACCTGGTTGTAGGACTGAGCTCCCACTTCTGTGCTGGGTGTCAGCTGGGAACCCCCTTAGCTCCTAGAGGCCATTCTCTAGTCCTTGTGCGTGGCCCTCTGTTATCTCCCAGCCAGCAATGTACTATAGGATCTGTCTCACACTTGAACTCTGATTTCTCCATCAGCCCCATCTCTGGCTTCTAGCCAGAGAAACTTCTTTGCTTTTAAGGGATCATGTGGTTAAATTGTGCCCACGTGGATAATCCAGATTCAGAAACATAAATGCATCTGCAAAGTCCCTTTGCCATGATATCTCATCATACCTAGAGTTCCAGGGATTAGGGTAGCAAATCTCGGGGGCCATACCTCTGCCTATCCCAGACGGGAATACATAAGAGGGCAGAGTGTTTTTCCTTTCCTTTCCTTTCCTCTCCTTTCCTTTCCTTTCCTTTCCTTTCCTTTCCTTTCCTTTCCTTTCCTTTCCTTTCCTCTCCTTTCTCTCTCTCTCTCTTTCTTTCTTTCTTTCTTTTTTTCTTGAAGAATGCTTTTCATCCTGTCTTTTCATCCTCTCTCTGACTGCAGCTGTCTCTGGACAGGTCCTCCCACGTGGTCTTCGCTTCCACCTCATGGTCCTCAGCCTCCACCATGATTCTAGCAGTGGCTGGAGGGCTCTGACTTCCAGTTTTGGTAAGTCCATCCCCTCCAGCCGTCCCTCCGGCCTGTAGGAGTGGCAATGGCTATCCATCGCTGCTAATCTTGGGGTGGTATCATTACCCGCTGTTTGATTTATCAGCACTTCTGTGCTGGGTAATATGTTCCCTGCATTGAATTTCCTCTGCTGAAAGGCCTGGCATGGTTTCTGTTTTCCTAATGGGACCTAGCTCGATACACTCCTTAGTCAGAGTTCTGTACCCTTACTATGTGCATCCACAGCCCTAGACTACAGTCTCCAAGAGAGAAGGAGTGTTTTGTTTTGTTTTTGTTCACTGCTGTATCTCCACTCCAGTGCACAGAACGGTACCCAGCACATAGCAGATGCAAAATAATTTTTGCATGAGTAAATACATAGCACCTTTGCTCCCTTCTTTGTGGCATTGAGCACAGTGTTAGGTAATTGCTTGTATCCATATCTGTCTCCCCATTAGATTGCGAGCTCTTTGAAAAACAGACCGTTTGATTCTTCCCTCTATCCACAGAGCGCAGGAAAGAGCCTGGCGCAATGCTGGGCTCAACGAATGTTTATTGGTCAACTGACAATGAATGGGTGAGCATAGCTCTTAGATAACGAACAGATTCCCTTGGGATCCTGCCCAGCTCTGTTCCTCTGACCCTTCCCAGAAAGATGCAGGGCTCCTTTCAAGGTGCTCTTTGGGGTATGGCTGCAAGGTTTGGGAACTTGCCTCCGGGCCTTTGCTTAAATAGCTCACTGAGTCCCCTCAAGGCCTCCATGAGGGAGGAACACCCTTCAGCCGGCTCCGCCCAGGCCTTTCCCTCTCAAGAGGGGCCACAGACTTAAGAATGTGAGAGCAACGAGGAGAGTGGGTGGGAGCCAGGTGGCAGATTTCAGCATTTCCTTCCCCTGCTGCGTGCTCTAGGGGTCCAGGGATGATGTGGACCAGACGTGGAGAGGGAGACGCGGCAGGCTTCCCCAAACCGAGGACGAGGCTACTTGCCAGGTTCTGGGAGTACAGGGCATTCTACCCTGAAGCTTCACAGGGCCTTTGGGTAGAGGCAGAGCCCTTCGGCGAACTACTGAGAACCCCGTGTGTTGGGATCCAGCCTGAGGCCCCAGAGCTTTCAGCTTGGGCGTAGACTGCTGTGTCCTTACTTGGCCCAGAAGCAACAGACCCCCTGCTTTCCTAGCACCTTGCAGGTCTGACACTACTAACCACAGCAGAGAGTAGGTGGGCCCCTGTGTCTGGACAGTAGAGTTTCTGAGAACTTTGCACCACCCCCCAGGAGGGTGCAGGGAACCCCCATCATCTCTGAAACTGAGCCCTTATCACCAGGCAAGTGTAGCTCAGAGGAAGTTTTAATCTAACTTAGAAAAACAAGGCCATGCAGAGCCCTTCCCATATGAAAAAGAGATACCCCCAGGAATGTGTGTTTCAGCATTATTCATAATAGCAAGGATTAAGACACAACCCATTCAGCTCTCAACAGAGAAAGAGACACATTATGGTGTAGTTATACAACAGACTAAACGAATAAACTGGTACATGTATCAACGTGGATAAGAGCAAATTTAAAGCCGTACTCACTATTGTTGTGAGGGGACGTTAAGCAAATATGGCATCATGTTAAGATTTAACAACGATGGGTAGAGAATCTGTGCGAGTTCACTGAAATATTTGTATATAATACATATGATATATGTTTGGAGTACGTGGAAATTTTTAAAAATTTGTAAAAGCAATGTTTCTTGCATGCAAGTGGAGTGGGGAGCAAAATGCCCCCTTCGCCCATCCAGGTGGGTTTGCCGTCCCGTGAGGAGGTGAGCTGCGGCCTCCTCGCTTCCCTGTATGGTGCTGCGGGCAGAGAGTGGCCCATTTTCCTAATGTTGGAGGCCCAGATATGAAGCTTGTTCAAGCCTTTGCTGAGGATGGGACACCAGGAACTGCCCTTCCCCCACAGCCAGAGCTGTCCTTGGGTCCTACCTGCCACTTCGTCCTTGACGCTGGCCCAGCTGCATTCCTCCTCGGAGGGGCCTGCAGCACCCTGGGTGCAGTAATGCGGGGTGTGGCGCCCGTAGAAGGCGTCCTGGATCCGGATGACCTCCCCTGAGCCGCAGTGCATGGTGGCATGGAGGCCATCACAGGCTAGACTCTGGCCAGCACCTGCGACAAAGGAAAGGGGACACCTTAGGAGGGATCATGGTCATGCCTGGGCAAGTGCCTGGTTGATAGGAAGTGGAAGGGTGTCAGGGGTCAGGGTTGAGATGAAGGGACACAGCAGGAGCTGGGTCCACAGGAGTGAGAGATAGAACGTGGTGGGCATGAACACGGCTCTGGAGCCAGACTGCCCAGGCGCAGATGCCGCCAGCCATGCACTGGCTGTGTGACCCTCTGCAAATTATTTCGCTTCTCTGTGCCCCCTCAGCATGGGGGGAGTGTCGGCACCACAGCACATAGGGCCTGTAGGAGGATTAAATGAGTTTATACTTGCAGAGTAAGGGCTATACAACTGGCAACTATATTCTCCCATTTTTTTCAAGATTTTATTTATGTATTTGACGTGGGGCAGGGGGAGAAAGAAAGCACAAGCAGGGGGAACAGCAGGCAAAAGGGAGAAGCAGGCTCCCTACTGAGTAGGGACCCTCCCCCGCCATGTGGGCTTTGATTCCAGGACCCTGGGATCATGACCCAGGCTGAAGACAGCTGCTTAACTGACTGAGCCACCCAGGTGCCCTTTATTCTCCTATTTTGAGTACCTTCCTTGAGCCTTTTCTGAAAGCAACGCCTGGCATATGATAGATGCTAAACAAGCATTTGCTGAATGAATGAGTCTTCATTACCAGTCCTAGAAACCGGGCTACTGGCCTCCTCACTAAGAACATCAGGGTCACGGGGGTCACTGTGTTGAGACCGCACTCCAGGCTAGCTCCTGGCATGTGGTCCATGTTCAGTAAACACTTTTTGGAAAAGAACAATCTGGCTCGGACCAGCAGAGCCAGAAAGTAGGAAACGGGATCCGTACTCAGTCCTGTCTGCCTGGTGGAACGTCACAGGGTAGGGGATGAGACCAAAATCTGTGTTTGTTTCCTCCAGCTGCTGTGCAGATTCCCACCAAACTAATGGCTGAAGCCAGTACAAATTGATCATCCTCTAGTTACGAAGGTCGGAAGTCCAAAGTGGGTCTTATGAGGCTAGTATCAAGGGGTGGTTCCTTTCGGAGCCTCCAGGGGAGGGTGTGCTCGCTAGCCTTTTCCAGCTTCCAGAGGTAGCCACGTTTGTTGATTGTGACCCCTCCTCCATCCCCAAAGCCAGCGACCCAGCATCTGCCAGTCTCTCTGACCATAGGCAGACCCAGGTTGTCACTTCCCAGCTGTGTGGCCTTGGGCAAGGAGCTTATCCTTTTGGAGCCTCACTGTTCTTAGCTTTAGGATGGGCCTGCAACAGAAGAGCAGAGGTACTTCTGAGTACCTCTGGTGAATACACACAGAGTACACGGCTCTGTGCCTGGAGGTCCCGCTGGATGCATGTTAGCCGTTCATGTTGTGACCTCAGAGCTTGGCTCCCAGATCCTGGGGGCTGGCAGATTCTGAGACGGGCTTCAGGTTGGGTGTAGAAGGGGACCAGGCTTTGGAAGGGCTGTGATAAGTAGAGAGGGAAGTTTTATGACCCTTATGTCCCCGAAGCTACAAGTTTTCAGAACTAGCCAGGCTAGGGGCCTACATGACACCTATTTAAACCCAGACATAGGGGAAGTGAGGCAGGGGTTCTGTAAGAACCCAAACCCAGAATGGGCCCCAGGAGCTAGGGTTCTTCACTGAGAGGCTTGGAAGAGGGCGCTGAGCCCAGGAAGCCTGAAAGTTTCTGTCAAGCCTGGCTTGAAAGTCAGGAGGCCATGGGACAGCTTAGCTCTAAGACCAGGCCCTTACACCAGGGCCCCACATGGCAGGCAGCACACAGGATGGGACTACAGGCCTCTCATGCCGGCTCTCAGACTGAGTCCCCAGGGAAGGGGCCCAGGGTGCAAAGGGGTTCAACCATGGACAGCAGCTAGAAAGGACACAAGAGCAGAGTGTGGGAGAATTCAGGAGTCCAGGATGGTGGATGGTAGGGACTCAGACCCAGGCTGGCCAGGGCAGCAGGAATCAAGGGTGAGTGAGAATAGCCTCCTGGGACCACATCTCCTTCATTGGAGGAGTGGAAAAAGAGAGTAAATAGGGCTGGGCATTTGCCCCTAGATGCAGGTATCTGAGAGGAAAAGAGGCACGGGAATGAAATCAGTTAAGCAGGTAGGCAGGTAACTGGACAATGAGAGGCGGGGTGTGAGCTGGAAAGATGATAGGAGACAGGCACAGAGCACCACACGGACAGAGACGGGTGGAAATTTAGGGAAACACAGAGACAGAGACACAAAGTCAAAGAGACAGAGACAGAGTTGGTGACAGAGACACACAGAGAACACAGAGAGACAGAAGGAGGGAGACCCCACAACAGAGACCAGCTCACCAAACTCGCAGATGAAGGCAAACGGCTGCGTGCAGTTGTCTGAGGCCGCCCACCCAAAGGAAGCATCTCTCTGGATGTAACCACAGGTGTTTGGAGCAGGAGAGGCCTGTCCTCCGCGCCAGTGGCTGTAGCTCACATTTGAGGTGTCCAGCCAGCTCCCTGACCCTGGCGTGGGAACACAACCACCAAGACTTAGAAATGTTTCTCTGACCCTTTTTTATGGACAGGGCTGGCCTCAGCTCAGCTCTGGCAAGCAGGAGGTGCTCAATCAAGGCTGACAGGTGGAACACCTCTCTTTCCCATGCCAATGAAGGGACTTTGCTAGCTGTTACCTTCCAACATCCAGGCAGAAGAACTCAACCTACAAACTGGGGCACCATATCAGGGAGCGCAAACAAAGTAGTTTGATTCAGTATATGATGCTTCCAGCTCTGTCTTACCATAATCTAAGAAAGAGCACAGAAGTATGTTCAAAGGTGTTCTGTAGAGAGGCAAGGGGCCCTTGTCAAATGTATTTGGGCTGTGCTGAGTTAAAATGGAAGCAGTTTTCCTTACTTCGAGACTTTTCAGGCCCTGGAACACCTTGGTGTGCTCTGGAAGAAATGCCCTGTGCATGTGTGTGGAGTACAAAGGCATTTCGAGGACACTAGAAATCTAGAAAACACTAAATATAAAATATTTACTTGGGGACGCCTAGGTGGCTCAGTCGGTTAAGTGTCTGCCTTTGGCTTAGGTCACTATCCCAGGATCCTGGGATCGAGCCCTACATTGGGCTTCTTGCTCAGTGGGGAACCTGCTTCCCCTTCTGCCTGCCACTCCCCCTGCTTGTGTGCACTCTTTCCCCCTGCCTCTCTCTCTCTGACAAATAAATAAAATCTTTAAAAACAAACAAACAAAATATTTACTCTGAAGACTCAAACGTGTATTTATTCATTTTTAAAAATCCATACAAATGGATTTTTAAAAAAATTTAGAGTGAAAAAGGATATAAAATGAAAACATTTCCCTTCTCCCAACCTCCAAGGTACTCCCATTGCTGGTGTGTTTCTTGTGAATTGATCCAGACTGACTTATATCCACCTATCAGCATCTATGAGTGCCTGAAATCAATTTACACAAATGCCATCATATTGTACATGGCACCCTGTCTTCTTAAATAACATTAAATATTAGGGGTGGTTTCATGTCAGCCCACACAGAGCTATCTCATGTTCTGTAACAGCTATGTGGTATCTCTTGGTGATTTTTGAACAGCCACAACTCTAACTGCACATGAATGGACGTTCAATATACAGAAATCCACAACTGTTACGTCTAACAAATCAAGAAACCATTCAATAGATCTTGCCTGAAGATGCATTTTAGAATTCAAATCCTGAGACTATGCATTTCCTAAAACAAGCTTCTCCAACTGCTCCCTAATTAAGCCTTTCCATCCACTCTGGTATAGAAGTGCTTAGCCCAGACTGAGTGACACATTTCTAAAACGCAGTAGCTTTGACAGGGCGATGTGATGTGCTGGGAAACAGGCAGAGTCCTCACTGCCCTTCACCAGCAGCATCATCTTGAGCAAACCATTTCCTCCCCCTGGACTTTAAGTTCCTCATCCATAAAATAAAAGCAGCAATGTGTACCTCGTGGGCAGGTGCAAGGATTAAATATGAATGTTCATTTGTCCATGCTCTGCTATGTACAGGCACTGGGAAAACAAAATGGCCAGAATGTGTTTCCTTGCCTTGAAGAACTCATTGTCTAGGAAGGAAGGCGACACGTAGAAAGTTGTAGTCATGCCGGAAGTAACCTCACAGGTTGTGGACAAGGCCCTACAGGTGCAGAGGGAAGGACTCGACTGTACAGTCGTGGTTGGAGGAGGGAGACTTCACAAAGTAAAAGGTAAGGAAGAGTTTCTGAGAGAGCCATTAAAATGAAACTGTCTAATGTGAAGGGAATGATGCCAAGTTCTAAACCTGCTTTAACCCTTAAGAAATGGGGAAAGGCATGTAGAAGTGCCTTTTTCTAAAAAAAAAAAAAAAAAAAAAAAAAATTATTTGAGAGAGAGAGGGTGGCAGGAGGAGCAGAGGAAGAGAGAGAAATTTAAGCAGACTCTGTGCTGAGTGCAGAGACTGACGTGGGGCTCAATGATCATGACTCTGAGATCACAACCCCAAGATCACAACCTGAGCCAAAACCAAGAGTCAGATGCTCTACTGACTGTGCCACCCAGGGGCCCCCTGGAATTGCTTTGAAAATAGCTTCATAATTATTTCCTAAGATGTTTTCTCATCTGTAAAATAGAAGCAACAATGTTATCTCACTGGTTATCTTAGAGATTGAAGGTGATAATGGATGAAAAAGACTAAGGATAGTGCCTGGGACTATTCCAGCAAGATGGAGGAGTCATAGTTAGTCTTAGTTTCAGGAACATTCAAACAATGAACGTTTGCAGAGCGTCAGTAAAGTGCCAGATTCTGTACTAGGTACGTGCATGAGCTGTTTCATTTGATCCACAAAACAGCCAAAGAGGTGGGTATCCTCACCATGAGAATTAGGACATATTAATTTGTTCCATGAGGTTCTGTGTAAGAAGCAATAGTTAGAATCACAGCCACAAGCTTCCCATGAAATACAGCTTTCACAGGACCTACCTTCTGTGGTTCCATTCTGAGCCGAGTTCCCTATGAGTCCAATCCACCATTCCCTGTCCTGGGAGATGTGCTTCTGCAGAAACTGCTGGGTGTCTTCATCATGAATAAAGACCAAATGGCCCCCTTGCTCCTCACACCAGCTCTGGGCACCATAGAAGGTGCGACCGAGAGGCACAAATTCATAGCAAGAGTCTCTGAAGGCCACTTGACTTTTTGAGCAAAAGCTGCCCTCCTCTGGCTTAGAGATTGTGGCCCTAAACCTCAGAGCAAGCCCCAAGAGCACCAAGCCCACTGCACTCATCCTTGAGCCACCGCTGGAGCATCTGGATGGAGCTGGCACTCACGTCCTTCTTATGCTGCTGCCTCACAGCCATCTGCCATCCATCTTTCCTTCTCTCTTGTCATCAAATAATAGTACTACCTCTTGTTTAAGAAACAAAAGGCTCAGGATGAATGTGTCTGCATTTTTGCTTTGCCCAGCTCTTTGTTCAATTCCTGTTCCAAGTCCAATTAGTTTGCAAAACAGTCTTCGAGAGAAACTTATAGCTGCTGTCTCACCTGTCTGCTTGTCATTCTATCAACTGTTAGCTTCTGATAAGAATTCCTTGCTATGGGTTTTACGTTGTTCTTTTTGCAAGAAGCCATCAGCATGTGGGAAGTATGTGATAAAGGAAAAATGGCAGGAAAGGGAGAGTGATGGGATGGTGAAAGAAAAAAAAAAAAAACAAGATGCACTCATCTCCAGTGCTATTGTCTAGAGTGGTGGCTGTGCCCAAATGATAATCACATTCTGCCCAGCATGGTTTAAATCCTAATGGCTGTCTCCCTCTCTGACTCATCACATCACTAGTCATGCCTGTTGGAGAAAACAGATTTTCTACAAAACTGTTCTGACATCATCATGAAAACAAGTTCTTAGAACTTCAAACCTGTCCATCCTCACCCACTTCCTAAACCCTCCAGTGGGTGTGATGACCTCTGAATCAAGTTCAAGTTTCTCAGTTTTATATACAATGCTCAGTATGAACTTGCCACTGACAATATTTTCAAACACATTCCCCAAGTGTGGGGTAATAGACTCACCCATTGCTGATGGGAGTGTAAATTGGTACAACCTCCATCATGGGCAATCGGACCATGTCAATTTTGACAATATTTTAAAAGCATGAGCTCTGTAATGTAGGAGTTCAACTTCTAGAAGTTTTACCTACAGATAAATTCATACATGTGCAATATGTCATATGTTAAAGGTTATTTATTACAGAATTTTGAAAGAAGGAAGGATTGGAAATAACCTAAATGTCTATTGACTAGAAAGTGGTCAACAAAACTGGTACATTCTCCAAATGCACAAAAAAATGAGCAGCTTCTTTCCATATAAATTTGGAGGGATATCTAAGATTTTTGCTAATTTTAAAAGCAAAGTATGAGACATTATTGATGGTTCGATCCCATTTATACAAAAATATCTATGAACATTTATTTGAATTTGTGGAATATATCTTCCAAAGGACTTAAAAGAGACTGGCAATAGTGATTGCCTGGGTCAGGGGTGGAGGGAGCTAGGTGAGTGGGAGACAAAGGAAGGAGCAAGACTTTTTCTTGTTTCATTGGCCACATTTTTGAAAATTTCTGTCTTGTACTATGTGAATGTCTTACCTGTTCAAAATAGTAAATTCTTTTTTAAAAACATCTCCATGAGTCCATCATCCCCCTAACAGCTCAAGTTGCCAGCTCTTTCTATCATAGTTCACTGCTGGTGACCTTCCTTGATGCCTCTCTGTACCCATCCTGTTCCCTCTGCCAGGAGCCATTTTTTCTCTAGTCCTGCCCTGTTCACCTAAACGACTTATCTCAAACATCCGTTCTTTCATGGATTTTGTAGAATTTGCCTCATATAATATGCCTCTCTCCCCTGAGTTTCCTTTTTCTTTCTTTCAATAAAAAATTAAGGTAGAGTTAACATACCATACAATCCATTGATTTAAAATATACAAGTCAGTGGTTTTTAGTATACTCACAGAGTTGTGCAACCTTCACCATGATCAATTTTAGAACATTTTCATGACCCGGAAAGGAAAACCTTCACCCATTGGCATTCACTCCCAAACCTCCCTCCTGTAGCTCCTGACAGCCACTAATCTCCTTTATGGGTCTGTGGGTTTGCCTGCTGTGCACATTTCATATAAAGAGAATCACATAACATGCGGTCTTTGTGACCAGCTCCTCTCACGGTAGCGTCGGGTCTTCAGGGTTCCTCCATCTTGTAGCTTGGACCATTACTTCACTACTTTACTCTTTTTTTTTTTTTTTGCACTCAATAAAAATTTATAGGATAAAACTAAATGAAGAGTTTTCCAGAACCAATATATTCTCCACCTCAGCTCCTTATTTGCTGAGTAATGTTTGTTGTTCGTGATAACTTTCCAAATTAACTGAGTTTGACACAATAAGTTGCTTCAGTGGTGGGAAAATGGTTTTAACTACTAACACCAGAGTTCCTCTTGGTGACAGTTTCTTTAGGAAAATATCTTGATAGGCCCTTTGGCTTAGGATGGGGAGACACCAAGGGTATGGTTTGCACTATTAAAACAAAGCACAATGCTGGATGACTGGTCTGCATAAGACATTAATGATTCAAGTTTGGAGAACCGACTACACAATGTGGTAGGACTCTAGAACCTTCAAAAAAGGTAGTAAGTGGGGCAGCTGGGTGGCTCAGTTGGTTGGGTGTCTGCCTTTGGCTCACGTCATTCTCAGGTCATGATCCTAGGGTCCCTACTCAGCAGGGAGCCGGCTTCTCCCTCTCCCTCTGCCTTTCTTCCCTGCTTGTGTGCTCTCTCTCTCTCTCTCTTGATTTCTCTCTCAAATGAATAAATAACATCTTAAAAAGAAAAGGTATTAGGCAAATAGTTTCTTACAGCAGTGTGGCCAAAGGCTTTAGAGAACACGGCTGTTTAATATCTGGCTTTAAATTATTCCCTTGCTCTGACATAATTCAACTTTTTTTTCCTCCCCAGTCCCTGGAAACCACTACTTTCTGTCTCTATGAATTTACGGATTCTGGACATTTCATGTAAATGGAATTGTACAAAAGTGTGACCTTTTGTGTCTAGCTTCTTTCACTCAGCATGATTATTTTGCAGGGTCATCTACATTGGAGGGTATATTAGTAATTCATTCCCTTCTATAGCTGAATAATGTCTTGTGTATGGATATACTACATTTCCCTTATCCATTCATCAGCTGATGGACATTTGGGTTATTTTATTCTTACAGGAAAGGGATAGTCTCTTAATCTCTACCCATCCCATGACTGGCACACAGTAGGACTCAATGAACCTTTGTCAGTCTGGCCCCTTCTCCCAGGAACTTGGGTATTGGGAGAGGTCAAGAGGAGACTGCTAGTTGACCTATGAATGGGACCCAGGCAATTAGAAGCTCCTCACGCCCTCCCTGTCCTTGGAACGTGCATTCTGCTTGCCTTCCCCACTTCTAGAAGCTGTCCCAAGGACACAGTCTTAAGATAGTGATATGGTGTTGAAACCATCTGGACAGTATACATGATTGAACCCAGTTAAAGCGTCCATATAAACTTTTAAGATTTGGCCAGCGAGTGCAGAGATTAACTCGTCTTGCAGCACCCAGGACAAGCATTTTATGTTAAGTCCCCCTGCTTATTATCTGCCGCCTACCAGTCTAGAGTGATTTGCTTCTCTCTTTGGTCTCTCCCTGCCCTACATGTAAAGATGCCAGTTTTCAAACCAACACCGGGACTGACCCTTGGCCCCCATTGCTTTCCCAGAAGCCCTTCCATGCCCTCTGGAGTAGCCCTGCCAGTAGCCCAGAGCAGGACTCAATGTCATTGCTGAGTCATAGCCTGCAACCCAGAGAACATTGCTCTCTTATCTCTGAGGGCCAAGGTTCTAATGAATTCTATTAGAAAACTATGTGGAAGGCCTCATACAGCGATAATGTATCTCCTGGGTAAAGGCTTAATTTATGACCCTCATGCAACATGCTTGGAGACATTTGATAACAAACGCAAATCTGCAGGCTAAATTCCACTTTTTCATTCTTTACATTCTGATAAATTCCAGACTCCTGGGCACGGAATTCATCTTGGTGATGTCGGCTCCCAGTGTGCCTTAACATCTGTGTACATGAAGAAAAGAAACAGGACGTGGCTGGACCCATGTGAGTCTATTTCCAGTGTCTGATCCGGCTGCCTGGGCCTCCAAACCCTGATTTTTGAGACCAGCAAATGAAAAGAGAGAGAGAGTGGATTTGGTTTAAATGGGGACTTAAGGCCATGAAAGAACCATAAAGTTGTTCATGCCATATGGCCCAGCCATCCCAGTCCTGGGAACAGACCTATTTTAGTTTGGGTTCTCCTAGAAGTTAACTGAGACAAGAAATTTAGATAAAGCAATTTATTTGGGAGGGATTGCAGGAGACAGTGGCAGGAGAGGTGGGGAGTACATTGCTTTATGTGAATTGGCGTTTTTATTGGTCATAAACTGAATTGAATCTTCGTCCGCCATTCAGCTAAAAGACATCATAACAAAAGAATCCCCATGGTCCCTTTACCCCAATACAATTTTATTTCTTTGTGGTTCCTTCAAGTGCTTCTTGCCTAGGAGATGGGTGTTTGGCCAGGCACAACTGTAGTGTGCACATAATTAGTTCATAGGACACTTCCCACTTAGCTTTAGAGGGTAGGCCTTTCCCATGCTGCTGAAGGCTTTGGAATTGGCATGGTGGGAGCTGGGCTTCCTTTCCCTGAATAGGTATTTACTACACCATTCCCACAGTGCTGGATACTTTGTGTGGTTTTCCTCATCTGTTTATTATGTGTTCAGTATTACAATACTTGTCAACACTGCTATGAACATCTTCTTGTTCTTGAGCTATCTCCTGAGGGTTGTGGCAGGCATTATCAAGGACTCACCTTGACCCCTCATGCTTACCATGTTAGGCTTCTTAATGCAAGCTCCTATAGTTCTTTGCCCCCCTTCTGCTCACAATGGACAAGATGAAGGTGCCTGGAAGTTTGCATCTCTTGGGAGAGTTTCTTCAAGAAACTCCAAGAGTTTTTCTTGGGAGAAACTCTCACCCTTGATTGGCCAGTGTTGGTGGATCTGTCCCCCAGATCCCTCAAGAGAACTCTAAAGCATGCTCACACCCCATCTCACAGCCCAACAGCCAGATCGAGCTTCAGTTGCCCACGATGGGAACAGCCTTGATGATGCACCGTTGACATCTTCCCTCCCTGTTTCACTTCCCCATGCCCTTGCTGGC